TGTTGCAGATCTGCAGTAAGCTAGCTAACGTAGCTAACCTTGTCTTGGTCTGAAATTGTTAATCATAAATCCTCAAATTAAAGTTTGAATGTGCAGAACTTAAGTTAAATTGGCCAAAACTAAGATACTTGTGAGTGCTCATCCTACATGAGACACATTTTGTAAAACTTAAAATTAGCACAACCAACAAACAAAGCCATCAAGAGTCATCACAAGGAGTTTTATATTGGTGAATAAATGGACTTTGTTTGGTCAAAAGTGTGACCACCCATACCTTACTCTTGTGATGTTTTTTATCTGCTTTGGGCAATGCTCTTTTAACTGTTATCCCCTCCAAAAAACACCTGAGATGTTGCAAACATTTTCAAAAGAGAGCTCATCACAAACGATTTGCGTGTTTGGCTTCTTGTGTTTAAAAGGCTCTGAATCATTTACCTGAAAACTAAGACCGTCTTTTCCTATAGATGGGTCAATATCACTATAAAGTAACTTTGGTGTCCCCATCAGAATCACTCAGTTATCATGAAAGTGTAGCAGAATAATGAAACTCTGAGGTCTTATTATAAATGGCCAAACATTTACACATATCAGTACAATGATAAGTCTCTTGAAATGTGTTTCCTTCATTTTATACCTTGTTTTTTCATTGGATGTACGTGATTTTGGCATGTCCCACACACTACTCTGCTAACTACAGTGTGTGTAATAAGTGGTTAAATTATACTACATTAAAAAAAAAATGACATGGTTTTATTGTCCACAACGAGTTATTTGATAAAACGAGTCATTTTGATCATGTATATTCTATTTTCATAATAATATTGAACATTTTTCATGTGTCCCTGACATTTGCTGTCCACCCTGCCCCATAAAAAAAACCTCTGATGTTTTCAGTGACATTACTAGCACCATTTTGTCTTTCCTCAATGGAGGCTGAGACATTGGCTAGTTGCAAAGTAAGTTTTGTAACTTATATTTCGAAATGTTAATCATATTATGTGTGTATTTGGATGTTGTCAAGCTTAACATGTCCACTCTGTCATAGTGAAATGTCAATTAATATAAAAACCTTTCAGAAATTCGAAATATATTTGTTAAACAGTACGCAGTCACCTTGCTAACTGAATCATGTTGCTAACTGAAGGTCCACCATGTGCTCATTAAATGCTAATATTAGCCAACAATTTCCACCCTGTCATTGTCCACCCTCAGCAAGCCTTCCATAAATAATATAAAATGTACATTTTCAGAAAGCTATAGTCCCTTTTTCAACAATATATTTCAGTTAATGTACATTTTATAATCACTATGTAATTACAATGTATTTACTCTTTGAATTGTGTCCATGACAGGGTGGATACATTTTGCTGTTTGCATGTACTTGCAGTTAATTTATAAAAAAGTGTGGGAGCTTGACCAACATCCATTTCTAACAGCATTATGAAGTTTAATGGAAAATCTCAGATTTTATTTTGGAAATGGGGAAGTCTCAAATGCTGGCAACTTTCTGAGACATACATTAACCTCATTTAGAGTAATTTATGGTGTGTAGAGTATGGTCACATGAAAACCTCTCAGCCCACAAGAAGTAATGAATTGAAGTTTAGCAATAATTGCTCTGAGCATTGAGAGCTGGATGCACCAATTATGGTCTTAACATTGAACACAAATATTTTCCTCTTCATATCTGCCTCTAACAGCCACTACAAAAACGTTAAGACCCAAAGGCTGTGCAGTTTAATTAAGTTGAATGATTTACGTGCAGCTCTCATAAATTCACTCGGTCGTTTGGGGCTGAATGTGCAAGGTTGCAAAATGTAACATATGTAACTTCTCCAGATTTATTTTTGCAGTAAAGATCTGTTGAAAGGAGATCTCACTATCTTAAAAGTGGAGTTAAAGGGGCCCTATTCCGCTTATTAGTGTTTTCCATTTCCTGTAATGTACTATATGTGCGATACAGTACACCCAAAGTGACCTCCAGAGGGAGTTTCTCTCCCACACACACACAAACACACACAACACCTCCATTGGACTCCTTTGTTTACTTCTGTAGCATAATCACATCACCACTCACACTTCTATTGGCTGGCTTTTCCCCCCTGCCTTTCTCTTTTTGTATCCTTGGCCTTTGCGCAAGCTTGAACAGTTGGTTGCTGATTGGCCATGTGGCTTGGCTTGGTCTGAGTCACATTGTTTGTTTCCCCATTTACAGAGTCAGGGTTGTGTATGAACACCAGATTCTTTTACAGAACACACACAGAACAGACAGACATTTTGACGTGAAGAGATTTTGCTGAATTTTTTAGTATAAGTATAGCTGATTACAACTGTAATGTCACAGTCGCACTTTTACGAATTGTTAAGGCAAAGGTATTCAGGCTGGGTTTCGGCGGTTCATGGCGGTAATACCGCCAGCGAAAAATAGGCTTATTTGAATGCAAGCGCTGAATGTGTCATTTGAGCTGCTGCACCGTAGAGTCTTGCTTCACTGGTTCCATTGGGTTTTTCATTTCTATGAAGCCAGATTCTACTGGAACAGAATCCAACCGCGCCGTCACTCATGTGTGAGCGCCTGCCATCATCGCATATAAATGGAAATAATTAGCATGCCACTTACAACAAAAAAAGGTCTGTTCAGATGGCCAATCTCACAGATTGCTTCCCCCCCCCCCTCTCCAAACTTGACACAGCTCTCGAGCTATGGTTATTCATGTTTCCTCTAATGAGGCTGCCATATAACACATGCAGTAAACAGACGCAAATCGCACACACTCTCTGCGTCACGATCAACCAGTGTCCGCTGTCGCATCTCTCTATGTGGTTTGAAGTCCACACAAACGGAAGATAGGACGGAGTAAATACATATTAATGGGGCAGTTCACCCCAAAACCTGAAAAGGGCATATCTTTCCTCTTAACTATTTATCAAACGAGATTGTTTTGGTGTGAATTGCCGAGTGTTGGACATATCGTCTGTAGAGATTTCTGTCCGTACCTCACATATATAGGAACTATATGGCACTCGGCTTGTGATGCCCAAATAAATACATTTTAAAAACTCAAGAGCTTTTCCTTTTTTCAGAAAACATCCCCCGGTTACTCAGGTTATCAAGTTTCATGTGGGAACTATTTTCTTTCTACTGAACCATACGCATGACTGAGCACAAGCTTCTTGTCAATAGGTAGATATAGGCCTACTCTTCCTTCTGCACGGTGATACAGTTGGCTTAAACTATAAGAAACTAGATTTATGAATAGCACTAAAGGTAGGAGGAAATAAGGATTTGTAATTGTGGAACAAACTGAACCTTTAATAAGTCAGGTTCATATTTGTATTTTGAACTTTAATGTTCAAAAAGCTCTTTATTTTCCTCATACTGCCTGTGCTGCAGCACCTCTTTTCACCCTCCGTCTGAAACCAGAGCCCAGTGTGCTCTGATTGGCTGTCTGGCTTGCTCTGTTCTGATTGGTCAACCACTTAGAGTTGTCCTGCCCCCTTATCCTATCGCAAATTGTTGGAGCGGGAGTTTTACATAGTGATGTCAGGAGGTCCAATGGAAGCGTTTCAGGCAGAAACTCCTGGAACTTTGTGATGTTAGCCTTTGCAAACCCTTTACATGCACAAAAACCTATAACACACTACAGGGAAGGAAGACCCCCAAGCATAATAGGCCCTCTTTAAAAGGAAGTGTGGCCTTAATGCGAACACCGCTCATGAGAGAAGCTATAAAGCTTGGTCACAAAGCTGACAGCAGCGCTCTTCACAGGTTCTGCTCTTTTTATAGCCCTGACAATACAACAGGGAACAACAGACACGCAGAGAATAGGAGAGGAAAAGTGTGTGTGTGTGTGTGGGGGGGGGGTCATGGCCGTCTTGATTATTTGGATCCTGAGGGCTCTGCAGTGCAAAATGTGGCCTCACACACACACTTGACAACGTAAGCTGGGCTCACTCTGTTTATATCAAAGGCCCCATCACGCGGGGATTGACTTGTGTTCTTGGCAGCATGAAAAAAGAGAAAACTTTATGATGTTCATTTCCCCCTGGTTTTATTTGACTACGGTTTTGTAGTGGGGGAAGTGCGCTCGCTGCGTGTGTGACGTCTGTTTGCAGCACAGGGACTTGCTACTGAATGTTGGTGAGACGTTTGTTTGGGTTGTTTGTGAGATTGACAGATTGTTTGTCTTTTGCTGGCTGTTTCTTCAACTACTTTAATCGGAATCGCACTGATGGCAGAACAAATGAAAGAGAAAGGGAAGAGTTAAAACGTGCCTGCTTTGCCTGTGCTGCTTCTCTGAGTTTAATATCTAATGTGGCATCAAGAGGGCTCATTGGTTGTTTATAAGAGATGGGGGGAAAGAGTTGGGTAACTATGTTGCTATTCTTTGGCCAAAAAGACACACGTAAAGGATGCTGCATCCATGTTGCTTTTAGGGCAAACAATGCTGACCTCTAGTGGGGAAAGCAACAAAACACAGCAGCCTGATAAATCATTGGAAGCATCAACCTCCCTTGCTTTGTTTAGTACACCAAATTGTACTTTAAAAAGTGTTACATAGTGATGTCACTATGCTTCAGAAGTAAACAAAGGAGTTGTTTCAGGCATGTTTTAAAAACATAAATGAAAAGTGTATCAATGAATCTTTGATAATGTAACCAAATAATAAAATCCGTATATTTTAAAATGTACTAAGGGCTTTTATCTCAGTGCCATACATTATTATTATTATTTGTTTGACTTATTTTAAGTTGTACTGTACACCCTCCTCTGCTACCTATAATCCTACAGTGTTTTATCAACAAACATTTATAAATAAACTTGGAGGACAACAAATATTTCAAAATCTAACAGCAGAGTTTGCATACATCCACATATTTACTTGAAGTCCACAGAATGAGCAGAAATCTATAAACAAATAAATATGTTTAATTTATTACACTATCTCAAAGACATTTGTGTCTGAAATACAACAACAGGGTGACGTCAGATTGCCTTCAGGATATTGTGTCTAACATTGTGATCCATAATATACAGAACAATCATTACACTGTAAGACAATTAATAGCATATGTGTGAATGTTATACCTAAACAAATATACACGAATGGGCTCTGTAACAGTACACTATGTTGTAAAGAAAGCCACTGAATTACATAAATGCTCTGCTTTATGTAACATCTTTCTTCAATACCGTAGTCAACACTGTTGGACATGGAAGAACTGGCTTTGCATGTATAATATCCATACTGTGTGAGGATGAAAGAAACAGATATATGGAAAAGACCCCTGCTGTGCGCAAACACATCTGTGCTGGGGAAGATTTGAGTCTTTTTAAACCAAGCCTGTTCTTTTTTCCATCTTTACTTCAATTCATGTGAACAAACTCAGTTTTTTGAACCCTTGTTAGTTAGCTAACAACCAGCTAATTAGCCTCTTATGGATACATCGTGTTATTTTCTCTAGCTAACAAGGTAGTACCACAAAACTGGTTCGATGTATCGTAACGGACATATGTTATCTGAAGGGAAACTAAATGTTTTTCAAATTATTTAAAGCTGGGCATACACTGTACAGGCAGCTGTGGCTCAAGAGCTAGATGGTCGTCCTCCAGTGGGTTGTTTGATCCCCAAGGACACTTCAACGTGTCGAAGTGTCCTTGGGGAAGATACTAAGCCCCAAATTGATGGGTGAGTCTAGGTGTGGCACTCAGCAAGGCAGCCTACGCCTCTGTATGACTGTGTTGGAATCGGTGAATGCTGAGTTGTATATTTAAAAGCAATTTGACTGGCAGTAAAGACAGAAAAAGTGCATAATATTTGCATAATAAAGTGCAAAACACATTTTTAGACATGCAACACCAATTTGAAAGTAGGACTGAATGAAGGTTTGTTGGGTGATGTTGGCTAAGCTGTGTGACCGACGGTGGCGCAATAATGCTGTTTTTCGTTGCTCCAAACCAGACAGTGTATATCCAGCTTAAAATGAGAGTGGAAGCTCAAACGTTACTTATCTATGGTGGCAACGTGACAGCCCTCGAATATGGCTGCCCTGAAAGCATCTTAACACCACTTCCACGCACATTATAGTCGGCAGCACCTCTGTTTCCAATGCTTACTAGTAGGAGATACTGTTGCGACCTAATTGACTTTTTTTGCATCCTCGCTGTTAGCACCAATACCAGTTTAAAGTGGAGAGAGGAAGAGGAGTGGATCAGGAAGAGATGGAGCCTGAGTCTTCACCATCCGTGGAGTTGTTCTCGTCCGCAGACTCAGTGAGGGCCGGGTAGGGCCTCGGCTGGTCCAGGTTCATGTAGGTGACGTTCAGACTGATGTAGTGTTCTCCCTCCAGGCCGGTCAGGATGGTGGCGACGGCCAACAGCAACGTAGAAAAGCTGGGCCTCAACTCCGGATCAGGGTCCCAGCACTGGAGCATAATGCTATACCTGGAAACAACAGAGAAAGAGGCTGAGTAAGGGACAGCTCAGTCCACCACACAATACAATCCGCCCATATTACAATTTTAACAATCTGTGATTTGTTTATTATGTTACATTGATAAAGATACATTTTTCCAAACAATTTTTTTTAAATATGGCTATTTTTTAAATCCTGAAATTCCAGATTTACATTACATTGCATTTAGCTGACTCTTTTATCCAAAGCGACTTACAATAAGTGCGTTTGACCAACAAGATACAAACTTGAAGAAAACAGAATCATATAAGTACATCAGGCTTCACAGAGCAAAAACATTTCAAGTGCTACTCAACTGGCTTTAGATAAGCCAGTCCTTTATTAGTATATAAGTGCTTTGTTAGTAATTCTATCGCTCGAAGTGGAGTCGAAAGAGATGAGTTTTCAGTCTGCGCCGGAAGGTGTGTAAGCTTTCTGCTGTCCTGATGTCAATGGGGAGCTCATTCCACCATTTAGGAGCCAGGATAGCAAACCCACGTGTTTTTGCTGATTTACTGACTTTATAAACGTTGTGTTTGTTTCCAAGCATTCAAAAGCAGGAGCTTCAAGGCCAGGCAACCAGGAAGTTGATCTCGCGCAATAAAGAGTTTCAGATAACACACACTTGTTTACACTTCTTTTCTTTGGATTAAACAAACAACATATAACAGTGTTATCTATTGAGTGTAGAGGATCTGGTAGGTGGATGTTGTTTCTTCTTCCACATTGGTCCCTGGAACTAAGACACTTTTTTGAATGAATACAGGGGAATAGTTGATGTATTCTCTATCAATCTTTAAGTCTGTGGGCAACAGCTTACAGTCCAATGGATTTATCATTAAAGCGGAAAAAACTTCTTCTTTCTAGAGTCAGACCAGTCATATGTGTATATGTGGTTTTGTGACAGACAAAGTGTTTTGTAGACATACATTAACTCCCAAACTGCATTGCATAACTGTTGAAATAACATAGTGGACAAATTACAGGTTTTACTGAGTGACCGTTAAAAAAATCTTGTTGTTACTACGTGGACTTTGTTCTTCCGTCTTCTAGTAAATCTGTGTTATTATTATAGTAGTGTTCATACTGAACTAGCCCTCCATTATGTGGAGCTTAACTTTGGATGTATGCAAACTAAGCAACCGCAACTAATTTACAGCTATTCTATGGACTTATTCAACAAAGCCAGCAACGCAATGCTCCTACTTACAAAGGGTCAGGGCAGTACTGAGGCTGGGGGAGCCTCCGGCCCTTCAGCAGGTAATGTGTTATGTCATAAGGGTCCACCTCTGGGTAGGGGCTCGCTCCTCTGGTCAGCATCTCCCACATCAGCACACCAAAGGACCACTGCGTCAGGAAAGGCAAACGTTACTAGTACCAGTACACATGTGCATAAATTAACTTCGATTCAGTCTTGTGTTTTGCAGAAATGTAAAGAAAAGGTTAGAAATCTATAAACAACTTTTAAAGGAACCCTTATGGCTTGATTTGTCTCTCACTCTAAAACTGTACAGCTTTGTACATAGGAGGAAGGTCAATGTTGAGACAAAACGATGGTGGTGGAAGAGGAAAATAAATGTGAAACAGCCTGCAACTATATCGTTTTGTGCTTTAAAGCTACCAGGAAGTGGCATTACATGCTAAGTTATCATATTACATACGATTGTATACTATTAGTACACTATTGTTAATATTATTATGGTTGAAATATGTATTAATTTCATTTAATCATTTATTTGGCAGGGACAATGCACAGTAATGAACACTTAAAACATTAAAATGTATCAAGCGTAACAGTGCCAGATTTAGCTTTGAGCTCATTTCCATCCGCAGTCCCTCACATAAGACATTTTACTCTTCAATTATTGTCTGTTTTGTTATAGTTTTGACTTTTTAGTTTGGTTGTTATGTTAGTTTGCTGGTTTTATTTCAGTTTCAGCTACCACACTCACTGAGCTGAATAGTTTGGTTGGATGGTATTTTATCTACTACAATATTTAAATCATGTTCTTGTTATTTCATTCCAGAAGACTAGACTGCATGTGGCAAACAAACTGGGATTGATTGTGAAACATTTGTGGCACAGTGCCATCTGCTGGAGTATCAAGTCAATAAGTTGTGACTAAATGCCAAGAGAACCGAGGGCGTGTCACACTGTGTCCAGGCAATATCGTTCAACGTCGCTCCTCTTTACCCACCACATCAGACTTGGAGGTGAATTTCTGCGTCTGCAGACTCTCGATGGCCATCCACTTGACGGGCAGCTTGGCCTTCCTGTGATCCTGAACGCTGTAATACTCTTTATCAAAAACATATCTGGCCATGCCAAAGTCTGCCACCTTCACTGTGTATGACTCGTCCAGCCTGAAGGCAGAGAAAGTAGAATTATAGTTTGTTGTACTGCAATGTGACAAGCTGAAACATCTCCCCACGCTGAATAAAAGAGTTATTCAGGCCCTAATGGCGGTAGATCAATTGCTGCTTTCTCTGCACATCGTTACGACTCACATGCAGTTGCGTGCAGCGAGATCTCTGTGAACAAACTTCTTCTGAGCCAAATACTCCATCCCCTTCGCGACCTGCAGCCCGAAGCCAATCAGATCCTTTACGGTGGGATTCTAAAGAAATCCCACAAACAAATGACAAAACACAATTTAAAACCGTTAAAAATGTACATTGTTTGACAGATGGGTGTTCATACATTCAAAAAGGATTAATTTGCACTGTTTTAATGTAGGATTCTCACCCTCTTCTCGCAGCGGATGAAGTGCCGCAGGTCCCCGTGTTTCATGTACGGCAGCACCACCAGAGGGAGGCCTTCCTGCGGCAGGAGGATGCCCAGCAGGGAGAGCACGTTGCTGTGGTGGAAACCCTTCATTATGATACCCTCCTTCAGAAACTGCTCCACCTCCTCCACATCTGTTATTCCTGATGACACACAGACATACATACATAACCATTATGTGCTCAAATTTAAAGGAAGGGAGGCACTGAATCGCAATTTTAAGAAGCTGCTATTAAGGGGGGAAAAGTATTTTAAAGTTTCCTTAAATGACATGTGAAAATATGGACAACTCCCCTTACATTCCTCCAGAGTCAGGAAAAGTCTAAGTTAACTTTTGGAAGAACCATAGGAAAGGGGTGAAAATGGATAAAATGTATCCGAAAATAGTGTCTCATAATTCCCTGACAACTCCCCTTGAATTCCTCCAGAGACCAGTTCAAAAACCTAAAGTTTGGTAAGAACCATGATTGGGGGTCCTCCAGGCAACAATTGTATCCGAGCCAAAGCACTCATGTAGCGGACACATTCCTCCATGATGTGAAATAGCCGTTTTTTTTCTAAGTGCTCTCAAAAACCGGGTTTCCGATTTCGTGCAGATGGTAGCTTGGAAAAGATGAATGAATTTTTTCGACGGAGGAAGAGAGGTCTCGATTCCCCTCTCCGTTGTAAAATGCAACGGGGGAGTGAAAATGTGTCCGGGGCTTCCGCCGGAAGCGCCGAAGACTTGCGCTTTGTTGAGCCCCTCCTCCGTTGGCACTTAGCCGTTTTTTCGAGAATTTTTTAAAACTTCAGTTTGATGAGGCTTCGTCTTATTAACTTCTGGAACAGAAATCTGAACAATTAGAATTAGAAGTAGAATTAAAGAAGTTCAAAGAAGGCGTTTACCCTTTCTATCATAACAGCCTTAAAAAATATATTTTCACAATATGTATAGGATGTTCTAAAGCTCAGGCTATGAAGGATACATAAAAAACACCCTCTGTGAAAAACCATAGGAATATAGATAAGATGTACCCTGTACAGTTTGGTTTATGCACGCTTCTGCTGGATTTGGTTTGCATACACTACAGGTGAGAAGGGTCAAACAACCGTACTCATATCATCATGAAATATCCCAAATCTATTACTTTCATTTAGAAAGTGATTAACTATAGTTCAGACAGACAACTCACGTGTTTCTTTAACATGTTTATTAGAAGCAGCATATAGTTGAGTTTGGCGTCTAGGCTCGGGCCTCATCACTCCACAGATATACATAGCACCATGAGTGATGATTAAATAACTAACCCCAGAGCCTACAGGTGGAAGCTGGGGTGGTGGTGGGGCAGGCAAGCAGCAGCGACGTGGAAGTTGCTGCAGCAATAGCAGCAGCAAGCAATGCATAGAGATATCTGGCAGGTTAGATAGAGTGGCATATTAAGGAGACTCTGTTTGGTTGGTTGTAGAGTGGCACGGGAGTTATGTATGAATGCAGCGCTCGAGTTGACTGCCTGAACTAGCTCGCAGGCTTCGCCCCATTTATCTGACATTTATCTGTTTCAATCGGCAAATGAGGCAATATCAAATAATCACTTTTGGTGAATTTAAGAGAAATGTACAGACACAAATAGACACAATTTAATAAAAGAAACACCTTAATGTGTTCTCTTGTATGTTTTCTTCCTACTTCTCTGAGTGGAGACATTGACTATAGAGTAGGAAAATCGTTTTGCCTGTCGGCCTTAATAATAGACTTTATGCTGCATAGAAATATAGTCGCTATATAGAAGTTACTCACTATTCAGAGACTTGACAGCACAGTGGATTTCTCTGTGGTTTTGGTCAGTGAAGTAGCCGTGATAGACCGTCCCAAAATGACCTAGAGGGGGAAAAAATACAGAATTACTGCTGTTTCTCTCTAATAACACAAAGCTCCATAACAAGTGTCTCTTGTTTCAGATTAAGGCGGTGGGGTTCCTCACCCTTCCCTATGATCCGGTGGTGTTGCACAACGAGCATCTCAGCGGGAATAAGAACATCCTTCACCTCCTCCAGCAGCTCGGGCCGGAAACTGGAGATGGAGATCTTCTCTGAGGGCATGAGGGGGGTGAGGAAGGGATCGAGGCCCGATGCAGCGTAGCTCAGGAACCCCCCCTGACCCACCAGAGGGGTCGGAGGGCTCAGGGACGCTACTGAGAAAGACCAGAGAGAGGGGTTTCATTGTCTTTTGAAAAATATGTGTATCTGCCTTTCTTCCAGCAAAAGACATATACAAATGCATACCCCATGGAAACAAAAGTACAACAATTAAATAAATAATCACGTTGATGTAGTTAACAAACATTATTATCGCAAAGCAAGTTAGTATACATATGCTACACAAAAGCATACAAATATGATTAGTAAAATAAAGCTATTTTTACTGGGTATTTCCAAAAGTCAGATGTTCTATATTATGCTTAAAGAAGAGCAAATATATTAGGTATTTTCTTAGTTTTAGTAAGCCTTGGAAAAGAAAATACTAAGATTTCATATTTAAGGACATCCTGATAGTTTCGCTAAAAATTATTTCTGATAATGTGCACAGAAAGTCTTTGGCAGTCCAACTAGCAATGGGACACTGTGCCCTTATCATTATTGCATTTCACACAATGGTCTGGATTCCTGGCCTCAAAATAGTGTAATAGAGACGGTAGAGGGGTGTATTCATGACAGTTATAAATATATGTTTGTCAGAAGCAAAGTGCAGTATAGATAGTCACCTCTCCTGTAGTCCCCGATGGGCGACATCTCCAGGTTATTACTCCCAGAGCGGTTAGCGCTGTGGTTCAAACGGCTCTCTACCATGGAGGCTGAAAAACATTTCACAACTCTTTTTAATCATCAACCCCAGAAGAAGAACATCCCACGCAACACCAGGGATGTTCTAGTTGAAAGACTTGTGTAATTCATCGCAAATGCCCAAGCACAGCCGCTACTAGTCAGACGTAACAGAGAGGAGCCCACCTTTCTTCTTCTTCCTCAAGTGCTTCATGACAACGAAGGCCAGCACCGCCCCGGCCACCAGAGCCGCCAGGATCCCCAGAACAATGCCCACCATGTAGTGGTTGCTGACCCTCATCACCGTACCGACGTTATGCACCTGCCCGTTGATAGAGATCTGAAAAACATTCATCATTCATCATCAAACACAAAGATTATGAAATGAATACATGTCAAATGTTTTGGCTTTTAATGCATGCCGACAGGTCAAAGTGTCCGAATGTTCTGGATTTATGCAAAGAATGTAACAAATGTGTGTAGTTAAAGTGAATGGAGCTTGTTCCCTTTTTGCATATATAACGGGCCTGAGAGGGAAAAGGTCAAAGGAATTGTGGTTAGCTGTTTTCTGTTCAAGCTGTTTTTCTCTCCTCGGTTTATGACAACATGGAAAAGAAAAGCTCAGCTAGAATAATCTTTAAAACATCCTTTATTTAATCTTTCACATGGAGAAAACAGTTTTTGGAAGATTAAAAAACAGATTAAATAAAGTTATAGCAAGTGAAGTTGTAATGTTGTTGTTGTGTAGTACTTATTTTTGCCACAGGAGACTGCCAGATGTTCTACATAGGACTAAAGGAATTCATGTTTTCTTCCAGGTGAGTCTAATTTCCGCATGCACGCTAAATACAAGCTACCAGACTTAACTTATTTTTCCAACTGTTTCCCCAGATTTAAATAGTGAGGGGACTTCCTGGAGCCCCCTGTTGCATGCTCGTTTTACATAAGACAGTCAGTTAATCATCATTCCCGCCTGATTTACCCTCACTGGCTGTCCTTCACTGAGGATGGTCATGTTCTTGGGGATCCTGCAGGTGATCTCATTATCCAGGACTTTAGCATCACAATCTACGCCTGCCACCGTCATGATGATGGTCATACAGGAGCTCACCAGATTCAGCTTCTGATGCTGTGCAAAGAGAAAAGAACATTTGAATAAATATATAACTTATTTTGTCAGAAATTCAAAACACAACACCCTCAGAGCTTTCTCTTACATGTAGTGACACTTCGTCAAAGCCAGGGTACAAATTCAGCACGTGACCCTCTGTTTCAAAAGGTATGGGCTCTCCGTACGGATGATAGGAAAACTCTTTCTTCCAGAGTCCCAGCGCTCCGTCCATGTCGAAGGAAAGCTCTCCTTCCTCCGTCTCATCCCTCAGGAACACGGGGGAGACGCACTCCATCCTCGTGGGCAAGGACTTACCTATGCACTCCTGAAATAAAACAATGTGTTCATACTTTAATGCCAGGTACGCAGATTCAAATACAACTGTGTTTGTTAATATAATGAACATTGTACCCTTGTCACAGGTTTCAAGTGGCTCTCATTGGGTTTGAAGCGGATGATGGTGCGGTAAACAGAGTCCAGGTTCTCCCCCCAGATCACAATCTTTGACCCCCTGCAATTCAGATAAATGTCAGATGGAGTCCTTATCATCAGAAGTGGAAGAAGTACTCAGATTATTTGCTGAAGTAAAAGTAGCAATACTACAGTGTAAAAAAGCATTTGGTATACCAAAAGTAAATGTTCTCGTTGTGCATAATGGCCTATTTCAGCATCCTATATTTGAACATATTACATTTGAAAGATGATTATTTGTGCATCGATATGTTTGTCACTTTAATGTTTCACTTGGTAAATGTGTTTTTTAAAATCACATTATACACTGCTGGGTACAATAATATATCATAATGTTTTAGTTGATTTATATTTTTGTTTCAATAACCTAAATCTGCAAAGTAACTAACTTCAAAATACAACGTTTGCCTACAAAATGTTGAAGTGAAATTAGCAAAATGTACATACAAATACTCAAGTAAAGTACAAGCACCTAACTTTTTAATTAAGTACAGTACTTGAGTAAATGTACTTTGTAACATTTCACCACTGATTTTCACCTCTAGGGGGAAATGTGTTTCCTGTTAAATTTGTTATATGAAAAGAGGAAAAAAGATGGAGGTCTCAGTGGCGTACCTGTCGAAGCTACAGTCAGGCAGCACGGCTGTAATGATCGGGTTTTCTTTGTAGTAAAACACCTTTGTGGTGAGGATAGGAGACTTGTCGATGAAAACACTCAGAGGGACGTCCCTCACCTCTGAGATGGGCTGGGACAGACAGATGATGGAGGACACGTTGCCTTTGGGCTTTGTGACTCTGTGGAGAGACGGAGGTATGGGAATTACATGCCATAACAAGTAAGCATGCCATAAATCAATATATTTTGCAGGTTCAAAAAGTACAAAATACTTTAGTTCTGAGTCAGTCTTTGGATGCCAAGACCTGTCGCGTCACTGTGTATTTTCCCAAACCATAATTACACTACACAGAAGTTGAGGTTAGTGTAATGGAAACAGATGATATAGGTATTTCCAAACCTCTTTATAGGACAGGGAACATCATTGAGAGTGACTCTCCTCATCTTCCCAGCATCCAAGTGAGGTCCAGTCACTGTGATGAGCGTACCCCCAACACGAGGCCCATAGTTGGGCTGGATATCTGTGATGTTGGGAGTCTGACAGGACAGTAAATGAAAGTTATTTGGCAAATAAATGTCTTTGTAGTAGCAGATTAGATTGTTTGAAAATGTAAAGCTTGTATGATGTAATCAATAATAGCAAGAATTACCACAAATATGAATCCTGGCATTTCTGCCTTCCCGTCAATAGAGTAGCGTCCCTCCACCTTGCCCTCATGCACCTCCACTGTAATGTTAACGGGTCTGGACAGCTCAGCGGCCCCAGAGCGAATCTTACACACCAAGCTGAAGAGCAGTGCCACAAAACACGAGTGTCAGGGACAAATGCAGTCACTGCAACACCAGCTTTCAAGTTAAAGAAATCCCCTGACTCTTGTGAATGCCTTTATAGAATTAGCTTATTGTGTAAAGAAAATTATTATTTATTTGTAAGACTTTTTAACAGCACTAGCTGCGTAAACTAAGAAGGTAAACTTCGATAAAAAACACTACCAGCATTTTAGCATTATCCTTGTGACTATTATAATACCATGATGCTGTTAGCTTCTTGGTACAGCAGTGTCTTTAGACTTGTAATGATTAAGTCGTTTTGTGTTGCCTGACATCGCCAGACACAATCCTAAATGCCAGTTTGTCCAGAAGCCCTTCATTTTTGAAAGAAAACCATATGAAGTAGCACTGACCAGAGTTTTGCTGTTTTTGCCATAAAACATGTTTAGCCTAAAGTTGTTATTTTTTATGAATGTTTTATTTGCTCTGGCAGATTTGCTATTTGGTCATCATCTCAAAAGCACCCATGTTATATGAATGTAAGTCAGATATTGTAGAGATCCATCCTAATCTTCTACACAAACATGAATTGACTAAAACCAAGTCTGACAAAGTTGTGCTCTGTTTTTCTCACTTTCTCAGAAAGCTTCCAGGAAATAAATAACCAGATGTTTCTTTTTATTCTTTTACAGCGCAAGAAAATCCTGAAGGTACAATTGTACTAAAACAACAACAGACTGTTCTTGGAACCAAAACAAAAACACTCACTGCGTGTTATTGCTTTTCACTGCAAGCACAGTGCAAGCAGTCTGCCCCAGTCGGACCTGGTGGGTTCTGGATGTGATGGCGGGTCTTAAAGGCGACTGAAACTCCCATCCACACACCGTGAACTCTGTTTGACCATCGGGAGGAGCAGTCCGTGGAGAGAACTGCGTCAATAAAGCAGAATCTATAGTGCCATCTTTAATTGAAAATGTTTTTATTAGTCGCACAAAGAGACGTTTTTCCCTTGGATTAGAAAACAAACCTCACCCCAGTGATCCCCGGCTGGCAGGACCCGTTCCTCCACTGACTTTGACACTCGCTCTCCCAGGAGCAAACTCCAGAGCACCAGCCACAGCCCATGAATTTAGGGGCTGTCAGGCAGATCGCACAGGTCAGGAAGTGTTGACAACCTGGTCCTCTCTGGGGCACCTGGATCATCTGAAACAGAGAGATTTTTAAACGGTAAAATATTCAGATCATGTTTTTGGTTCCACTTATTATTTTGTTTCTCTGTTGGTTGGCTCTACTGGCAGGATTTGCATGAAACTTAGTGGAAGGTGTAGCATGGGACAAAGAAGACCCCATTACATTTTAGAGTGGATCTGCATTGCAGTGCTTGGCTTTTAAAAAAGTAAAACAATACTGGGCTTCATTTAGCACCAAGGCAAGGCGAGTTTATTTATATAGCACCTTTCAGTACGCGACAATTCAAAGTGTTTTACAAAATAAAATAAGAGACATTTAAGAATAAATACAGTAAAAACACATTATATAATGGCATTTTACAACAGGCATTTAAAAGGCAAATATAATAATAATAATAAGTTATACAATACATGAATAAAAAGCAAACTGCAGTGTGAATATGAATATGTGTATATATATATATATATATGTATGTGAATATATTCAATTAAAAGCAGTTCAATTAAAAGCAGCGGCAAAAATATATGTTTTCAGTCTGGATTTGAAAATAGTACGAGTTTCTGCGGACGTGCATGATTCAGGCAGTTTGTTCCAGATTGTGGGGGCATAATAGCTAAACGCCGCTTCTCCATGTTTTGTTCTTACTCTCGGAACCCGAGAGCAGACCCGTCCCAGAAGACCTGAGACACCTTGATGGGTCATAATTATGCAGGAGATCGTTGATATTGTCAGGGTTTGAGTTTTTGTGTCTAGTTTTGGGGTTATTTTGCTGTTCCGTCCTCCCTGTCGTTAGTTTCCCTGGTGTGTCTGATTGTCTGATTGTGTTCACCTGTTGCCCTTGTGTTTCTCCTCCCCTGCCCGGCTGTTTCTCGTCTCGTGATTACCCCTCCCTGTATTTAGTCTTGTCTCTTCCTGTGTTCAGTGTTGGTTCGTTATTTGTCATTCATGTCTCCCTTTGTCATTCGGTCACAGTCCCTTTTTGTTTGGATGCTACCTCGTGCCTTGTACCTAATTATGGATTCTTGTTTTTTCAGCTTTTGTGAATAAAGCTCACCTTTTGTTCCCTTTTGAAACCTGCTTCCCTCCTCAATCTGCATTTGGGTCCTATTTTTCCCCAACCCTGACAGATATAATTTAGTCCTAAACCATTTAGTGATTTCAAAACTAGCAATAGAACTTTAAAATAAATTATTTGGCCGGCTGGAAGCCAGTGTAAAGACTTCAGAACCGGACTGATGTAATCCACTCGTGTTTGTGAGGACTCGAGCAGCAGCGTTCGGAATCAGCTGCAGCTTTCTGAAGGATTTTTTTGTCAGCCCTGTGAATACACTATTGCAGTAGTCGAGTCTACTGAAGATGAAAGCATGGACAAGCTTTTCTAAATCCTGTTGTGACATTAGTTTTTTAATCCTAGATATGTTCTTCAGGTGATAGTATGCAGATTTAATAAGTATTGAAATGTGACTGTTAAAATGCAGGTCTGAGTCCATCACCATACCTAGATTTCTAGCTTTATGAGTTGTTTTGTAGTCTGCCAACTGAGGCTCTGCGATTACTTTTAATCGGTCCTTCTTTGCTCCAAAAACAATGGCACCAGGCTGTTCAACAGTCATATTCAATACATAGCTCTTAGTGCTACTGTATAATAAAGTACAAAAATCTGTCCCACACGACCTTAGTGATTACTGATCCAGTTCCAGCTTCTCCTTGCAAAGTCATATCGAGTTTATTGATTTGCTTTAGTCCTTCTCAGGGTCACAGGCGATGCAAAATATCCCAGCATGCACTGGGAAGAACGCAGGAAAACAAAGTGGACAGGTCTCCAGAGCATCATAGGGTCAATATCAGGCAATCTCTCACACTCTCAACTCATTTGTTATTGTAATGTAACCCGACCTGCATGTCTTTGTTCTGTGGGAAGAAATGTGACCCCTAGAGCCTAGAAGAAAATGATACCTACTAAGCCATTGTACACATTTTTATTTATTTAAATAAGATTGCTCTACCTTGTCTCCAACCACAAAGAGAAGATACTCTGATGAGTAAACGGTGGCAATCGAAGACACCCTCTGGTTCTCTACCAAAGAGTAATTGGCAAAGATAATTGGGCTGGATCGTGTCAATACAAGCTGCCAAAAAAAACACAACGTTAAGTGAAGATAAATAACAAGAATAGCTAATGAAAGAATATGTAATTTTTCATGCAGTATACCTGCAGCAGGCGTCCAGTAGAGGTGCCGATATGAGCCACGGTCTTGTTCTCTATGGTTGTGACCAGCAGAGATGTGAGCAGGACGTCCGTTAGCTGCCTGTTGAAGAGATCCACTCTGTAGTAGGGCTTTGACACCATGCTAGGGTGGTCTCTGCATGTGGCGTTGTTCTCCATGCTCTAGAACCAAGGCCACAGGAAGCAGAGGGAAAGGAAATCAGACGATGACGAAGATACTCAACACTTACTCAACAGTAACATGTTTGAACTAGGTTGATAGTAGAGCTTTGTAAAATGGAGTAGTTCATTAAATGGCAGACAATGTTGTAAACAGCTTCTCATTTAAGGCCAATTCCTTATTTTCTGTGTTATATCATATAAAACTGAATATCTTTGGACTGAAAAATCGTTTTTGCACTGTTTTTCTGAGAGAAGAAAAAAAGATTTGACACTAAGGTCTACACCAGACCGCTGGCCTTTAGAAAACAAAAAAAGCAAAAAGAAGAGGTCTGACCTCACTTGATTTCAGATTTAACCATGTTTAAATTCAAATTAATATTAAGCATTACAATGTATTCTTAACTTGAAATCAGTTCTAAAACAAAACAATCAGAACTCAATGTTAAGCCAAGGAAAAAACATTCCCAATGCAAGGCTCCTTATTTCCAAAGCTTTCAACTGCATTACATATCACTGGGGCCCCCTTGTTCAACCAAAACCCAACAAAGCTGCCCTGATGCCCATAAGGTAGAGAAGGGGAAAAAGGCCCTCTATGGTGCCTTTCATTAACGCAGTGCCATATAAGCTGCCCTGCTTGCTAGCAAACATTCTTTGGCTGGTGTCCAACCACATGCAGCTAGAGCACTTTATTTTATTGTTCCCCAATGTCGCTTAAATGGCCTAAGCCTGCCACCCATGCTCAGTTGTCATGGAGATGGGCCTGTTGGAACAAGCCAATAATTTGACCTGGATATTGACAGCTCAGATTATGTGTGCAAAAATGTAATTCTCAGAAGATCACATTTTAGTTTTTTGAAATGTATCGCTGTAGTAAGAGAGGCCCAGCTGTTAGCTTGTAAGGACGTGCTATGAGCTGCACTGGTCACCAGGTTAATCATGATAAATAATGTCCCTGGCACATCAGAAGCACAAGGTGAATCTGCCACGATAACATAATTTCATAATTTAAGAGGTCGTGATAAATGATTATGTGCGGAATTACTGACAGAAAGATTGCCTGCTGGCTATAAACGCAGAGCAGGTCGGATCACTGCTTTGATTGAAAGGGAGTCTGTAAACACTGGGTATTAGCCTCAGGACAAAATATAAAAAAACGTTCTAATTGTTTTCCTGGCATCTAAAAATGAAACAGGAAACTGGGAAATAAGCATCTTTCGAATTAAGTGAATGCAAAAATAAATGTTGGAGTACATGAATCCTCCCCTGACTCGTGATGTAAGCCGAGGGTTAAAGCACAAACATTGCTTTTGACTGAAGTCATTCACCTCCAAACCCAAGAGGAGCGTGAAACGAAAGCATAGTATTTGTGAGGCACAATATGACGTTGTTGGCACAAAAAGCTGCTTTGATCTGCTGAGAAATGGAAGAACCAGGATTTCAGATTTTTGGACAATCCCGCTGGCAGGAAGTTACTCAAAACTCAGACCAGCAGCCAAAAGCAGCAAAACAGAAAAACCTCAAGACAAAAAAGTTCACTAGTCAGGTGGAAAATGTTCTTTTGAAGGCAAATACAAAAGAGAACAACTCCATTAAAATGTTTGTTTTTCAAGATTTCCATCTACTATGAATCCTTCAGTTAAAATGAAAAAAAACAGTGATATTTTGTCAGCCTGCCTTAACCTTGAACAACAGACAACATCTCAAGCTGCAACTCAGTTCTGGGAATGTCACTACATGGTAATTCTCAAACTGACAAGAAAGTATTTTTTAGTTATTAGGGAATACAAAGTGGTACCACAAACTCCCACTCCTAGCCACCATGTAGATAATATAATAAATAACATTATGAGAAATATGTATAGCATCTGAAAAAAAGAAAGCAGTTTTCCCACGAGAAATGACACAAGTAACCAATGCAGTCTAAATGGTATACCTAAATTCAAACTGTTGCCTTAAAAGGACATTGAATACACTCACACCATGCCAGTTAACTGATATAACAGGAAGGAATGAGGCAAACCTTTTAAGACAATTTAAAAAAAATGTTTTGCTCTTACTGTCTGACCTGAGAAATGCACTCAACTGATGCAGAAAACAAGTCATACAATGTCAACAACCCTCAATCCCACTGACCCCTGTCTAATGTTCATTCCACCAGTGTGTAGGCTGACATTTTCCATACTTGTTCATCCAAAAAGCCATTTGTATCCATGTTTTCTTGGATTTAACAGCGAGTGCTCACTGAATGCTGATCAGTGGCGGTTCTAGACCAATTTGACTGGGGGGGGCCAGGCTGGGGCCAGTTATTCTCTGAGGGGGGCCCAATAAATGCAGGACGAAAATGACAAAGACAGTATGAAGTAATTGTGCATAAGAAAACAATGCAATAAAGTTATTGGTATTTGTTTCAGTACACATATTTATTTCAGATACTTATAGTTACAGCTTTTACGCTCTAATGCAGTGGTTCTCAACTGGTCAGGCCTCGGGACCCACTTTTTTCCTTTGTCAATAAATTGCGACCAGACATTTTGAACCGCTCAAATCTATTCAACAAACGCTTTTCAGAATACAATATGAATTCAAGTGAAGTACAGTGCATATATCCCTTATATCCTTTCACAGGACTAAAGTATGCTTTTAAAAAAGGTTTAATCTGATGATGGTCATCAAGTTTCTAGAATCAAAGCTGAACTCTATAACATAAAGAGGCACACTTGTCTTGTACTCAATAAAAAGGCAGACTTGGAGCCAATCCTGCAAATCCACCACATGTGAACAATTTGAAATGCTGAAAACCTAACCCCAGAAGGGGGTCTGGAGAAATACTAACATTTAAACTACGCAATCTGGTATACTCTGAGAAGAAAATAAATACATCTATTACTAACCGACATATTAATAATATTTGATGCCATTGTTTGTGTTTCACTTTGTTCTGACAGCTTGCTGAAAGATATAACGCCTGATGAAGAGGATGTGGATAGGATGGATGAAGTCAGGTCAAAGAGGAGTAATACACATGTTTGGATTACCTCGCACACCTTTTCTATCGGATGATCGCAAAGCTTTCATGTCAGTTCATGACTGCAATTAAACAATTTTTTTAGTTACTGTTTAACTTTTGGGGAAATATGTGGTTTGGTGTTTTGCCAAGAGTTTGATGAATACATTCATACCATATCTGTCATGTCCGCTTGGTAAATATGAAGCTAGTGCTAGCAGGCAGCTAGCTTAGCTTAGCACAGAGACACAAAGCAGGGTGAAACAGTTATCCTGGCTCTATCCAAAGCATCGACATACCAACACTACTAATTATCATCATGTTATGTCTTGATTTTTTAAAGTCAGTCTTTGCAGGTTGTGTGGCAACTTCATGAACAAGACACCACCCTTAAACCACAAATTGTATTTTTAACACCTCTGTTTTTGTTTGGATTAAATAAACAAGATTTTACTTTTGAGATTGAGATGTGTTGAAAGCATGGCAGATATTTGTTTGTATTTTTGCACAGTGCTAGCATAGCTGTTTCCCTTGTCTCCAGTCTTTATGCTAAGCTAAGCTAGCAGTCTTCTGCCTTAAGTGTCATAGTTCTCTAACACACAGCTAGGCTATATGAGAGTCTTATCATTTGACACAATAACCACAAAAAGCTGGAGCCGTGACACTGTACAACCTTTTTGTTTCATTTCATTACTCATGTTTGGCTGAAACTACAGAAGCACAGTCATCTTGCTCCTGCCAGTGGTGTAGAGCAATGTTTACAGTATTTAATAAACTAAAATATGTTTCTACATAATAATCTGAAAAATACACTTGAGGGTTTTATCCTTGTCACTATCATTGTTGATCAAAACCACAACATCAGAGAAACTCCTACTTTGTTATTTTATTCATTAGGATTTCTTCATGTTCAAACTAGCTGTCATGGAGTCTCTTCTACACTCCCAATGTGTAAATGCCTTGGGTTAATGTTGGTATGTATGTGGAGAGGATGGTTCACATTCCTCTCACTCATTTGATCGACACTTTTATTAGCCAGGTGAACATGTGATGCTAGATAAATGCTTATTTATTTGTGTTCAGTGTTTCTGCTCTCACATGTTTTTCTTTTCGGGGACTTTAATTCCGTGGCAACTTTAGGACTTTTTTTTGTCTTTTGTCAAAGTAAAATAGTACTATCTGCAAATTAGGGAAGATTGATGCCACCGAAGTCAAGGCCATTACCAAGGCCATTATTTGATACGCACGACCAACCATTGTCGATTACAACACAAGCAAATTATAGTTTTCAATGATTTCCTCCAGTCATAACAAACTAAGTAACCTTACTATCTTTTCAATATGTACACGCATGTTAAGAAAACAGGTAATATATGGCTCACATGGTACGATTTTGAACAGGACCTGCCAAGAGTCAGCAAATAGTTTTCCATTTGAATGAGCGCAGTTCACCCGGATACCTCAGATGTTTTCTAGTTTGAGTGAGTTCTATAAAAGTGATTGATGTATTGGATGATCTTATCCTATCCAGTAGACTCCACATGCCAGCCCTTGACAAATCAGACACGCACACAATTGAATTTACCTTTGATCTACACCTGTCTGTACCTGTCGGTATACAGTAGTACAACATTGCTTTGTCTGTATGGTTACCCTCAATTTGTAAATCCCTTGCAATATGTTTATGGTAAGACATTGACCTTGACTGTTCAGGGTTGAGATAGATGATTGGGCAGCAAGTCTTTATGATTCTAGAGTGACCATCTTAGCCTTGAATAAAATCAAAAGTAGACCAAATCACCTATAAATTGGTGTGTGTTAGCAGACTGATGGGCTCACCTCATGTGGACAGCTCTCACAGGACTGGAAATGGCAGAGCCCTCTAGAGAGCTGCTCTGGTCCAGACTCACAGCAGTCATCAACCCCATCTGCGATCGCTTTGTTCACGTTGTCCATTGGGAAGGCGCACAGGGCAGAGTCGTGCTCCGTGACCCCGTTGTCATCAGTAACAGCAAAAACTCCATAGAGGATGTCATCCTCCTCCTCCGCCCCTAACTCCTCTGCCAGCTCCCTGCCTGCCTTGCCAAAATGGGCTGCCTGGACCACGTTGTAAACCACATCCTTATAGGGCTCACTGGCTACGTTCCTCCGTCTGCGTTTTGGTTCAAACCGACACTCCAGGATCACCTCACGATACCTCTTCATCTCCCATTCATTCCTTGGGAGTCGGCCCAAACGAGTCTGAAATGGAGAGGATTCCTGATCTGGACTCTCTCTCTGAACTGAGACGAAGTAGACAAACTCCTGAGTGAAAAAGCTGTAGACATATTCAATATTGTATGTCCTCCGCAAACCTGGAAGGACAGTCAGGCTACGCACATCCTTGTAGAAACCATCTTCTGTGGCCAGTGGTCGACGCACCGATATAGACTTCCTTCCGTAACGCTGCGTCACACTGTCATTGACTGTGGCGGCAACAAAGAAGTAGACAGTCTGACCCTCTTCCACCATGGTGACTTTGGTACCGAGAGGACTAGCCACACAGTCAGGACAGTTGGCGGCGGGGTTTGTAACCTTTCTGAACAAACACTTTGAAAGAGAAGGAGGCTCTCCATTTGAGTTAAGTTGGTGGAAATGGCATACACCATACTGAGAACTTCCACAAGAGTATAAATACATAAAGAGGGTATCCAACAGCAAGACCTGATTGTTTGTGTCCTCCAGGAAGTTTGGATCCTTGTCAATGTCGCACATATCGCATACCCGACACTCTGGGCTTCCCACTGGCCCAGTGTGGAGCTCCCAAGCCTTCTCCAAGCTTCTGTTGACGGCTTCAATCACATTCTTAGAGGCAACATACACCTCCTGGTAATACGAGTTGTTGACTATGTTCTGGATAGGACCCTTAGCCTGGAAGAACGGCATGGTGTACACAACGGAGAAGTTGACAGGGTTGGGGTAAAGTGAGGGACAGTTGGCCAAGGCAAAGGCCAGCAGAGTTTGGATACAGACACATGTCCCCCACTGTGTTGTCCAGTGCACCATCTCCGCTGAGAGGGGGGGGGCAACAGCACAGACAAGGTGGGGTTACCTCCAGGTCTGATGTTGGGACAAGGGCATCCTTAATACACGCCGCTGATACCTGAAAAAAAGTAAGTCATTTAGAAATATCTTGAGAATTTTTGGTTGAGCCAAAGTGCTGTACATGTAATAAAAACACATTACTACAATCACAATAAAAGAAAATAATTTACAATAGAAATATAAAAAACAAAAACACAGGGAATAGTCAGGTGTCATGCTCCGCTCTGACTAGAAGGCCAGGGAGAAGAAGTGAGTCTTTAGTGAAGATTTTTAAAAAAAACAGGGTCTGGGCCGACCTCACATGGAGGGGCAGACTATTCCAGAGCCTGGGGCCAGCTGCTGCGAAGGCTCGGTCCCCTCGGGTTTTGAGCCTGGTCTTGGGCACTATCAGCAACAGCTGGTCAGCGGACCTTAAAGCTCTGGCTGGGGTGTAGCGATGGAGGAGTCCGGCTATATAGGCAGGAGCCAGCCCATTTAGGGCTTTGAAAACAAATAAAAGGATTTTAAAATCAATTCAGAACCGAATTGGAAGCCAGTGTAGTGAGGCCAGAATTGGGGTGATGTGGTCACGCTTTTTGTGGCCAGTCAGAAGACGTGCAGCTGCATTCTGAACTAGCTGCAGGCGTTTAATTGAGGCCTGGTCCATACCCACATACAGAGCGTTGCAATAGTCCAGTCTTGAGGTAACAAAGGCATTAATAACCCTTTCTAGGTCTTTAAAAGATAAATACGACTTGGTTTTGGCCAATAGTCTTATTTTTAAAAAAAAAGAAGGATTTGACTACGGTGCTGACCTGCTTGTCGAATTTAAAAGTGCTAGTGAAGGTCACTCCAAGGTTCATGACAGAGGGGAGGATGTTTTCATTGAGAGAGCCCAGAATATCAACCGGAGAGGCTGGAGGTTGGGGTCCAAAAAAGATGACCTCAGTCTTGCTCTCATTGAGGTTAAGGAAGTTTTTGCTCAGCCAGGATTTTATCTCTATCAAGCAGTAAATCAACTGCTGTAGTGAGTGTTTGACAGTTGCTTTGAGAGGCAGATAGATCTGTACATCGTCGGTGTAGCAGTGGAAGGGAATATTGTGTGTAGTGAGAATTGAACCTAGGGGCAGTATGTACAGTAAAAAGAGGATGGGGCCCAGGATAGAGCCTTGGGGAACCCCACAGGTAAGAGGGGCTTTTAGGAGGAGAAGGCACCAAGCTGCACTGAGAAGCTACGGTCTGTCAGGTAGGACCTGAACCATGCAAGGGCAGAGCCTGTGATGCCTGCGGACTGTTCAAGCCGTGACAACAGGATGCTATGGTCCACAGTGTCAAAGGCAGCTGTCAAGTCTAACAGCACCAGGACAGCTGGGCTACCTGAGTCGGCGGCTAGGAGCAGATCATTAAAAACTCTTAAAAGGGCTGTTTCAGTACTGTGTCATCATGTACTATTTTATGATGATGCTACCGTGGATATTTTTTGACTAATGACATTTTGAACCAATATAATTGTATGTACTGCACTGAATCTAAGGTGACAAATACCCTCATCTCGGTCGAGCCAGATGAAGATGAGAGTACATGTGGTCATAAATATAAAAGCTTCCTCTGACTCACCTCAAACACTTAGAGGGACTGTTTACATAATAAAACAGAGTGCTGTGTTTTGGTCGTGCTCAGTATAGTAGACAATGTATTAAAACTATTTGTATTGTGACTTCCTGCACAAGTCATTCAGTCTAGTCCTGTTTATTCTGGTTAATCCAACATCCGTTTCTTCCATTGTGAGTCATGCTCTTTTATGCAAGAGATCTGAAAGTAATCAGAATAATCAACTAAAACTGAGCATTTTTCAGTGGTTCGTCTTCATCCGCCTTTCAACAACCAACCAAATGGAACCGTGTTTCAAACTCTGAGCCCTGTCTTCATCCTGAGCAGCCGTTGTTCGGTGGATCATTAACTAGACACATCAGAGTTAGGCTGTTTTCAAGATCCTGGCGTCTCTGCTTTGCATTCCTGTCACAATCAATACGTGCCTCTCAGGGGGAACGATGTGCACGGACTGATGATCATAAGACGACATGTGCCTTTTTAAGCCTCAGGTGCAAGAACAACGGATCGCTTGCACGTGCCAGAGAATTTCCTCAACGATTATTTTTATATTTAGCAGCAGAGAAACTTTAATCTGTCCAATATTATTTCAAGAAAATATCAGTTTTTCGGGTTTAAGCACTTGTGTGGAAAGTTTCAGATCAAGTATGGCGTCCTCACATCAATAATTCATAGATTCCCACTAAAGTTGTGTTACATTTTAACATTTGCTGGTCCAAGTGAAAGGTTAAGGTTAGAAGACATGGGTATACATAGTAATGACACTGATTGACTTTCTTCATGTTCATGGTTAATAAAGCAAATGGTTGAAATTGAGTTTCCATTCATTGTACTAAAGGTGCTATTTACAGGCTTGTCAGCATGCAGGATTTGTACCAGTGTAATCCATCACAGGGGAGTTAGGGAATCACAATATGGATTTCTTTTATGGATTGGCAGATAAACAATTATTGCCAGTTAACCCAAAATGTCACATGATGGTGAATTAAAGTTGCAGGATTTTGATTAACAGTTAATATGTTACTTTTATTCCTCAACATTTCTGACAAGTGCATTTTTATTCTTAGCATCCAAATGGATTGACATATTTGATTTATCTTTTTTATTATCGTTTAATTACAACAGCATCCTGTGAGGCTATGGGATGTGGACATTGTATTGGCTGCATTGTGCAACAGCTTTAATGAATCAGTGCCGGACACTTTGGTGGCAGTTCATTAGACTAATAGAGAGCATCTCTGTTTCATCGATCACAACACAGATATCCACAGGGATTTGAGAAGGCAATCTGCTGTACAAACAATCTATGGTCAAAAACGAAAGGACATGAAGTATTGATTCAGCGGCAGGACATGCAACCTAAACAAAACCCAACAGTGTGGAGCGACAACAGTTATAAAACATTAATATAAGGATGGTTTATTTTTGTTTATTCTTCTAAATTGATGGAAGATGAATCGAGGAAGTCAACATGGTAACCCAAATCAATTCTAACAATTTCACAGAAGCCTTTTCTTGTCTTAATTGATCTTATCTCTTTGAGTATGCCCTTGTTTCCTATCCTGTTCAGTGAAATCATGCCAGTAGATTCTGGCTCTATTCCAAATATCAAAATGCTTCCAACAGCTGCACCAAATAAGCCAACACCTTTCTCTGTGAATGGTTATCAGCACATCTTTTTCAGTTGTCATCACATAAACACAACTTGCCAGAAAACTTGTACTACAACAAAAAAACTCTTTAAAATAAAACTCTTAAATGGGTTTAAAAATGTGTGCCACAATATGGTTACACTTCTTTAAACAATATGACATGAGTAATGCTCCTCTTGTACTATGTTTCTGAACGGTTTTTCTGCTTGTTGGTTATAATATCTATATATTTGCTATAATATCTGAACATGCGCGTTAGTTAGTCTTTTAATAATGTTCTAGTTTCTTAAATACTATCCGTTTCATGCAGCTGTGAGTGTTGTGAATATCTTACCTGTGCAGGTTAGACTCTGTCTTCTTCAGGGAAGCACACTCTGCCAGGTTCACTCCTTGTCTTCACTTTAGAAAAAGCGCAGTGAGAATGACTCTTTGCTCAGGTAATTTCAAGATTATTACACCTTTAGAATTAATTGTTGATCAAAATGAAACCCGGACAGTTCTCACAATGTGCTGTGACATGTAAAGTATGTTTGTTTCGGATTTGACTTCACTCCCAGGTTGGGTAAGTCCTCTGAGCCTCAGCGCAGCTCCGGCTCCTCCCTCCTCACAGCAAACCCAATTCATTTAATTTAATTTCAAACCTTTATTTAGACAGATAGGTCCCTTGAGATCATGGATCTCTTTTACAAGGGAGACCTGCATCAATTTACTTCCACATGAAACATAAAAACAACCTAAAAACAAACAATGGAGGACATCATATTTACATATTCACCAACACTTACACCATAGTGTCAGAAAGCATCTCGTGCAGACGTGCCTTAAAAACATTCAGAGAAATAAAATTGCTCAATTTCAATTTGGACTGTAGGCTGTTCCAAGCAAGTGGAGCTGCGCACATAAAAGCCGTCTTACCGAAGACAGTCTCACTCTTGGCACATCTAACAAGACCACATCCTGCGATCTCAGACAATAGCTGCCCGCAACTTTCTGCTTTACCAGAGAACAGATGTAATACGGGAGTTTGCCCAACATAGCTTTATAAATAAAAGTGTACCAGTGACTGAGCCTCCGTACAGAGAGTGATGGTAAACCTGCCTTGGTATACAGTGTACAGTTATGTGTAACCCTCATTGTGTTGCTGTACCCACCTTTTAATGGTGACGCACGTGATGTCATCATGCAAGTAGTTCGGTAAAATTAGAAAAATATATTGATGTTTTCGAAAGGAAGGATCAATAACATTTAAAAACAAAATGTTGGAGAACTTACATTGCTCCCTGTCTGCAGCCAGAGAGACTCCGCAGGGACCGTCTACAAAGTGCAACACCGAAAATACATAACAATACAAATATTCCATAACTTCCCCGTCAAAGAATAAAGTGCTACCATAATCACATTACACATTATTGATCTCCTGCCGATCAGAATACAACACTTGTTTTGAAAGAAAAGGCTTTTGCATAATTCTATGATTTTTCATGAAAGTTTCTACTTTTTTTTAAAACATACTCACTTTGTCCTATTTCTTTACTATACATTAATTTTTTCATTGTGTTTTTCGAAATTCTAAACTTTGACTTTGGTCATATTTAGACATATGCCATGTAAGTTTTTCAGTTTTCAGACATGCACTACCATGTTGTTTTTTCTGATATTTTCAACATAATATACAGTTGAGGCCTAAATTATTAGCCCCCAGGAGTTATGGAACATTTTCCTAAAATTCTTCCCAATGTTTCCAGCATTGATAAAACTTGATATAATCAAACATTAAATATAATGAAAAATGGGTTGGTCAAAATATTAGCCCCCATGTGAATTTTTGCTTTAAAAACACACCTAATTACATTACATTACATTACATTTAGCTGACGCTTTTATCCAAAGCGACATACAATTACCAATTACAGGGACATTCTCCCCGGAGTAACTGAGGGCTAAGTGCCTTACTCAAGGGCACACTAGTGGTGGTGTTCCAGGCGGGATTTGAACTCACAACCTTCCGATCTTCAGCCCACCTCACTATCCATTAGACCACCACTACCCCCTAATCAATCAATCTGCTTACAAACCACACCTAATCAACCAATCAGCTTTCAAGCTACACCTGAGCATTCAATAAGCATAAAAGGACTCCAAGAAACAGGCACTTGAATACCTTATTGAGAGGGACTATACTACTACTCCTACTCACCATGCCAAAGACAAAGGAAATCTGTGGCTCATGATAAGGGGGAAGGCTATACTGCTATTTCCAAGCGCTTCAGTGTCGAGAACTGCTGTACGTTGCATCATTGCGAAGTACAAGGAGACAAATTCTGTAAGAAACAAACCTAGGCGTGGTCGAAAGTGCAAGATTTCAAGAACTCTGGAGAGGAAAATAGTCAGAGATGTCAGCAAGAATCCCCGGACATCTGCCAAGATGATTGTTGTAGTAATTAGATGGCACTTCTTCCACCATCCATACTAATACATTAAAGTAAGAAAACACCAAGGTCACAGCCCAGCAAGACTCATACTCCTTTTTATTACAAGCCATATATATTCATATTTAACTCATCTGTAATTCTGCAGCACCCTTAAATTGGCTTTGCACAATAACCTCTAGTTCAGGCGTGATTAGTGGAGGCGGATGTGGCAACGGGATCCTGTGAAATACAGCGAACCTTAATGATTAGACACAAGAACATAACATATCATACAATACTGTTCTTAGCAAATGTGATAATATGGTAAATCAAGAAAAATGTCTCATGGTCATTGAAAGAGACGGACATTTAGATTTCATGATAAGACAATAACAATGCAAACAAAGGACAGCAGTAAAAAGTTTACAGAATCATAAACACGTTTGTCTTCGGAGTTCCTTTTGCATAAAGAAGGTGCATAGAGGTAAAAACGACATACAGTAATTGGTCATCACGTAAAAGGTAAAACATAATAGGAATGTGGTTAACTCTATTATCTATAATAACAATACATCCCCCGCAGGTCCACAGGAATTCCAGTTTTTCAATTGAAATGTTATTCTTGACTTGAACTGAGCACCACCATTGGGTCATTGATGATGCTGCTTTCATCCGTGTTTTTTTACATTTTAAGTTATAAAACAAATCAAGAGAAAATTGCTTTCTTTCATTGCACAATCATCAGGAGTCTGTGAGTTAGATTAAAAGAATCAAGAAGCAAGGGGGAGAAAAGCATTGCTCCGTCAATCAGTAGTTAACACCGAGCTGCAGTTGTTCAGGGGTGATGCTTTTAGTTTCAGGAGGTGAGTCTGCAGACAGGCTCAGGATGTGAGAGGACTCAGGATGTGAGAGGACTAGGGATGTGAGAGGACTCAGGATGAAGAGGACTCAGTATGTGAGAGGACTCAGGATGAAGAGGCGATCCTCCTCCTTCCTGATCCACTTCAGCAGTTTGGTGACAGCAGTGACGGCCAGAGCCTTCGTCCCCAGAGGACTGAAGCAGAGGTAGAGCTCGAAGCCGCTCGTCACCTGCAGGAAACAGAGGGAGAGGAATCACACATCCTTTATTCGTCCTACAGCGGGGAGGATCTACAGCGGGGACATTTACAGCGGGGACATTTACAGCGGGGACATTGACAGCGTTACAACAAGTAATAATATTAGTAGACAACAATATTAAATGAGGAGACAAGCACAAGGTTGTTTAAATGTGTATCACAATATTATATGAGTAGGGATGGGCACCGAGCCCCGGTATTAAAGGTGGGGTAGGTACGTTTGAGAAACCGGCTCGAGATACACTTTTTGTTATATTCCATGGAATGCTCTTAACATCCCGATAGCAATAAATATCTTCAGTGCTTTGACAAAAAATCCATAACAAAATGTCATCTGTGGAAGCCGTAGCGCTGTAAAAAGCACGACCAATCATTTTAGCCGACCCGGCTAAAGTAACTGGATGGCCTACCTGCCTGTCAGCCTTCCATCTGTGCACAAACTTATCTCGTGCCCTCATTGGTCATGTGCGCGTTCGTGTGTGTTGGAGGAGGGGCTCTGTGAGGAAGTGGCAGATTTTTTCCGCTGTGTATTTTCAAATTCTAGCGCACTCGAGACAAGCCCCCAGGAAGTGCACCAGACTCTGATGAGAATATTCATTGTGGCCAAACGGCGGTACTACACTTCCGTTTGGTTGCCAGGCCCGGAAACACTTTTTCCCATTGACTTACATGGGGAAAGAGTGGTCTGTAAATCGTTTGGATAATTTTTTTTTAACTAAATAAACAACCCAGTATGAACACTTGTATAGCCCTTATTAAAAACATTGGTTCCTCAAGTTGTAAAAATATGCTAATAACGTTATTCTGAGAGTTATTAACCTCTGCATTATGAACGCGCATCTAACCCACAGGACCGCGCTGCCCGGCACGTTCATGTGATGTGACGTGTTCAATACTACTATGACTACCATGGATGCACAATAATAACGGAGCCATATCGCCTTACTGCCAGCCCGCGGAGCTGTAATAATGGATATATTGCACATGTTTGCTGTAATTCATCATTTGTAAAATATTATACTGCATGGGCTGTATGATTAAATCTTGTATTAAATAAAGTTCATATTACCGACGTAGATTAACGTCCCTGTAGCTTCTTATTGCACTTGCAATATACCATTAAAGGAGTTGAACGTTGCTGTTTGCTATTACTATAATACCACGCAGGGATAAACCAGAGTTTACAACCTTTGCATGTGGGCACAACACGTTTTGACCCAGATTAATTAGCTATACCATATGATATCGCCCGAGGAAGTCGTCATACATATATAAATAAAGATATATGTGTCAAAGCTCTAATCAAATGAACAGTTGTATTAATTATATTTGTATATGTATATATATATATATATATATATATATATATATGTATATAGCCTGTGTTGTATATTTATACACACAAATGAACAACCTTTTGTGTGTCAAATAACAAGTTGTATTGTAGTGTTTATTTTAGTGTTGTTTTATGCATATCCACATTTTGATTTCAGAGCACAGGACTGCTGAACAAAACCATCACTAGATTGTGTTACATCAGCGTAATATAAAAGTACATAACGATTGATGTGTACGTACACATAATTACTAATGGCTCGGACGTTACACTGGCTAGCCGCTAGCCGCTAGCTGCCGCGTCCGCCTCGTTATTCGTTAATATCATCATAACAATCCAGAACGCGCGGTGCTGTTACGTGTACGCAAATTGACGTGCTTGATGTGAAGATGTGAACGAGCCTTTTGGGGGGCGTGGTTAAAGTTGCGCATGCTCTATGAGCGCACATATGGGTACTTCTCAGGCATGCTGGGTAATCTGTGACGTTTCACTCTCTCAAAAGTTGGGCCATTTTGTCATCCATGCGCCAATGAGCAACTCTCATAGGAATGAATGAGGCCCCGCCTCCCACGCTGTATCCAGTTCTTATTATACATCCATGACTCGAGCTGGTTTCTCCAAAATTACCTACCCCACCTTTAAACGGGCACGGGGCTGAATTATTAAAGACCGTGGTACCGTTAAGCTCCGACGTTATCGGTCTTTTTATCGGTACTGGAGACATTTGTCTCAAAAAAGATATGTCATATGTATTATTGCTACACAAACATTATATTGCAGTTTTAGTTTCGCCAACTCCGTTTCTAATATGCAAAAAGACTGCCAAATGCGTCCATGATTATTTTTAGTATTTTCGATCTTTCCAATCCAGAGGAGCGATCTCGCTCTCTCCCGTCTGTGTGCAAGGGGGCAGGGCAGTTTACACACACGCAGCTGCTACATGCAGCAACACACACACACACGGAGGAGATGGCGGAGAGAACTAAGCGCTCCGAGGTGTGGTTAAACTATAGCCGTCTCGATGCTCGTTACCAAAAGTGAAATAAGAGTTTAGCATGTGAGGGCGGTAACACGAGCAATTTGTCTGAACATTTAGCAAAAGTGCTCCACATTCAGACGGAGGAATGCACCGGGTTCCACCGTCTTTCTAGCAGCTCTGTAGCCCCATCCACGAGGAACGTTTCCACGTCAGGTGTTATGTATGCTAGCAGCAACACACGGAGTTAACTACATTATACAAACATGGGTTAATGATTAGAGGTAACTGAGTTATTCTTTATTTTGTTAAAGTTTCAGCTATTCTGTTTACAGTTCTGTCATCAGATTATTTAACACTGTTGTTTCTTTTGATGTGAAATAGTATGTATTTAATTTAAATAAAAAGCAATGTTAGTTTTGTTCACAATTTGTTTAGTGAGTTTACCTTATTTTTTTCTCCAAAAGAACCGATAAGAGTACCGTTAAAAGACCGGACCGATAAGCGGTATCGATAAAAGTAGTAGTACCGTTAAAACCTTAGCGATACCCATCCCTAGTTATGATCCCTAGTTATAATTTTGCTCGGTTTTATATGTGAAATGCAAAGGGCCAAACTGACTTTCTAAATTATTTTTATTTAATTGTGATTTTATTTATTTGCACATATATAGCAAGATGACTATTTGTATTATCTATTAGATAATACTTTAAAAAGATAAAGGATAAAAAGATCAAAAGTACATATGTGTTCATGAAATCCATGAAGGGTTATAAAACGTAGTTATTAAAGTATGTGTTTTTCCAAAGAGATGGTCCTCTTTATATTTGAATGAACAATAACTAAAGAAAGTCAGACAATATTATATATGTTTGTATTTATACAATAATTCATACCTGACAAAAGTATGCCAGATTAAAATGTCTTATGTTTGATGTCTTGATTCATATTAAAATGTAGTGTTAAAGTCACCGTCTAGATACATTACCTACATATTTAGCAATGCAGCACATCCAATGACATAATTATTGACAGTTTGGATGAGAAGTAAATAATATATGACATTGTTTGATACATTTTCTAAAGCATCAATTATAATATTTCAGCCACGAATATTCACAATGTTGTCCCGCTCTGCTCTGAGGCATTTCCTAATTTCATGTCTGACACTCTATTGTGAAAACTGAGCCCACAGCAGTTATGAAATCCTGTTAAAGACTCATCTGATCTCCCAGGCTTACCCACGCCAGCAGGTTTTCAGTATCCCCACAGCGGTAGACGTAGCGGAGAGGTCTGGTCGGGTGGTGCAAGCTGCTGTGGAGGTCCTGGTACAACCCCATCAGCCTCTCCTGCTCACAGTCAGACTTATACACATCAGGGAACTCTGGACTGGAGAGGAAATAAAGGGGGAGATGGGGTGACATGATTATCAGAGGTTTTTGCATGATTGTGACATTAATTAAACACATGAAAATGTTTGCTCAGACGTCCCGCCCACCTGGTGTACAGCCCTGAGCTCTTTGATTTGTACAGGAAGTGCCTGAGCTCCGGGATGCCCACCTGCTCCACAGAGTAGGTGGGAGACTTCAGAGCCTCCTTCAGGGCCGGGTAGGCGCTGCGCTTGCTCAGCCTCTCCATGAAGCGCTGCTTGCAGTCGGACATGTTAAAAAAGTCCTCTCGGTCGGTGGAGACCAGGATGAGGCAGAGCTCGGACGCGGGCTCCAGGTAAGAGATGTGAGCGTGGAAAAATCCTGCGGTGTTGAACTTTGGCAAACAGATCGGCGTCCAGCCCTCGCCTTCACGAAACGAGGAAGAGGAGCCGACGAGGTTGAACACCAGGTGCAAGTCTATGTGGTGCAAGAACTGGTCCTTCTTCCTCAGCAGAGTGACCAGGCGGTCCCCTGCCAGCAGGATGGAGAACACCAGGTTCTTGGACTTGGCGGCCTGCAGGCTGGAGGGACACGGTGTCCCGGGTGGAGCTGGCCAGAGGCAGGCAGGTGACGGCGCTGAGCAGCAGGCCGGGGTCTCGCTCCAGGCGGGTCAGCAGGTTGTCCGTCAGGTACTCGGAGCCGGCCAGCAGGCGGCGCAGGTCGTAGTTCTGCTTGTTCTTGAAGATGTTGTTGAGCTGGGTGAGGGTGAGCAGGCTGACGATCTGGTAGTAGATGTACTGCAGCTCTCGCAGCAGCTCCTTGTCCGACTGACAGGTGCGGGACACGCCCACCAGCACCAGAGGGCTCTTGGTGAGGAACACTATTTTACAGCCATCTGAGAGAATATGCAGAATATTGATTCAATATTGTTTATAAAAAACACACTTTTCACACCGTTTTTTCTACTTATTTTGGGCTTGTTTAGCCTTTATTAGAGAGATAGCTTTGAAAAGGGGAGAGAGAGGGGATGAAACGTCCAAAGGGGTGAGATTTATGAAAAATAATGTCACCACAAAAGACATGCATTTCAATGTTATTGGACAATGGAAAAAAACAAGGTGTTTTCTGCTCTGAGTTGAAAGCTTCACTGTTATTAGAAACAATAACTCAAATCAGCCCCTTGGCATAGTTAACATGGTACAACTAGAAACCCTGTATCTCCATTTCAAATGGATATCTCTAATAGAGGCTAAACTGGCCCAAAAATGAAAGAAAAAAAAAAATGTTCCCGGGCCGATTTAATTACAGCCTAAAACCAGGAGAAACAAAATGTATACCAAATTGAGATATTCAAAATCACAGAGGATGTCTACTCATTTCACTATATGGAAATCACATGAAAATATCCCCTTTCCCTAATAGCATGAAACCAAAGTACAGTCTGACCTGCTTGGATGGAGCGGATGATGTTCTTCTCGGCCTCAACGACAGACACCAGGGCCATCATCACCCCCATGGTGCTGGACAGAGCCTCCTCCGTGCCGTAGCGAGTGTAGATCGGCTTTCCAGCGTCGCTCAACACGAACACGTGTTTCCTGTGGCTCCTCCACGCCTCGCTGGTCACGTCTTCCTCCTTAGTCCTACTTTCTGACGTCATGTCGCTGCTGTGTGGCTCCTTCTCTCCCATCAGCACCTTCAGCTCCTCTTCACTATCTCCTGATTTGTTGATTTCGGCCTCCCTCCGAACTTCCTCCTCAGCCTCAGCGGTCAGATCCTCGAAGGACTGAGCATGGACGAACATCGCACTCTTCTGACCAGCACCTGTGGTGATGAAAGTGAACATGATGATGAAATGTTAAGCAGAGTTATACAGAATAATCCTTTAGTGCACATGGTGTTTTTTAACATAATTGTAAAAACAAACTTCAACATGTTTGATTTAGACTTTTCTGGAAGTTTTTTTTACAAGACAATCGTTTTTTGGTTAACAAGAGAAAATACTTTAAAGGGTAGAGAATAACTGTTTGATTTGGCAAATGTACGTCTGGATAGTTCCCCCACCTCTTCAGAGCAACACACAACCACTTTCCTCACAAGATGTCTGATGAGAACTATCCAGGACTGTCTTAAACTCCAACGACACATTCCCAAATCGGGCTGATTTTGGCCAAAAAAGGCAGCTGAAAAAGATGGAAAGTGATACTGAAATACTCTCTTAAATGCTGATATTAGGCAATGTTTATTCTTTTACTCAAACAAACAGACAAAACATTTCCCAGAAGGAAACATGTGGTTTTGGCACACTGACTGATATTAGCAACAGCCTGAGAAAAGCCTAGATTAAATGTGGTATTAATGAATGCGTTATAATTGACAAAAAAACAAGAATGGTCCTTCTTTAGGTTGTCAGACAGAATAAACTCCCGTCATGGTTAATGTCAACTTAGGAAAGAGAAAGTAGGAGAAGAATAGACTGATAATGAATCGCTACACAAAAAAGCAAAAATGTCATGTTTATGTCAAGACTCAGAAGAGCTAATCCCGGAAAGGTTACGTCATATCTGTCCAGAGTTGGATTTGTTCAAGCTGGATGTGACATGCCTCAGCCGCTGATGACATGCTTTTACCAGGACACTTTTCTTCTGTAGGAGATCTCTGCATTAATATAGTAAATGACCCTGTTGCTGTCTTATGACTGTTGGCAAGGTTTCCCTAATGCATTTAAGTTGTTCTGTCACATATAGTTACAGAGATTATTACAGAACTAACAATCTAGTGTCACAGAGACCCAAATAAAGGAAGCATTTAGTAGCTCCTTGTCAAGATTATTACAAGAGCGCTCCCCTCAGAGCGAATTGGTATTTGAGTAGTTACAACGCAGGCCATATAGGGAGGGAGGCGTGTGGCGCAGTGGGTCGTGCGTTGGTGTTCGGATCAGGGGTTACAGGTTCAAACCCCACTGCAGTCAGCATGTCGTTGTGTCCCTGAGACACTCCACCCCAAGTTGCTCCTGTGGGGATTGCCCACAGTACTGAGTATGTAAGTCGCTTTGGATAAAAGCGTCTAACAAGTAACTTGTAATGTAATGATATAATCACAACGTCAAACCCCTCTCTCTTACTTCCCTGATCTTCTTCCAGATAAAGATATTTTCAATATTTCTTTGCACAAACAGGATGTACAAACTCATGCTTTATCACTCACACACACACAATGCTCAGTGTGAGTCCTTCCCATTAGATTGCACACGTAAAATGGAGAACTTCACATTTTGACATGGTACAACAAGTATGTACTTTCACAGCGTATTCTGCTGCAAATATGCTCTGCTCCTATTTTGAAGCTTTTTTGGCTGGATGCAAGTGAGGAACTAACAAATAACTTGAATGATGTGCCAATGAAACTCTGCATAAGAGTTATTACTTAGCATTCAGGACGGTGGATCTCTACTTATCCTTAGTAGTTGCTTTGTATAAGGGACACAGGTGTACTGTAAATAGTTTACTCGTGTACTGTAAACATTTTTATGTTTTCTAATATCATCCCATGTGGGTCTTACCACAAAATGGAATAACTCAAATAAAATGACATGTACATGCTTATCAATGCCAAACGACAACACAACTTCCTCATAACTGTAGCCTACATAAGTAAAGGACTTGAGTAAATGTACTTTATAACATTCCACCACTGACTTCAGGTCTGTGTGACTGAGTCTACTGACAATCTGCAACAAGTGCTGAATATCTGGTTTGCTTAATGCACATATTTTGTATTGTATCGCATTCTATTTCAATGTCAATTACTGCTTTCTTTTAATTTACATTTTTTCTTATTTTTTTATAATGTTATTACAGTGTTCTTAAAATAGTTCGCTATCTGTGTTTTTTACTTTTTGTTTTACTTTTCTGTATGCACCACGACACCAAGTCAAAGTCCTCGTACGTGTCAACCTACCTGGTAATAAACCTGATTCTGAATAAAGACCACTCTCACCTGGTTCTGTTCCCTCCACCAGGCCCGGGAGGGGGCTGTCCGCCCTGTCAGAGCGAAGGTGTTCCCCAGGAGCCAGAGTCCCGTTCTCCCAGGAGGACGACGCCCTCTGGGAGTCTCCTTCCATCACTGCTGCTCGTGTTAGGGACACACACCTGGCAGAGAAACAGAGAGCCATGAGACCAAAGGTCAACAGCATGACACATCAATCAATCAATCAATCAATGTTTATTTATATAGCCCAATATCACAAATGTTACATTTGTCTCAGTGGACTTTACAGTTTGTACAAAATATCAGTATGACAATACACATGGCTGATGATCAAGCTGATTGTGACCTTTATATATATATATATATATATAGTTATGATATTTGGTCCACATTGACAAGACTAAAGTGCTCTTACTTGTTCAAAAAGCATAATAAAATAATCATAATAATGTAATTGTGTGAAAAGATCAACTCAAATACTTGAAGTAAATGACGCTGATAACACATCTTTACCTTATGTTATTCTGAAATGGGTCATTGTGCAGAACTAGTACTGCTTTTGTATATTTTGATGCTAGTACTTTTACTTGAGTAACATTTTGAAATCAGGACTTTTACTCGTAGTGAAGTATTTTAAGACCATAGTATTTGTACTTGTACTTAAGTAAAGGATTTGAGTACTTCTGCCAACACTGATGTGCTACTATGATGACATGTTATGGTCTGACTTTAACCCTTTATATTTTACCAGCAATGTTATAGCTACAGCTCAGTTTCACTTCCGTTGCCAAAGTTACAAGCTGCTGTGTTGCTGAATCCAAAGACAACATAAAAGAATCCTGTAACCAGTGGTGGAAAGTCCTGCACAATTTTGAGGAACTTGTACTTTCCTAGAGTATTTCAATTGTGTGCTACTTTGTACTTCTAGCCCACTACAATTCAAAGGTAAACTGTGTACTTTTGATCCACTACATTCATTGAATACCTTTAGTTACATTGCATATTTGGATTAAATTGTGAAATGTAGTCACACCTGTAGTAACATTCAGAAACGACCCTGCAGTAGAAAAAGACGTTAAAACCATCAGCACCTTTGATTAACACATTAATAATTATACTCAAACCATATGATGTTCTGAAATGGGTCAATTTGCATGATGAGTACTGTAACATGTCTCCTTCGTGTTTACATGGCTCCAGCTGTATAGAGGCGTACGCTATGCTAACGAAGAACTCCAAATGCTAGCTAACTTTAGCACATAGTTTCTACTGCTTGTCTTCGCTTTAGCAGCTCTCATGACTCGTTTGAAACATTCACAAGTATTACCTTTCATTCCCGGAGCTGTCTGCATGTGCTGGTTGTGCTCCACGACTCGCCTGTCACATTTACTGCAACTAACAGTAGATAACAAGCAGTAACATGACTGTAGTTCTTCTTGCTGGTTGACATGCCCTGCGGTTAACGTTGGGTTGCGGAAGTAGGAATTGTGGGTAATGAAGTTCTCTTCCAGGTAAATGCTTTAGAGTAGAAGACAGGACGATTTTAGTCAAATAAAACCAGTTATTATCAACGAATATATGTTATATGGAAGCTTTTGTCACCCTGAACGAATGAAGTCGTATTTAAAGCATGCAAAATGATATTTTCAATTACAAAAAGTGGCCGTAGGATCCCAACATTGAATTAAAAGTGTCCCTAGTTTACGAGCACCACCTGAACGCAGCATTAGGGGCGTGACTTGTGTTTGAACGTACAGCGCGGAAACGGAATAGCAATTGTGTGTTGCTGTTAGCTAAAGTCAACAGCGTACATTTAACTCGACTAAATGTCTTATTCCACACTGGATTAGGGATGCGTTATTCTCATTTTAAGAACAGCACAGTGATTTAACGTCTTTGGATAGTAAGTATGATAATTGTTGGTACTGCAGCTAACGTTATCTGGAGCTAACTAGCTTTTGCGTGGCACAATGTTGACGACTGCAGGCCTTGTTGTGTTAATGTTAGCTAATTACAGCTAACATTATGACTACAGCTTTATCCAAACAAGGTCCCGGTTATGCTTAAGGATAACGTAACACTTTGTTTACGTCTTTAAAAGCGGCTGCTGTAACGTTAATGTCACTATGCCAACAATATCTTGTTTTTATTTATTTCATTTAGGTATTGGCAATGCTGTGAAACGCTACGAATATGTCGCACATGTGTATACAAAGCTACCTCTCTTAATATCTACACAGCTTTCCACTTTTCATAACAATACTGCACATATTTTATTATATTAGTCTGAGTATTGTGTCATTATGCTGTACGTAGTTTTTTGATGTATCTTTAATTCATGTAAATATTTCTCTATATTTTAATGTTATAAAAGTTTTTGGTTTCTGTTCTTACACTGTATCTTCTTTAACTCTGTTCATCTATGTACAATAAACACCGAGATAAATTCCTCATATGTGTGAACCTACCTGGAAATAAACCTGATGTCTGATTCATAACAGGAGGTGACAGCAAGATGCCTATCAGAGCATATTGCACAATCTGCTCTGACTTCTTCGATCACTCCAAGGATGTTGCTGCCATCCACTGCGGACACACTTTCCACTATGAATGGTACGTTAATGCAGATAGTCAAATATACAGCATTTCGATTCTGACACTTCTTTAAATGTCTAATTGTTCCCTTTCCTCTCTTTGCTTAGTCTCCTCCAGTGGTTTCAGTCAGCCCCTACAAAAACCTGTCCTCAATGTCGAAAACAGGTACAGTACTTTCCACTATCAAACAACACTGACCGCTACCTGGACCATCATATATTTCTGATACTGTTGTTCACTGATGTGTAGGTCAGCACCAGACACATCATCAACAAGCTCTTCTTTGACGTTGGTGGAGAGGAGGGCGGCGGCTCGGTGGACCCCGACAGTTTGCAGGTATCAATTTATCTGCCCACATTTTTGTGCAGATCAATTGTTACGGCTTTAAATAATCTTGTATTCAATTGTCCTTCTTGTCATCACATCTGGATGTTAATTTGCATCTCATATTTTTTATTTTTGTCTTTCTTAGAATGAACTTGATCGAATGAAGGTGCTTATAAGCTCTAAAGGTAAGATACATAACGACGTGTTTAGTGTGTGAGGCTGCATTGTTAAGAGCAGTAGCTCATCATCCGTCTGATCACTTTGCAGAGCGAGACTGGCGGGACAGACAGAAGGTTTTGGACGGTTTGAAGGACACTGTGGACAAGCAGAACAGAGACCTGGACAGCGTACGGAAAGAGATTAGGGAAAAGGAGATGCTCTGCTGTACCCTCAGAGTAAGCTGTCTGGTCTCTTGTTTAAACCAATTTCATACTCACTCCTATTGTCTCTGCAATGCTCTATTTGTATTATTGTTTTTGACAGAAACAGATGACGTACCTGGAGACACAACACAACGAAACTCAGGCTTTAAAGGAGGAAGCCCGCAGACTCAGGACCAAAATGAAAACCTATGAAAGGTATCTGCAGTCTCGCACTAAAGTACTGTCATCTTCTGGTTAGGTCACACGTTATAAATCACAATACAAACGATATATCTCGACACGTACAGAGATATTACCAACATCGTAATTAGTAAAGAAGGAAAGAATTTGCCCACTTTTCGTAATATCCTTCGTTGTGAAATAAGACTTTCTTTTGCTGCTGTCTGCCCCAGCGTGGACGTGTTGCTGCAGGGTCAGAGGTCAGAGGTGGAGTCCATGATCACAGATATGGGGGTCAGCCAGGCGGCGGTGGAGCAGCTCTCCATCTACTGCATCTCGCTCAAAAAGTAAGACAGATCATTTTAACATCGTTTTGGATCTTCAGTCCCTGTCTTCACTCGCGGTGCTTTTATCTCCTTGCTTCCTTTCTTACAGAGAGTATGATAATCTGAAAGGAGGCCTGAAGTCTTCAAACGACATGTGTGAGAAGCTGAAGAGGGAAGTGCTCTCCTCAAACCACAGGGTAACTGGTTTATATTGGTAGTAGGGCTGAATATTGGTTTTTTTTAAGCTTCTGTTGAGGTTTGATGTCATTGTCTTTTAGGTGCTCATCAACAAAAACAGTTCTATTTCACTAAAGTTATTCATTGGATTGAATTCATATTGTTTCAAATTAAATCAACAGATTGCTGCTAGACCTTTGACTGTGTGTGTGGCAAGCATGAGGGTAAACTGTGTTGGACCACAGTGAAGAGGTTGTTTCAGAAAGGCTAAACATCCTCAATGTGGATTAAGGCAGAATATTTGTTAATAAAAACCTCTTAAAAAGTTAAAAGTAAAAATCACAAGAAACGCTCTGGAGTTGTTGGAAATGTTTGGATCACAGGAGTCGGAATAATTTTACACAACTACTGAAATCCAACTGTCGAAATAATAAAATGCTAATATTAGTGGCTTTAAAGGTCCCATGTCATGCTTATTACCCGTCCCCTTGTGTGTTATGATGGTTTGTATGCATGCATGTAAACGGTCTGCAGAGTCACAAACCCTCAAAGTACACCCTGTAGCGAGTAAAACTCTAACACAGAAAAGACCTGTCTATGCTGCCCCAGAACGCCTCGTTGGACATTTCTCTTTTTCCATTGTTTACTTCTTGGGTATAGTGACGTAACGTCCGTGGAGCCGTTACGTTTGGACCAATCCGCGGACTTCCTCACACTCGGCGGGACGTTGCGAGGCTCGCTGCTGCGAGGAGCGGGACAGTGTGAGCCGGCTCACTGGTGTGGGGTCGGCGAGACACCGCAGAACTCAGCCTGAGCACACACACAAACTCCCAGCCAGGCTGCGGGTGTGTTTGGGGCTGGGTTTAGCTGTGTCTCGCTGTCTCGCAGACGGCCACTGGGCTCACAGGGAGGGGAGGGGGGGCAGGAGCTCCAACAAGCCGTTTAGGACAGAGAGTGAACACACATACTATACAGAGATGCTGTATGATAAACAAAAGTGAGTTTGTAAAATTGCGCAGTATAAATCTATTCTAGTAGACCTCAACAATGGAACTATGATCAGTAGAAATGGCCATGACATGGGACCTTTAAGCAAAACAAATAGTCAGCACAAAAAAAGTGTGAATGTTACATTTTGAATTTGAATGTCAACGTTACGAATAAAGTTTCAGACTATTCTGTACAGCCATCGTTGTTAAGTTAACACACAATAATAATAAAAAAAATTGTAAACTCTAATTCAAAGGTTGTTTAACTCTTTGTAGTTACAAAAGGCCACCATGGAGGTGAATAAGACAAACGAGGACATGAAGTCTCTGCAGAACGATCTGGCCAGTGCTGACAAGGAGATCTCTGTAAGGAAAATCCAACAAAATAAATATTATTCATTACATTTAAAACCAAACAAAGTCCTGGTGGTGATTCCTGCATGTATGTCCGTCCACAGAGCCTGAAGAAGAAGGTGGAGTTTCTTCAGAGGACTCTCAGCACCCCGACGCGGACAAACGAAGCGCTGAGTCGCCTCGTCTTTGAGAGGTGAGTCGTCCAGCCTCAGACTGAACTCTCCACTCGCACTCACTTCATGTGATTTACCGATGAGGTGTCTGTCTTTTCAGCCCGGCCCCGATGGAGCTGAAGCAGCCCCGCCTCCACTACCCTTCAGACAGCATGGACATTGACCTCAACATGACCTATGACATCACCACGCCCGATGATGTGGCCAAGAAACCGCAGTTCCAGTGCAAGAAGATGCGGCTCGATCCTCCGGCGTGAGTTTGGTTAATTGTGTTGATCTGCTCTGAGGTGACTGGGAGTTTCTGTGGAAAATGTGATTTTGGAATGAAGCAGGAATCTCTTAAAGGTTATAGTGTTTTTCATCAATATATTACAGCTCTCAGATATATACGAAACATGTCTCTGAAGTGTTTGGCTCCAAACACCAAGCAGATCATTGCAGCATTACCCATAATCCCCTCTGTTTCAGCCCTGTCTCCAAAGTGCTGATTCTCTGTCTGTTACTTTAGATGAAAATAAGGAGCCCCTCCCCACGCCCCTCTGAGAGACATTTGGTTCAAAAGAACACAATGGTGCTCTAGGAGGAGATTCAGGTGATAAGGGGGGGGGGGGGGGGTTACCTTGGTTGCTGATTGGCTAATGGTTACACAAGACAAAACATCGTTATGACATCATAAAGTGGCCAAAATCTGATCAGCTCATTTTCAGACAGGTTTTTATAGAAATGGATCAAAAAGAGAGAGAATCTTTGTTCCTACATGTTGATGTAGAAGAGACATGATGAAGAGGGGACACATGTTGATGTAGAAGAGACATGAAGAAGAGGGGACACATGTTGATGTAGAAGAGACATGATGAAGAGGGGACACATGTTGATGTAGAAGAGACATGATGAAGAGGGGACACATGTTGATGTAGAAGAGACATGATGAAGAGGGGACACATGTTGATGTAGAAGAGACATGAAGAAGAGGGGACACATGTTGATGTAGAAGAGACATGAAGAAGAGGGGACACGTGTTGATGTAGAAGAGACATGAAGAAGAGGGGACACATGTTGATGTAGAAGAGACATGATGAAGAGGGGACACATGTTGATGTAGAAGAGACATGAAGAAGAGGGGACACATGTTGATGTAGAAGAGACATGAAGAAGAGGGGACACGTGTTGATGTAGAAGAGACATGAAGAAGAGGGGACACATGTTGATGAAGAAGAGGGGACACATGTTGATGTAGAAGAGACACGAGGAAGAGGGGACACATGTTGATGTAGATGAGACATGGAGAAGAGGGGACACATGTTGATGTAGAAGAGACATGAAGAAGAGGGGACACATGTTGATGTAGAAGAGACATGAAGAAGAGGGGACACATGTTGATGTAGAAGAGACATGAAGAAGAGGGGACACATGTTGATGTAGAAGAGACATGAAGAAGAGGGGACACATGTCGATGTAGAAGAGACACGAGGAAGAGGGGACACATGTTGATGAAGAGGGGACACATGTTGATGTAGAAGAGACATGAAGAAGAGGGGACACATGTTGATGAAGAAGAGACAGGAAGAAGAGGGGACACATGTTGATGTAGAAGAGACATGAAGAAGAGGGGACACATGTTGATGTAGAAGAGACATGAAGAAGAGGGGACACATGTTGATGTAGAAGAGACATGAAGAAGAGGGGACACATGTTGATGAAGAAGAGACATGAAGAAGATGGGGACACATGTTGATGTAGAAGAGACATGAAGAAGAGGGGACACATGTTGATGTAGAAGAGACATGAAGAAGAGGGGACACATGTTGATGAAGAGGGGACACAAGTTGATGTAGGAGAGACATGAAGAAGAGGGGACACATGTTGATGTAGAAGAGACATGAAGAAGAGGGGACACATGTTGATGTAGAAGAGACATGAAGAAGAGGGGACACATGTTGATGTAGAAGAGACATGAAGAAGAGGGGACACATGTTGATGTAGGAGAGACATGAAGAAGAGGGGACACATGTTGATGTAGAAGAAACATGAAGAAGAGGGGACACATGTTGATGTAGAAGAGACATGAAGAAGAGGGGACACATGTTGATGTAGAAGAGACATGAAGAAAAGGGGACACATGTTGATGTAGAAGACACATGAAGAAGAGGGGACACATGTTGATGTAGAAGACACATGAAGAAGAGGGGACACATGTTGATGTAGAAGAGACATGAAGAAGAGGGGACACGTGTTGATGTGAAGAGGGGACACGTGTTGATGTAGAAGACACATGAAGAAGAGGGGACACATGTTGATGTAGAAGAGACCATGAAGAAGAGGGGACACATGTTGATGTAGAAGTGACATGAAGAAGAGGGGACACAGGTTGATGTAGAAGAGGACATGAAGAAGAGGGGACACATGTTGAAAGGAGAGGGGACACATGTTGATGTAGAAGAGACACTGAAGAAGAGGGGACACATGTTGATGTGAAGAGGATAGAAGACATGAAGAAGAGGGACACATGTTGATGTAGAAGAGACATGAAGAAGAGGGGACACATGTTGATGTAGAAAGAGACATGAAGAAGAGGGGACACATGTTGATGTAGAAGAGACATGAAGAAGAGGGGACACATGTTGATGTAGAAGAGACATGAAGAAAGAGGGGACACATGTTGATGTAGAAGAGACATGAGAAGAGGGGGACACATGTTGATGTAGAAGAGACATGAAGAAGAGGGGACACATGTTGATGTAGAAGAGACATGAAGAAGAGGGGACACATGTTGATGTAGAAGAGACACGAGGAAGAGGGGACACATGTTGATGAAGAGGGGACACATGTTGATGTAGAAGAGACATGAAGAAGAGGGGACACATGTTGATGTAGAAGAGACATGAAGAAGAGGGGACACATGTTGATGTAGAAGAGACATGAAGAAGAGGGGACACATGTTGATGTAGAAGAGACACGAGGAAGAGGGGACACATGTTGATGAAGAGGGGACACATGGTTGATGTAGAAGAGACATGAAGAAGAGGGGCACATGTTGATGTAGAAGAGGACATGAAGAAGATGGGGACACATGTTGATGTAGAAGAGGACATGAAGAAGAGGGGACACATGTTGATGTAGAAGAGACATGAAGAGAGGGGACACATGTTGATGTAGAAGAGACATGAAGAAGAGGGGGGACACATGTTGATTGTAGCAGAGCATGAAGAAGAGGGGACACTGTTGATGGTAGAAGAGGAGCGATGAAGAAGAGGGGACACATGTTGAATGAAGAGGGGACACATGTTGATGTAGGAGATGACATGAAGAAGAGGGACACATGTTTATGTAGAAGAGACATGAAGAAGAGACATGAAGAAGAGGGGACACATGTTGATGTAGAAGAGACATGAGAAGAGGGGACACATGTTGATGTAGAAGAGACATGAAGAAGAGGGGACACATGTTGATGAAGAGGGGACACATGTTGATGTAGGAGGAGACATGAAGAAGAGGGGACACATTGTGATGTAGAAGAGACATGAAGAAGGGGGGACACATGTTGATGTAGAAGAGACATGAAGAAGAGGGGACACATGTTGATGTAGAAGAAACATGAAGAAGAGGGGACACATGTTGATGTAGAAGAGACATGAAGAAGAGGGGACACATGTTGATGTAGAAGAGACATGAAGAAGAGGGGACACATGTTGATGTAGAAGACACATGAAGAAGAGGGGACACGTGTTGATGTAGAAGACACATGAAGAAGAGGGGACACATGTTGATGTAGAAGAGACATGAAGAAGAGGGGACACATGTTGATGTAGAAGTGACATGAAGAAGAGGGGACACATGTTGATGTAGAAGAGGGGACACATGTTGATGTAGAAGAGACACGAAGAAGAGGGGACACATGTTGATGAAGAAGAGGGGACACATGTTGATGTAGAAGTGACATGAAGAAGAGGGGACACATGTTGATGTAGAAGAGACATGAAGAAGAGGGGACACATGTTGATGTAGAAGAGACATGAAGAAGAGGGGACACATGTTGATGTAGAAGAGACATGAAGAAGAGGGGACACATGTTGATGTAGAAGAGACATGAAGAAGAGGGGACACATGTTGATGTAGAAGAGACATGAAGAAGAGGGGACACATGTTGATGTAGAAGAGACATGAAGAAGAGGGGACACATGTTGATGTAGAAGAGACATGAAGAAGAGGGGACACATGTTGATGTAGAAGAGACATGAAGAAGAGGGGACACATGTTGATGTAGAAGTGACATGAAGAAGAGGGGACACATGTTGATGTAGAAGAGACATGATGAAGAGGGGACACATGTTGATGTAGAAGAGACATGAAGAAGAGGGGACACATGTTGATGAAGAGGGGACACATGTTGATGAAGAAGAGACATGAAGAAGAGGGGACACATGTTGATGTAGAAGAGACATGAAGAAGAGGGGACACATGTTGATGTAGAAGACACATGAAGAAGAGGGGACACATGTTGATGTAGAAGAGACATGAAGAAGAGGGGACACATGTTGATGTAGAAGACACATGAAGAAGAGGGGACACATGTTGATGTAGAAGACACATGAAGAAGAGGGGACACATGTTGATGTAGAAGAGACATGAAGAAGAGGGGACACATGTTGATGTAGAAGTGACATGAAGAAGAGGGGACACGTGTTGATGTAGAAGACACATGAAGAAGAGGGGACACATGTTGATGTAGAAGTGACATGAAGAAGAGGGGACACATGTTGATGTAGAAGTGACATGAAGAAGAGGGGACACATGTTGATGTAGAAGAGACATGGAGAAGAGGGGACACATGTTGATGTAGAAGTGACATGAAGAAGAGGGGACACATGTTGATGTAGAAGAGACATGAAGAAGAGGGGACACATGTTGATGTAGAAGTGACATGAAGAAGAGGGGACACATGTTGATGTAGAAGAGACATGAAGAAGAGGGGACACATGTTGATGTAGAAGAGACATGAAGAAGAGGGGACACATGTTGATGTAGAAGAAACATGAGAAAGTGGAATTTGCATATTAGGTGACCTTTAAATGTGTTGTGAAAAATGCTTTGTTTTTCAGGTCGTCGGTGTCCAAGCCCAACGAGAAAAGTTCGTCGCACAGCAAGGTAGCTTTTGTAATGCCACTCAACGAGGTACATTTTGAAAATGATGCACAGGTCTCACTATTACTTTTTTCTTACCTCAGGCTCGAGACGAGGATGCTTCCATGGAGCCTTTCTTTAAGAACTCCCTCCTCTTCAGAAAGAAGATTTTCGGCAGCATGTTGGACCCTCAGAGGATGCCGGGAGTTGTACGTAGCAAAAAACCATCTCATGCACTTATGGGTGTCATTTCAAAATGTTTAACTTGTGCCTATGCTGGTTTAACGAAAGAAAATGTTTCTTGTTTCAGATGAGAAGTGGATATGATGGTTTGGGAGGACGTACTAAATTCCTCCAACCTGTATCCTTTTCTTTCTGCCTTGTGGATTACATGTGTCAGGTGTTTCTTGATTTATCCTTTATGTGTACTGTTTGTTGAACTGTTCATCTTTGCTGAGTCTAGACTTGTAAACCTACCGTTTTAAAAGGTTTAGGCTTAGCAGAGAGACACAGCTGGCGTCTAGCTAGTGAACAGAGCTATTTGTTCCCAAAAGAGATGGTGGAGATTAAACCAGATTTCACAGTTTGGACTGCAGTTGTCAAAAACAAAACTAAAGCAATTGTTGCCAACATTTTTCTCATAACAATAAAAGTGGTTGAGTATTATCCCAATCATCGATCCCTTAGTTACTGTTGGTATAACGGCCGTGCAGTTCTGTTAAGCTCGTTCTGGGAGACACTAGCCATACATAAATAATATTAACAAAGCATTCATATTTATCTTTTTGTGGCAAGAGATATTTCCTTTCATTAAACATTGTGCTTACTCCTCCCGTTGTAGTATCAGTGACAATTACATGTTGGTAATGACAGAAAAGCATTGCCAGAAATAACAAACAAAGCGATGTTAGCATTTATCTTTAGCGGCTAACGATAATTCCTTTCATTTAAAAAAATATCAACAACAAAAGTCTGACATTGAGCTAACTCCTCTTGATGCAGCATTTGCTATGTAAGCGTTTTGCTAACACTAGCTACCTCAAGGTCCAACCAAATAGAATTGAATGTGTCCGTGACAATTGCATTTTTGTAATAAAGGAAAAGCATTTCCTTCGATACGGTCAGGGTATCAAGCCATGTTATTTAACCATCTTCCACATTTTCAACATGGACAGGCCTAGCATATCTAAGGAAAGGGGAAAGTTGGACATGATCAGAAAGGAATTCGACCTCTGTAAACGGCATCATTCCTTAACCAAGCACTCCCACCCAGTCTCCTTTATCAGAGATTCGCCCGCTGATGAAGGCTAAAAGGAAAAAGGTGTGCAGGCCTCCACCCAAGATGGCCACCTGCCTGACTCTGGACGGCTTCCTGGAGTAAGAGTCGACCTCTCCTTCCCCGGTCGTGGGGTCGGAGGTCATCATAACGCTGCTGCTGTGAGATGAAGTGTGTTTGTTCCCCGTGGCACACAGAGCCAGCCGGGCAGCGGTTCTGCCTCCCAGCACCAAACGGGACTCTCATCAAACTTCCTTCAAAAGCAGTGACTGACCTCCCACTGGACTACAGATGCTGATTGGTCACATCAACACATGCTGTACACGTGTAGATTGAGACGTATGTGGACACATTGTCCTGCTTTTCTTCTTCTTTCTTTGTGCGCGAGGCAAATTGACTTATTTGCAAACCATTGGGATGTCAGCATGTTGTTCACAATGCATCTGTTGACTTCACTTATTTGTATTTAAAACACCAACATGTGTATATACTGAGGTTCTTTTTACTTTACATGTTTTTTCGAATTAAAACCAACTCGAATAATAAACAATATATTTTTTTTATTAAGGTTTGTGTGGGGTCTACAAACAATTCCCTCTTGACTGTGCTTGTAGCCACAGTACTTCTCCTGCAGAGGGCCTTACAGACGGTGTTTTCTCAGAACAGTAAATGTATTGTGTTAACTGCTGAAACCATTACAGAAGGAAATCCTCAACATCTTAAACACCTTCAGTAAAACCTGAGTTCTGAAAAAGTAACAAAAAAGCACACTGCAAATCATATCCTGGCAAATAAGGGACTGTTGTGAAATTACTTTTGTTTTCAGAAATAAGAACATTTCATTGTACAAAATCAAGTTTTCTGACCAGGTTCCCATGCATGAACAAAACAGTAGCTTGTCTATTATTTTGGCATTTTGCCTTCAAGGACACGGCTTGATATTTTAGACAAACAATAAAGGGAAATGCCAAACATTGTTTGACACTGCAGAGAAGTCAAAAGTACAGGTAAATGTAAATATCCTGCTCTAATCACTATCCTGTTTCCACTGTAAAAGCCAGCTTGTACTCTAATAATTGCATACATCACACTAATTAAGTAAAACGCTTTGTTGTATTTGTGATTGGACGTCGAATGGTTCCGCTGTGGGTGATTAGACTAAAGTGTTTCATTACGCCCTCCCCATGGGACTCAATCATCAGAAATAGAAAGGGGACATTTTAAAAGCCGGTTCCTTCCGGTGCAATCAGAAGAAATAGTCACAACACTCTGTACAAAACAATATTTCAAAACATTCATGTACACATAAAACACGATCCATGCAGTGCTTCTGGAGCCGTAAACAATGCTCCATCGACCCCAAGGGACTCACCGTGGATGAGCATCCTGTAGGGCAAAGGTCGCCATTTAAACTTGTTTTTCCTAAACGGCATTTCCCAGGGAAAGCTAAAACTAACATCTCCTTGTCAAGTTGAGACGTTTATGTGAATGTAGCTTTCAATTGAAAATCATATTCAGGACAGATCACCGTCCTTCCAGTTCTCCTTTGAGTGTACCGTAACGTTTCCTTTTTGTGCCTTATTCCATATTTAGATCTGAGTTATCTAAATAAGTGTGAAAAGAAACATCCAGGAACGTCTTCGCTGGTGTTTCAGTCCATAGTAAAGGGAAAGTGGAACAAACAATCGAGCCAAAGCTAAAGTATATTCTGAGTCTTTTATCATCAGCTGTCAGTGTGGGCTTGTGACTTGAGGTGATACAAATATGGAGTTTTTTTCTTATGTTTTTTACTGTGATCTGTCCGGCACGATCTTGGACTCTCCGTTGGGTTTGTCTAAGGACTTGATGGACACGGTGGCTGCCGTGGCGACTGATTTGAAGCTGCGTTTCCTCTTCTGGACGTTCTGCTCCGGGTGGAAGACGATGACGTAGACTTTGGGGATGTAGAGCATGCCCAGGGATACGGTGGCGCTCAGGCTCATGGACACCGTCAGGGTGGTGGTCTGGATGAACATCTGCAGGAGAGAGAGAGACACGTGGGTCAGAAAGGTCACCACACACACAGGGGACATTACATTGACTTACATGCATTTCCTGGAGACTTATCCTAACCTTAACCATAACCAACACATGCCTAACCCTAACCAAGTCTTCACCCTACAATGAATGATTCCCCTCATGGGGATAAGGGAGGCGAGTCCCCACACGTGGCTGTGTAAACAGATTTAGGTCCCCACAAGGATGGTAATGCTAGGCCACACATGCAGACACACACACATGCAAACACACACACACTTGTGGTCTGAAGTTTAATTTGAATGCCATTTTTTTTATAAAACTGAGCCCCGTTATATATCCCTGTTTTTGTTTGTCAAGTTATAGCAGTAGGCATTTCAGTCTTATTATAGTCAAAGAAAACATTTAAATAATTTAAGTTAATGAGGCTGTTGAGTTTTTGCTCTTATTTAGTCCATCCATCTTCTGGATGGATGGACTAAATAAGAGCATTAGATTAGATTATATTGTACATTTTAGTCAATCCAGTCTGGCCCGAATATCAGGTTTCTTTTACTTAGCCCTTTTAACTTTAACTGAAATACAAACAACAACAAACAGAAATGCTATATTGGAGAGTAAACAAAAATATTTTGTCCTAAAGTTGCCCTATTTTTGTCACTTAAATAAGGGATGTTGTTTTTCATTTTAACTACATTTCTTATTTGTGTCTAACGTTGTAGGGGTGGGCAAGATATCAATATGATATCCCTATTATGATTTAAAACCAGATCTTAACGGTTTTTGTTTGTTTGTTTTCTTTGCAGGGTTAAAAAAGCTGCATTAAGATAAGATCAACTTTATTCATTCCAAATTGGGGAAAAAAAATCGTAGTAGAAAATAAACAAGTATACAATACAAACATCTCAAAATAGAAGATAAAACAGAACTAAAACAGTGAAAATATTAAAGTAAAATAATGGCTTTTCTTGCTGTTTTCTTATTTGCCTTAAGTCACTTTTTCAATATTGATTATTTAAATCCACAGCTCTGATGATTCGCCTAACACAATCGGTTGAGGACTTTATTTGCAATTAGAAAACTCCCTCAAATCAACCTTGTTCCTGGAAATTGGATAACAAAACAGTTTGGGAAAACAAGTTGTGCTAAAAAAAGGTTGTTTAAGAACATATTGAATCATTTTCTCACAACACTGTTTTGGTCACAGTGACTGAATTCTTTTTTCATTTCTGCTAATTTCCTGAGTCCCATGTGGAAGTTAAATAATTGATCATTTCATCTTGAACAGGTCCTCAAAGGTTGTCACAATACAGTCTTTACATCTTCGTCTCAGAGTGCAGGAGGCAGTGTTTTTCCCCGTTAAATGATGTATGAAACCGAGTCAGGAAAGGATGCACTATCTATGGGCTTTGACCACATCTTCTCCTGCTCTTCCTCTTATTGCAAAAATCCAACAGTAATAATGAGAAGTAACTTCTCCTGAGACCTGCCTCCGATAAATTATGAACTCATTATTCAGGCTGTAGGCTACAAGTCATAAATAAATGAAGCCATATGTGCCATAAATAAGATATATTTGTGGCATAAATGAGTCATAAATTGTACACTATCCTCAGCAGCAGAGCATCCTGGACTCTCCCAGGATGAAGATGTCCATACACTTTCTTTAGTCGTATTCATCATGCTTTTCATCGCTGACCTCTCCTTCAGAGAAAGGAGCCGTGCTGATTGTATTCATGTTTCTGCCCGAGGCGCGACTGGCTCAGGAACAGTGAACGGTTGTTCCCTTTGTAAATACATCAAGCAGGTAACTCACCTTCTACATACCGTCTTCTTTAACATGACGCCGGGATATACCGTTTTCACGAGCCAGACAAAAGTTAGTGCCTATATTTAGCTCTGTTTCTAAGTAATGATTAATTGAAAGGGATGGCTGATTTGGTCTGCGAGGGTCCCGTTCCTCAGCTCCTCTGACCTCCTTTCCCCCTCCCTTTTACTTAATTCCCTTCATTTCCATTCGGAAGAGGTGAAAAGACTTTGAAAGCACCGCAGGCTTTAATTGTTTCAGCCTGACTGATTCATAATACGGCTCTTCTATTAGTCAAAGCATATCTCTATTTTTTCAAATATTCCCCCAGCAGCTGCGTACTTTGTGACGGCAGAAATAGCCCACAAGCTGAATTAAACTCTGAGTACAGTGGCGGCAGGACGTCCTGTGAGAGATAATGTGATTTGACAGGCAGAAAACTCACATCTCACGTTGGACAAGGGAGACATTAATGAAGTCTTTTATTTGAAGTGTGTGTTATTGTGTGTTTGATTGACCTAATTATTTAAACTAAGAATCCAAAGTAGAGATCCTCAGGGAAATGTAATTCCGAGGGATTCATAAAGTCCTTCTTCTTTTCTTAAATGAATGTAAGAAAATAAATGAGTTAATATTAATTTGGTAATTAAATCAAGCTATTAACCGATCAATTAATAGATTCTACTATTAAGAAAATAATTATGTCATTAGAAATCACACAAAAGGAAGAATTAATGAGAAATAATTTACATTTTGAGTTTATCCAGACGCCAGGTAGAACAGAAACCTTTGGGTAGTATTATGTATTAGGTAAAAGTAGCACATTTTCAATATAGAAGTGTTGTTTTTAAAGGGACTGCATTCAAGATTTAAAGTATATACTAAAGTGTCTGCAGCAGAATATCCCAAAAATGTAGAGCAAAACTTTTTAGAGATGAGTGTGTTTTTATTAATATACCTAGGTATCGACCGTAATTACTGACCAAAGTATAATTCGCGAGCCATTTAGGTTGATTTTTGTTATCCGTCCGCGTGCACGACGGCATCTGCGATCCCTCGCTCTACCCCTCGCTATCGCGTGTGAAGGGTCTGCTTTATGCGCTCTGCACAGTAACCCCGCTGCGAGGCTCCGGCGAACAGTTCATGAGCGTGCTCACTAGCCCCCCCTCGCTCCCCGTTCATAAAGTCAAGAAACCCTCAAAAGGTACGGTTTATTTCATTTTAAGGATGCGCACCAAGCAACATCTCCAGGTGCTCCTTTGAGAAAACAGTTATGTGCACCCCTGAGTATAAAACACTAAGTAGTATAGAAACTTCTCCAGTGAAATGATTTGTTGGTTTTGCCCGCAGCCAATCACTGCAATTGTTGTTAAAATGAATGTGACGTGGGATTGGCCCACAAGGCAGCAGCTCCAATCCACTTTCAACCGCTTAAAGATGCCCCGCCCCTTAGCCTATCACGTACAAGGTGTTGGAGTGCTTGCCAATAGAAGCGTCAGTGTTGCATAGTGATGTCATTATGTTACAGAGGTAAACAAAGGAGTCCAATGGAGGCGTTTCAGGCAGGGGGGGGAGAATTCTTGTACCTTTGTAGACCATTTACATGCACAAAAACCTATATAACACACAACAGGAAATGGAAACTCAAAAAGCATTAAAGGGCCTCTTTAATAATGTTAAGTGACTCACCTTCTCTGTAGACTGCGCTGTGCCAAAGAAGATCGGGACGAAGGCCAGCCAGACGATGCAGGTGGTGTACATGGTGAAGCCGATGGGTTTGGCCTCGTTGAAGTTCTCAGGAACTCCTCTGCTCTTGATGGCGTACACGGTGCAGGTGATCATCAGTACGAAGCTGTAGCTCAGACAGAGGATGAGGGAAAGGTCGCCCATGTCGCACTTGAGAACTCCACGGGCGAACTCTGGGTTTGGGGGCTTCTGCTCCTCGTAGTCGATGATGGTGTGAGGCGGTGACACACCAAACCAGACGAACACCCCGAGTAACTGCAGGGAAAGGTTTAAGCATTAGTTAGTGCTACAGAGAATCTACATGACGCGTGAAAGAAGCATCCACATACCTGCACTCCGATGAGTATAAAGGTGATAATCAGCTGAGAGCCGGGGCTGATGAATTTTGGGGGCGAAACGGCAACCTTGCCCTGCTCGAAGATACGGTAGATACGGTTGGTCTTGGTGAGCATGGCGGAGTAACTGATGCACATGCCGAGCCCCAGCAGCAGCCGGCGAAGCGCACACACGCCTGTGCTGGGTTCGGCTATCATGAAGAAGGTGATGAGGTAGATGAGGAAGATGCCCGTCAGCAACACGTAGCTGAGCTCTCTGCCGGAGGCCCGAACGATGGGCGTGTCGTTGAAGCGGATGAAGGTGACGATGACTCCGCTGGTGGCGAGGATGCCCAAGATGGCGAGGAACACGGGGATGATGGCCCACGGAGAGCTCCACTCCAGCTTTATGATGGGCGTTTCCCGGCAGCCTGTGCGGTTCTTAAAGGGCCTCATGTTGAAGGGGCACATGTCGCAGGAGAACTCGTCCAGCAGGTACTGGTAGCCGTCGCAGAACTCGCAGTGCCAGCAGCAAGGAACGCCCTTCACCATCTTCTTCCTCTCTCCGGACTCGCAGGGGAAACTGCACACCGACTCGGGAACCTTGCGGTCACCACCTGACCACTGCATCTCCTCCGGCTAGGTTGGATGCACAAACACACAGACTTTGTTTCAGTATACTTGAAATATAGAAAGAATGGGCATAGACTTTGTAATAATCTAATAACCAGGAAGATACTGTTCAGATAAAGCCCAATTGATAGCGACAATTTTACCATCCTCGACTGATTTTCTGGCCAAATTTCTGTAGATCGATTGTGGTTTCATAGAAGTAATGCTTCCATTCGTTCTTTTGTTGGTTGAAGATGCATTTGTTTCCTTTTTAATACAAGTTTTTGTATTGTAGGTGGATACAACTAAGACGGCTACATTTATAGTGAGCACCATGTTGTGGTTGGACTATCTAAGAGTCATATATGTAACTAAAGCAAACAGATGATTAGCTTCATAGAGAGGCGAAGTCCCTTCCTTTCCGGGGGACCTCCATGGGACCTTATTTCAGAAAAGGTGTGTATTGAAGTCAATGGCGAGAGAAAGATTATCTTTCGATCCCGTTTGAATTGTGTCACGAATGACACATATGATGTTTGTCAATTTAAAAGATAATTTTGCAAGTCAAAAAAAAAAAGATGTGTCGTAAAACTGTGAAGTAACACTTTTTTTTGGTGAAACCGCTCAATGAACTACATCTCCCGTCTCGCACCACACACCAAGATGGCCGTCACGTTGGCACATTTCACTTCTTTCTTTCAGAATGAGGCGAAAAGTATTAAACGAGGTGAAATTCACTCCAGGTCTGGGCATGTTGAGAGCTGTACACACACACAAGGGGAGTTAGTCGGTTCCAAGAGCCAGCATGCGGGACCGGCATTCTGGGATTTGTAGTCTTTCTAGTTGCATATTTTTCATAGTTTTATATTTCAACAGTTTTACGACAAACTGTGACTTTTTTTACATGGAAATTATTTTTTAAGGTGGACAAACATCATATGTGTAATTCGTGGAACAATTCAAACGGGATCGAAAGATAAGTTTTCTCTCTTCATTGACTTCAATGCATAATTTTTCCGAAATAAGGTCCCATGGACCGGAAGTAGATGGGCGGGACTTCGCCTCTCTATTTAGCATAAAACCAAACAAGGAAACTGCTAGCCTGAATCGTGCTAATTTCCGGAAGTTACTGCACCGAGCCAGTCTGGCGCAAAACCCACTGTAAAGGCAAAACGTGATGTTTTAACACTGGTTTACCTACAGCATGGATTAAATAAACAAGATATAATGTGTTAGTTAGCTTTAGAGGTGCTGGAAGGCAGATTCTGTTAACTTTGGGGGAGAGACAGACTCGGTTTGTTCCTTAATCTTCCATCTTTATGCTAAGCTAACTAGCTGCAAGTTCTAGTCACATTGTTCGCAAACAGAGAGGAGAATGATTTCAATCTTCATTTAAATGTAGAAATTGTTCCTTATTTGGGACAAAACATATTTACATTGAGGCGAAGGTGGTTTGTCCACTGGCCGATGACCTTGTAGCCGGGGTTGCTGACATTAGAAAGCTGGTATTGGAAGATGTCGTAGCGACCAGGAGCGTCTCCATTTTCATTGAACATGACTCCAGTTCCTGCGCTGCCTGTTGGAAGGAGATAGAGTTTTTATCAGTGGTGTAAAGTATTCTTTCACACACACATACAGGTATTGGGCCGAGGGCGACACCGTACTTCCGGTATCTGCCATTTTACGCAAGGTGCAAGCAGGCCGAGGGTTTAGCCGTACACCGTCTAGGTGTTGCTCAACTTCCTGTACTGAATATCATAGTCTATTGCCTTAATCTAGTCAACTCTAAAATACCACATATATGCAATGGCATGATAATATTATTGTGACAAGTGGGGTATTCACCTGGTGTTTCCAGAAATTAGACGTAGATGCAGCCAAAATCGACGAAGGCCACTTTCGAGGGTCGTTTTTCCATACATCTGCAGGCAGTCTGTAAGGGCAATCCGACAACCCACACAGCTCTAGTTTACGCTGGTAACGACCTAGAGCACACCCCTCAAGTCCAGAGATGTAATCCGAAGACATGCAGCGATTTCTTCGGTCGTTAATTCAGAAAAAAAAACTAGTGCGCTCTGCCTGGTTACGTTAGCTAGATGTTTATATTTGCACCTCCAGGATATTTGCACCTCCATGAAAATGGCGTATTTATATATGGCGTATTTATATATTTATATATGGCGCGCGTTGCATTGTGGGTAGCTCGTGACGTCACTGTGTGTGAAAGAATCTCAGTACATTTACTCAAGTACTGTACTTAAGTGTGCTACTTTGTACTTCAACCCCTCTACAATTCAGAGCTAAATCGTGTAATTTTACTCCACTGCATTTATTTATTCCTTAGTTACGTTATAACTTTTGATGAATGATTTGTATTATATTCAAAACTTAAATAAGACTTTGGTTACACCTGGAGTAACATTTACAAAAAAACAAAAACTAGCTATTTTTCTTAAATTGAACAATTTGCATAATGACTGCTTTTACTTTTAGGTATATGTTGCTGCTAATACTTTTGTAGTAGCTACATTTTTAATGCGTGATTTTAATTTGTAACAGAGTATTCCAACGCTGGTACTTCTACTATTACTTCAGTGCACAATCTGAGTACTTCGCCCACCTCTGGTTTTCATGACCCAAAAAAGCGAAGATGTCAGTCAGAGGAGAGAGGAGAAACTCAAGCTCTCTGAGCAGGAGACATGCACCCCCATCTTACATGCTGTTGAATACATCTCGTGTTTGCTTCCTTCAGTGTTGTGCAGTCATGTGGAAGCTGAGTGCAGGAGGCTCTTTACTGAAGGCTCTCGTCCATGCGTACAGTCTTTCAGTGCACTCTGCTCTGTTGCCCTAACGTGATTGAATGTTCTCAGGTCCCTGCAGGCGCTCAATCAGAAAATCTTTCATACAAGCCAAGGTCATCCAGCAAGCGGTAAATAGGATGCTTTCACAGGACACCCTTTTTTTTCTCTCTTCTTCCAATCTGTGACTTTTTTATGAAAGACGAGAATGAAAAGCTTGAGCGGTGTATATAGGGAAGAGCAAGGAGGCAGCCCTGGGGAGAGGACGTGCTTTGAAGAAATGCGCGGTGTTCTGTGGATAGGTACATTAGCAGAAGCATCTCAAGGCTTCCTACTTCAAGTTGACCTCCCTTACACTGTTTTCTTTTTAAATGTGTTTCTTTTCAATCCTTGTGCTGCAACAGAAGCAGTGGAAATCAACAGTTTTACCAGAATACATCTCAAATCTAGCTTTTGGTTTGATAAATATGGATAAAACTATGTGGAATCAGACTTTGCATAGGAAAGGAGAACAAAATGAAAGGTTAAAAGTCACTCAGTCAATCAAAGTGTATATATTGCTCAATATCACACGTTTTGCCTTTGTCTCGGGGGCTTTACAGCTTATACAGAATACAACCCCCTCTCTCCTTAGACTCCTCGCATCGGACAAGGAAAAACTCCCAAAGGAACATCACAGTTAATGGGGTAAAAAGTGGAAGAAACCTCAGGGAGAGCCACAGAGGAGGATCCCTTTCCCAGACGGACAGACGGGTAATAGGTGTCGTGTGTGTTAATGGAAAAGGTAACACATTTACAACATAGACAGTCCAAATGCTAGAAAAGATAATGTGTCTGATGTCATGATAGATAGATAGATAGATAGATAGGCATAACTTAACATTAGAAAGTATACAGAATACATATAATACTCTCTTATATACTAATCTACTAAACATATAAACACAGTGTACTGTATACATTAATAAATGGTGTGCAGTAGCTTGAAATTAAGAGTCAAATCTGTGAGGTAGTGTAACTAGGCTGCAATATGTAAGTACAGTATGTGCAAATTGTTTATGAGACAGTGAGTTCTCTGCCAGCCAGAAATTATAATAATAAGTAGAAGAAGAAGTATAATATAAGAAGAAGTCAAAAGCCCACCATTGAAGTTGACAGCGCGGATGTAATGGAGCAGATCCCGTCCCTCCACAGGGTCCATCTTGTCGCAGACGCCCATGTATCCGGGGCACAGGTCCATGTGCATGCTGTGTAAGGCGTAGGCCATGGCGTACACCGCGTCAATCACAAACTGCACCTTGCCCTCCTGTTCGTACTGAGAGTGCTGAGCAATTCTCTCCTCACCTGACAAGTGACAGCAAGAAATTAGGAAAAGAACAAAACTGCTCACAAACGCAGAGCTTGGACACATTTCAAATGTCATTTTCAGAGGTGGGAAGTAACTAAGTGCATTTCAATCAGGAGAGACTTCATTTTGTTTAAAGAACATTTATTGACACATGTCATAAAATAAACGTTAAGTCTTTGACGATTAGACTCCGGTCCTGAAATGGTATATCTAAAGGGGGAAATGCAGCCGTGAGCATATAGGGAACCCCCCGGGGTCTAGACACTGGTGATGATGCTGAAGATCTGGATTTGATGAGGAGATGGGATGAAGAGGAGGTGTGATGAGGTCTTTGGATTAACTCTCCTGGCACTGGATATGATGAAAGGAGGTGGATGGGGAGGAGGCGGGCGGCAGCATGACAACCTGAAATCACAGCTGACTGCAGGAGAGAGGAGAACCATTTTAAAGTTTGGCTGCAGCACAGTGATTGGCTGCTGGAGAATGAGGTGAATGTAATAGGCTATAGAGAACGCCCGTGATGAGCTGATTATATGCAGCTGCCGAGTGAATGTGTATATATACCCAGTCTTCCTGAAAGAATTTGCGCTGAGCTTCATTTACTCAAGTACTGTTCTTAATTTCAATGTTGAGTTACTTGTACTTTCCTGGAGTATTCCCACTTATTTAATATCACAATTCCTTTGTTTGTCCCAGAGCAGGAACATTTACAGCGTTACAGAACAAAGTGGCAAAGCAGGTAAAAAAGGCATGCAATAATCAGACTAAGCTAACTTGTTAAATATAGAGAAGAAAGCACAGTTTAGTTATACTAGAATAAGAATAAAGACAAATAAGTACACATCCATGGCTAATAATGAGGAGCAGTAATTTAAAGAACAAAGTGACATAGGTAACATATTAGGTGTGGAGACCACAGTTAATGGGACAAATGCTACTTTATACTTCTACTCCACTACATTTATTAAACATCTTTTGATCCTTGTACAAATGAACAAAATGCATCTTTAACAATTAAACTAGTGGACAAACTCTTTAAGTCAAATTATTATAAATAAATCACAAAACGTCAATCAGAACTTTGTTAGGCTACAACAGTAAACTGTTCTACCTGATGCAAAAATATTATCTAGCAATGTCACATATATAAATATAGTTATATACACACATGAAGGCCATTTTTCTGCGCTATGATTACTTTTACTTTTTGTACTTTTGCTGATTATACTTCTGTTCTTTTGCTTATGTCAGATTTTGAATGCAGGACTAGTATTTTGCCAATAACGTATTTGTACTTTTTAGCATCTGAGAAATCTTCTTCCATCTCTGGTCATTTTCAACCTGTACTTGAAACTGCATCCTGCTTACCTGTACATTTCCTTCTACCAAGTTCATACTTTATGCCGGGGCGGGTCAACTTGCACTTGAAGTCGTCCTCCCAGAACTCTGCAAACCAGATGTTTCTTCGGTTGTTTTCTAGCGATCTTGAAGTGAAGTACTGGTCGAACCCTGAAAGATTTCACAAAGCAGATTTAATATCATGTCAATTCAATCTTAGAACCTAAATCTATTCAGGCAGGCTTTCGGTAAAGAGTGGTTAAAACAATAGGTATCATTATTGTACTTTCACTTACCTTTTGTATTTAAGTTGTGGTATCGTGTTATTTTTTAAACTTGTTTGCTAGTCGTACTCATATAATAACTTGAATCAGTTTTACTAGGTTTTTATAATTGTTATTATCTCACATGCATTGGTCTCAAGTTGTTGAAATGTTTTGATCTTTTCTATAGTTTCTCAACTACAATTTGAACTACACTAACCTGTAAGAAATTGCTATTCAAATACAGATTGATTGAAACCACAGCGCTAAGATTAATATCAGTATACCAATCCTCATAATGTGATGAAATCAGCGAATCAAATCTTTTTGAACAGTGAAATATGGCTGTGACTTAATTTCCTTATTTTGAGCTACAGGGACCACAGACATATCCAACATCATTCATTTCCTTTATATGTAGCATTGGTATGAGACTCATCCATCAATGTCAAGTGACTCTAATATTCCTGTTGCATCCAGTTGGTTTTCCCTACCATCGATAGAGGCTCTCTTTGGCAGGATGGTCACAGCGCCCTCGGCCACATCCTCCTGGTCCTGGATCGGGGAACTTTTGGCTCCCCAACTGTCGGAGCCAACAAACAGGAAGTGGCCCGTCAGGTTGGCCGATTTGGCCGTCTGCAGCACCCGTCTGAAAGAGAATGAATAACACTTCATGATACGTGTTTTTCTTTATGCTCTGTGTTTTACAACTAAACAGGTAGGAGAAGTACTCAGATCTTGTACTTAAGTAAAAGTAGAAGTACCAGAATGTAAGAATACTCTCTACCAAGTAAAAGTCCTGCAATCAAAATGTGAGTCTAGTATAAGTACAACATGTTATACTATTATATTTATAGATGTTTGTCTTTATGCTCTGTGTTTAACAACCAGCTGTTGGAAAACACATTTACTCAAGTACACATTTGAGGTACTCTAACTGAATATTTTCATTTTACACTACTCTATACTCTACTTACTACATTTCGGGAGCCAATTTTGCACTCTTTACTCCACTTCATTTATTTTACATATTGAATGACGAGTTACTTTATAAATTCAGATTTTAAACACAATACATAAATTACGTACTTTAACTACCATTCTCGATGCAGAACTTTTACTGGAAATGTTGTATTTTTATAGTGTGGTTTTATGACAAAAATTAAATAAATATGACGTGCAGCAGAGCTTGACTCACTTGATGTCGTCCTCGCTGGCGAAGATGATGACCCCGCGAGCGTTGGAGGTCTCCATCAGTCTCTTGATGATCTTCTCGAACTCCCCCGGTCTGGGCTCTCTGGGAATCTTTATGGACTGTGCAATACAGATCCCCCCTGTGGGAGAGAGATGGGAAATGCGTTGGCATTGCTATACTTCTCTGTTTCCTCCATTTACTGCACAAGAAAATAATTACAGCCTAATACGCCTAGTAATTATCAGTAACCTTGAAAAATAGGCCTACATTTAATATTACAAAAAGGATGATACAGCATCTGGAGATGAATTTTGTTATTCATGTTAACCTCTCCATCAGCCTTATTAGCAATTGTTAGCATGCTACCACGGAAAACTAAAAGTTAACTAGGTAAACCCTCATATCAGAGGCGGTTTAGGGATAAAACTTAGTAGTCTAATACTTTGTGTGCATGTTGGCCTGCTGCAGTAGCCTTTAGCTCAAAGACATAGTCTCAAAGGGCTGCTAGCATGATTGTAGACTCTTAGTATGAAAGCTTTTATATGAAGAGCATTTGACTTGAGTATTACAAATAGGAAACCGCCTAAACTATAAGGCCAATCGAAGAGTTAAGACCTCCTTTGAGGCCATGACCTTACTTTGTGTATCCTTCCCATGACTTATTCCAAAGTTGAATGGGTTTGTCATTGGTTTATATATGCTACACCATTCCACCAAGGTTGATTCAAATCAGGTCCGTAGTTTTTGTGTAACCTGCTGACAAACAACGATGTCTACTAGTAGTATATTATCAACATTGAGTTACAACATAAACCAATGTCTGTACCATATTTTTATGCCATGTTATACCATGCATTTTACTCAGAAACAACAAATGTAAACCCCATGGTGGCACTAGGAGAAAGGTAAGGTGATCTCTAGAGTCATTTACATTTATCCTCTGGGGACCATGAATGTCGGTAGAAGCAAAACGAAAGGTAATCCATCCATTCGTGTTTGAGATATTTGACTCTGAACCAGATTGGTGGACTGATCGTGGTCAACATGCTGACAAAGTGATGACCTGTCCAGCATTGTCAATTATTGATGTGCAGTATCATGTCCTTAAATGATGTGAAATCCGAACCCTCATTTGAGCTTTTAAACCCATATGAGGCGGTGACTTCTCTTTGCCCTGGTAGTTGTTATGTATTAAAGGATTTTTGTTTCCTATTATAGTCTTTTAATGAGTGAGAACAGCGCGGCTTGATGAATCATTAATCCCTCATTGTCCCAGCAGTGAATTCAAGTTCATAGAGGCAGACCTGCTTCTCTGGATATTTGGAGGAAGGCGTCAACGCCGCTCTCTCCGTAGTTTCCCTCCGAGGCCAGCGTGGAGACGTAGTTCCAGCCCATGGCTTTCACTATGTCCAACATGGCCTGGGCCTGGTAGGAGTCCGGAGGCACCACACGGGAGAAGAACTCGTAGCGGCTTTTGTCGCTCAGCTCGGGGGCCGTGGAGGCGTAGCTGATCTGGGGAATCTGAGACACACGAGAGGGTCAGTGATGACGAAAGAGCTCGGTCAACCTTGAAAACATGAGCAGCACAATTAGGCCAATATGTGGAACCAAAGATAAAAAGGAATGACTAGAAGAGGCAGTGAACCGTATTGGAGGATGATGCACCACTTACTCAATGACAAAACCTTCAGTGTCTAAATGCAGACTTTCTGTATTAGAACTAATGAGTTGCAGTGCATTAAAACCCCAAAATATGACTTTCATAGAGAGCGCTTTGCCTGAAAAGCTTGTGTAAATCTCAAAACTGAAGCTTCCGATCTGGTGGATCATGTGCTGAGCTGAGCATTCAACGTCATAGTGAATACAGATGGTGGGACCCACAGCTGTAAAAGCATTTGTTTGGAGAAAAAAAGGATGAGAAGATTAATTTACTGGTGTGCTACTTCTTTAATGACACAGTTTATGTCGACAGTCTCCACCCTGACCCCGCTAATGCCGGTCCTCCCAGCGTGGCTTAACGTAGCGGGCACTCCGGATGGGGTGAGGAGAGAAAGGTAGACACAAGGGGTAGTGAAGGGAGAAGGAGAGAGGAGCGAGAGAACCATTTCACAGATTATCTGGAAGGATTATAGGGGTTTTAGTCAAATTACGTTAAGCACAGAGAGAGAGACAGAGATCAAGAGAGTAGGAAAAGGTTAGCATTTCTCAGCTGTAAGCCATACAATATATTTAATTCTGATGGCCATACGTGTTAACCCTGCCCAGTTGAATCTTACTGGTCATCCTCCACTTCGCTGACTATGACTTCATAAAGCTTTACAGAACAAAAAAAACATTCTTCCATCACGACTTCAACCTTTACAGTTCTTTAAGTGTCCGGAGGATATTTCCTTGCGCACACATTAGCCATGAACAAGAGGAAACGTAATCCCCTCCAAATTAATCCCGTAGAAGCATCTGCACCAATTCACTTTCTAAAATCAATGAGCCGTATCAGTTACACAGGGATGCATCTACAATGAAGTGCTGCTGAAATCTTCCTCACTATCAGAGAAGGATGGGAACCGTCCAAGATATTCCAGGATCCCAGCCAAGGAAATATGACGGTGGTTTAGCACTTAATGGTTTTTATTTAACAGAAGCGAGTGCTGGTACTAGATAAAGATGTTATGACAGGTATGCATTTTTAATGTGTCAAAGGTTTAGAGAAATAGTTTTCAATCAATGGTTTTCTTTCTCAATTTGCAGCAGATGCTTTCAGAAAATGATTTTAACTGCACGGCTCTCCTGTACTGACTGATGTTTCAGTGTAAGGCTCACGTTTTTCACATCGCAATGTCAACTAAGTGCATTGCCAAGGACTGCGGTTTAGCATTGAAGTCACTTTTTTTAATTGGTGCCCTTTGTGTTCAGTTCAATGCTCAAAAAAGAATTCTAGAAATTATTTCCTTTCATTTTTTATATAAAAGCAAATAGTTGTATTTTAGTACCTCTGAAAACATCAGTGTGAGAAATGAGTACACTAATATATATATGTATATATATATCACAAGTAATGTCTTCATCCTGATCTTAACAACATAATCAAATATGTTTCTCATTTGGTGAAAGCCTTAATATAGATTAAGTGTTAACATATCAGATAATTGTTTGGTATATACAATTTCTAAAATGTCAAATAGTAATTGGGAAAAAGGATAAAATTGCTAATACCGAATTATTTGAATTGCTTTGGTTGAAATTTTTAAAAATGTACATTAATGTTAAAGAAGAAAAAGCATACAAATCCTCAAAATTAAACTTCTGGAATAATCATCAAAATGAATAATCAACAATCTGCTTAGCAACTAAAGCATCCCAAATGGTAAAGTGAATTCACTATTGGATAAACTGAGAAACCCGTTATTTAACAAGCTTAACTGTTGATATAAAGTAAACATTATTTTATTGAATATCTGCTTCACATGCTATAGAGTTTTGACTTTTTTCAAATACATTACATGTCACTTGTTAGACGCTTTTATCCAAAGCGACTTACATACTCAATACTGTGGGCAATCCCCACAGGAACAATTGTGGACACAACGACATGCTGACTGCAGTGGGGTTTGAACCTGATCCGAACCCTAACGCACCAACCAACTGCGCCACAGCCTCCCAAATACTCACCTTAAACAGCATGTGTGTTTGAGGCTGAAACATGCCCTGCTCTGGATGAGAGCAGATGTTTATTGTGCAGCTCTAATTGAGATTAAGTGTTTTAAAAAAAATATTGGATGATATTTAAATAACTGTTATATTATCTTAATAGATTGTTTAGTACATAACATGTCAAAAAGTTCAAATATTAGTGAAAATAATAGTGAATCATTTTATTTCTAAAAGTTTTTATTGCTTATATTGAAATATATTAACATGTGCAGTGATGCAAAAGAAAGAAAAGCATCAAATCCTCAAATAATAATCAAAAAGAGTGAATTAACTGTTGGATCTACTGTATAGCCGGTTATTTAACAAGCTTAGCAGTTGATAAAAGTAGACATTGTATTATTTGACATCTCCTACACATACTGTATAGTTTTTACTTATAGGCAGGCTAAAACCGCATGTGTAGTAGAGGCTGAAGCATGCTCAAACTCTGGCAGTAAGCAGATGTTCAACGTAAAGTGAGCATCAGAAGAATCTGCAGAGCGGAGAGCAGCACATATGGACAGTAGCAGGAAACATACCATTTAGATAAATCTGCGCCCCTGTCCAGGCTACAAGTTGCTGTTATCCGAGAACCAAAGCGCTGCCCTGATGCTCTATTTTCAGCCCGGGGTCCTGAGCTGCTGAGAGGGGCTTAGTGGAGGGTGGGATCTATAATTCTGTAGTTAACATCTGCCCTGTATGCAATCTCTCAAACCAACATCCTCACTCTGAAGAAACACCGCAACGAGATACCTGATTGCACTTTTTTTCTTTCACGTTAACCACATTTGGCCAATTTAAACCCCGACACTAGTTTCTTTTTTCTAGACTTTTGATGTCAACGACAGCACGTCATAAAGTGGGACTTACAGAGATTCAATGTCCCATGATCGCTATAAGCACTGTAATCAATTATCGAAGGTCAATCATCTGTACATGGAGAAAAACAACTACAATGAACACATAACGCGGATTATCCTGTGGCCGCACATGACAAAGGATTTAAAATCCCATGAAGTGTATAGCGACTCATTCCAATGATTCCTCACTTTACATTGTCTCCCGTGAAGTATGTATTGCATCTATACATCAGTGAGGAGAATATGTGCAGTATAACCAATCAGAATATCCAAAGAAAATGGTGAGCAGATGATGTTATTAAATGTGAGTCGAACTCTTAATTAGGTTCGTAAAGTCCATAAGCGAATCCCAATTAAAACTCACCGTGTTCATGCTGCAAAATGAAGACCACATTTAATGATGCCCCCATTCATCATCCAAGTGGATACAATGATTAAATGAATGAGACTGTGCTCCTGTACATCTTAACTAGATCAGCGATGGGCTAATTTAACAGCACAAGCATGAAAAGTCTAGTTCATTAAATAGGATCATCAGCTAGTTGAGAGCCAAAAGCAAAATGTGTGTGTTTGTGAGTTCAGTCTCACGAGAAGGACTCTTCCTGTGAATGATATTAGTGAGATGTTCAAAACTAAATGAACTAAATATAAGCGATGTATTTCTGATAGTTGCTCACTTTTTTGGCACACTCTTTCCTAGTTTGACCCCCAATTGTTTGGCTTGTGACGCATTGAAATCTATTTGGGCCAAGTGTCCTCGTCTGACTCATTGCATGTCTTTTGAAAACTCAATTTCTTATTTTCTGTCTCTTTTCGTACGAATGCCCAACCACAAAGATTGAGCGTCCTGAGAATGTTGAGGCCCTCAGGTTGGGAACCAGTACTTTAACTCATGTCCTTTTATTTTCTCCCTATAAATAGATTAAAAAGAGACGACAGTGAGGGATAAAGGCTTTCACCTGGATTCACCCTTTGAACTTACATACTAAACAAAGGCCACCACGTTGAATATTATCTGCCCAATAAATGCCCCCCGTTGGTTATCACGACCATTCTGATGCTGAACCAGAGCAAACTGCACCGACCTGCACCAACAAGTCATAAATACGTGGTTAACATTGTGATTTAAAAGGCAGTGGTGACCGGTAACTAAGTACATTTAAGTATAGTTATTTTTTGACATTTTGGTCCACATTGACCAACTACATTCCTAAAAATCTCTAACATGAAAACTGGATAAACTTCTAACTATGATCAAATATACTTTTGGTTCTTGAAGCAAATTTAGCTGATCATTCTTGCATACTTTATATTTTATTGAAATGGCTCATTGTGCAGAATGAGTACTTTTACTTTTTGTACTTTAAGTCAACTTTGATGCTGATAATTGTGTACTATACTACTTAATCATAAAAACAAATTACTTTTAATTTGTAAGTTAAAATTGTACTTGTAATGGAGTATTTTAAAACCATAGTATTTGTGCTTTTACTTAAGTAAAGAATCTGAGTACTTCTTCCAACACTGGGTTAAGAAAGCATCCTGGTCCTAATTATTATGTTAATTGATTTAACCCTAACCCTGACTTCCTTCTTTGCACCTGTGAGAACAACTGTGACCACTAAAGGTTGAAGCTTAACTTCTTGTAATCATAACAGTGATCAAGCATTTTAATAGATAATCAAGGCCTTCTGAGCGTACTAGTGACTGTAGCAGCCGCTTCTTACCCATCACTATGGGGCTGATAACACCCATTCAATCAGCTGATACCATTCAAAGGGGATGAAAGAACAACTGTCCACTTTTTAATGGAGAAGAGGAGAAAGAAAACTCACCGCAAACAGTCTGAGCACGTTGGCCACCATGATGGACACGGCGCTGCCCGACGCCCCGATCACCCCGACCACCCTCTCCGGTTTGGGGATGATGGGCGGCTCTCCGTTGGAACATCGCACGTCTGAGTTGTCCTTCTGGATGAGGGCCTGGACGAAGGTGAGCGACTGCTCCAGGGCGTAGGTGTCTCTGGAGCAGGTGTCCAGGATCCGGGCCCCCAGAGTGATGTTAGGCAGGATGTCCGGGTCGCTGTTGATCTGATCCAAGGCGTACAGCATGGCCTCCAATCTGTGGATCCCCTTCTCTCTCTTGATCTCCCCGCAGGGCACACCGGCAGGGCCCCGAGAGTGCATGGGGAACAGCCCGCCCAATTTGATGTCGCCCTCGATTTTGATGGACCCGGGCTGGTTGCCCTGCTGGGCCCACGAACCCGGGCTGAACCCCACCAGCAGCACCCAGATCAGCTGAAGGCATGTTCGGTACCTGGAAGGTGAGGTGAGCCAGCAGAGCCAATGGGACGAGCGGGCCTCTGATGTCATGATGATGACCGACAGACGGACTGACAGCACCGGGCCACTCCCTCTACCTTTGACACCTGAGGGCAGAAAGACTGATTAGCCTCTCATCAGAATATCAGCTAGTGTTTATTTATTTTTGAACAAGAAATCTACAAATGGTCAAACGACTATTGCAAACGACATTACTAGATACATTCACATTTGTATTTCGTGCCTCTACTGTGACAGGCTTTAATGTTCAGAAAGGTCTTTATTGTTCTCATACGGCCTGTGCTGCAGCACCTCTTTTCACCCTCTGTCTGAAACCAGAGCCCAGTCTGCTCTAATTGGTTATCTGAGTGGCTCCGTTGGGATTGGTTAACCGCTTAGAGATGTCCCGCCCCTTAGCCTATCCAGACAATGGGTGTTTCTCGAGGAAGGCTGCTCCAGAGCCACTATTTCAAGCATACTACGTCATCGAGTCCCGCCGAAGGACTGTTCCAATGTCCAGGATCCTTGGAATTCTACCGAGCCCGGCGTACTTCGTAGCGGGAAATTTCGAGGCTGCACATGTGTAGACTCCGCGGTCTTAAAATCCCCACAATGCTTTGCGCATGGACTAATTTCCAAATTTTCCAAATTCTACCGGGGCCTCGCATATGACGCACACCAGCACGCCTGTTAGCCTGTTCCACTATTTTTCATTTTCCGAGGCCTCGCTTCTGAAGCAAGTGACTCGGAAGACATGTCCTACCAAGGAAGTTTCCTCGACATTGAGAAACACCCAATGTGTGGCCAAAAGAAGCGTGAGTGTTACATAGAAGTACACAATGGAGTCCAACAGAGGTGTTTCAGGCGGGGGGGGGGGGGGAAGCTGGGATTTTAGCCTTTGCAGACCATTTACATGCACAGAAACCTATATATCACACATAAGGAAAGGGACAACCCCAAAACGCATAACAGGGCCCTTTTAAGTTTACCCTTTAGGCTGGAAGCTGGATAAATCAATAACTCAATCAAATTACTTTTGTTTGGGTCCAATTATTGAAGCTATGTCAATGTGACGTATTTTCTTTTATATGTTATCTCACTTTTTTGTTGAGGCAAAAAAAAGATTGGCACTGAAGACATTTCAATAAATCCAGGGTATAAAACAAAAATGAGAGGAAATGTGATGGTTTAATGCTTTATACATGAGACCCATTATCTTTTTATTTTGCACGACTGGTTTGAAACTCGGAGTTTTCAGTTCTTTGGGCTTTTTCAAGATTGCATGTAAATGTTAAAATGGTCAATATCAGGAAACAGTATAAATGCAGAAAACCTTCTAAAAGATTTGTAAAAAAAGAAGAAAAGACAGGATTTAAGCTCCACATGTATTCATCCTTAAAGAAGGCTGCAGCTGAGGAGAAGACGTGAGACAGCATGCAGGATGACACTGAGTGAATATGGGATGCTTTTATCACAGAGAGCTGAGAGCCCATGATGGAAAACACTATAAATGTTGCAAAACAGAAAACATCAACTGAGCCATCGCAGCATTTCATGCTCCAGAGGCTGGGGCATGTTCATTTTATCTGCATGAAGACCATTTAAAAAAAACCTACAAAACAGAGATTCCACAGACTGAAATTAAAATATTTTAGAGTGACATTTTATGTAATATTTCCAGGCAGAATAACAAATAATTCATTTTTTATTTTAGTATTAAATCGAAATATAAAATATGAATGAATGAATAATGTGCATGCTTGCAATGCATACTTTTTCTTCAACATTGTTCTATTTTAACACTTAAAATCTTAATTGGATTGATGGAAATTTGCTGAAAAGGTTTTCTAAATAAGAGCAAAAATCTGCTTAAACGCCTGCAGACAATATGTTCACATCCAACCTGCAAGTACAGACATTTCCTGAAAATACATTTAAACATATAAAACTACTTCTTACCTGCCCATTCTTCATCGACCGCTCTTGATTGTATCCATCACATGCGTTTTCCCAACAGGCCTCCCATCCATGGTCCTAAATGTGATTATATATATAAATATCTAGAGGCAAGGCTCTCCTCTCACCGCCAAAAGTAAATCCTTTATCATCTCAGACAGCTGCGTGCACTCAGAACAGAACAAAAACAATGGTTAAAGAAGAAGAACTGAAATCTCTTCAGGGTGAAGTGTCACGAGAAAAGTGGAGAAAAAAGCAAAACATTACAGCAGTGAGATTCTACAAATCACCGCCAAATCCCTTAAAAGCTCCCTCTCTCACTCTCTGTCTTTTTCCTCTGTGTGCATCTCTGTCCAGGCACTCCCCCCTCTCCCTCTCTCTCTCCCCCTCTCTGCTGAACTCTCTCCTTGCTCGATCTCTCGGTGCACTAATGGCCACAGATTGGGATTATCATGCAGGCGTCTGTGAAGAAAGCACTAGGTGGACGACTAGCCCGCCCCCTTTTTTTTTCATGCAGCTGAACCAAATGCACGAGCCCCCACCCCCCCTCACTTTGAGAGATTAGATGAGCAGCTATTTGATTCACGTGTAGACACACACTCACAGGCCACACACACTCTCTCCCCACACACACACACCTGTCAACAGTGGCACAATGGTGGAGCATATCAGAGCGGTAAATAGGTCTGTGCCCACAGAATGCATCTGGATTAGATTTATTATTGATTTTATTTGGGACCCTGGGAAAAGAATCCCCCCCCCAGCTCTATATCAGTTTGCAGCAGTCAATTAGATGCTTGAACGTAGCATCACTACTGCCGCCTGCTGTACTAATGTAGGCAGAGTGCATTAAATATGATATGTATCATGTGGTGATAAGAAAATAAAGCACGCAACACAAATTCCTTCACATGTTATGTTTAATTTCAAGACTTCTAGAAGAACAGACTGAGGGGAACCAAGAGGTTAACAAGCACCTGTGGAAAAGCTTTTGGGTTAAACACTACCCTAAGAAGACAGACTTCTCCAGGCCATCCTCCACTTTGGTGTACTCCAGGTGAGATTTGAAGTATTGGCTCTCGTAGCGCGGGCTGCTCCGCACAAACTCCAGATAGTCAGGAGTTCCGGGGCAGATGACGTTGTCCGCCAGCAGGACGCTGCCCTTCCTAAGGAGGCCACACTCCTGATGGAAAAAAGCATCATTTATGGAATCATGGCGGATAAAATAAAATAGTTTTCTCAGTTAAAAAAACAGCACTTGCCTCCATCAGTTTTGTGTCTGGGAGGTAACGATCTTTCCAGTGATCCAGGAACACCAAATCAAACGTTTCCACCCCAAACTGCTCCTTCATTTTGGGGATTAAGTCTCCAGAGGCTCCTTCGACTAACTGGATCTAGAAACAAGAAACCAGTGGTGGAAGAAGTGCACAGACACATTTCTTAATATGTCAAAGTAAACAACTTTAAAGGGCCTACTATTTTTCTCATACTGCCTGTGCACCCCAGAGCGTCCGCTGTATGCCCCATGTAAAAGTAATAATACCACCGTGTAGAAATACTCAGTTCTACGTCAAAGTCTGTATTTCATTTGTTACTTTAGTCAAATGATGAGCATCAGAATCTCTTTATTGTCATCATACTTAGACATTTTGTTAGGTTTAATTTATTTTGATATTGCCAGATCTCTAATCTAGACTTCATTAGACAATTTATTTTTGTATATAATGAGAGCCTGAAAAGTAACTATTACCTTATCTTGTCAAATAAATACATTGCGTAACAGCACACTGGACTGTACACATTAATGACTGCTTCTGACATGCTGTGCGACTCTACCTTGTCCTCCAGTCCCGCCCAGGCGATGACTTGTCGAGCGATCACAGCGAATTCGGGGTTAAATTCAAGAGTGATGAGTTTGGCGTGGGGGGGCAGCAGGCTGGCGATGCGCACCGTGGAGTATCCGCAGTACGTTCCCAGCTCCAACACTGTGGCCGGGTTCACCTCAGACACAACTGAGTCCAGGATGCAGCCTGTGGCAATACAGAGACAAAAAGAAGATTTGATTAAACACAGCTGAGTCATGTAAGGTCATTTCAAAGATATAATATGATGAGGAGCAGAGGTGGAAGAAGTACTCAGATCTTTTGTAACAGTAGAAATACCAGAGTGTAGGAATACTCTGTTACAAGTAGAAGTCCTGCAATCAAAAAAGGTTACTCAAGTAAAAGTATAAAAGCATTGGCATCAAAATATACTTGAAGTAACCAAAAGTCCTCATTATGCAGATTGGTCTATTTCAGAATTGTATGTATCAATAGTGTTCTCACAGCTGGTAAAGGTGCAGCTAGTTGTAATGACTTTGTATACGTGCAGGGTAGCTTGTGAATTCACTCCAGGTGGAACTAAAGTGTTATTTAAGTGTCGATTATATTTCACATCATTAATCCAAATCTGCAAAGTAACTAAAGATATTCAAATGTAGTGAAGTAAAAGTGCACTATTTTCCCTTAGAGTAGAAGTACAAAGCAGCACACAATTGAAATATTCGAGTAAAGTACAAGTACCTCAACATTGTACTTAAGTACAGTACTTGAGTGAATCCACTTAGTGACTTTACACCACTGATGAGGAGACAGTACCTTTCTCATCCCCCACATTCATGGCCCACTCCTGGTTCCTGCAGTACTGATCGATGGCTCTCACCACGCTGCGAGGGTCCCCTCTGGTGGCGTTCTGCTGTACTGCACCCAGGATCCTCTGAACAAAAAAGACCATACTTTAAAGAAATGTCTTTAAAGTCAGCAACAACACAACATTGAATATTCATGCACACATATTTTCTCAGATGAAAATAAAGCAGGGATTACATATAACTTTATTATGTTGATTTATTTACTACATACTTAACTGTAAACTATATTTGAGTCTTTTCTTTTCATGCCACTTTCTACTTCTACTCAACTATATATTGTATTTTTTATTTAATTCATTTGAAAGTTTTGTCTTATTTTTACGTTTTTGTACAGAAAACATCTGAAGAGCAACTTTTTGATCGTCGAAAGTGATTCTTCATTTAAAAACATGAACATTTTGTATTTATATATATGTTTTGTATTATTATGTTAAGGTTTCATTGTTGTTTAAACAAATACATTGTGATGCTGTCCCTTTAGGCTCTGGGTAACATTGACAGCAACTATTTTAAGTTTTTACAAATCAACTAATTGCTCAATTCAATCAATGAATAGAGAAATTAATCAGCACTACCTAACTAAGTGTTTCTGTTATTATCTAGTTCAGACATAACTCACGTTTAAAATGTTTATAGACAGCAGCATATAGTTTGAGTTTGGCGTCTAGGCTTCGGCCTCATCCCTCCCCGCAGATATTTTTCACCACGAACAATGAGGATCATTAGATAACAGGGACCACAGGTGCATGCTGGGTGGTGGTGGAGCAGAAAGGAAGCAGCGTAGCAGAAGCAGGACAGCAGCAGCATTATGAGGCAGAGGGAGAGAGAGCAGCTTAAAAAGAGCGCCCGATTACAGAGGGTGTGTTTGGTTGGTTGCATGAGGCATATCACATGTGGATCATTGGTGCTCAAGGTGAGTGCCTGATGTAGCTCACAGGCTTCACTCCAATTATTATATCTAGAAAAAGGCTGCTGCATATCAGCTTGAAGTGAAGATCAAGATTATGAGGCTATTTGTAATCATAGATTCAGCAAGAGGAAATATCCTGACCAAATGTTGACCAAGGATCATCATATAAGGCAGGGGTGTCCAAACTATGGTCCGGGGGCTAAATGCGGCCCGTGGACAATTTTGAATGGGCCCTCAGCTAATTCTAAAAGTATAATGTAATGCAGCCGAGAAATGAAACTTGTGCTTGTCTTATCTTGTAGAGCTTGCAACATAATAATATTTTTCAGAACTGAGAGCTACATCCTGCCTCACATCTAAAGAAGAATAAATTACAATTTGTACAATTACTGCTTTTATTCATATACAGAGCCAAACTGTGAACAAAGTTGTGATAAAAAACAACAAGGCCTAAAGTGTGTGTGTGTGTGTGTGTGTCCTAGCATTACTATCCTTGTGGGGACCTACATCTGTTTACACAGTCACATGTGGGGACTCGCCTCCCTTATGGGGAAATAAGGGAGGTCCCCATGAGGGGAATCATTAATGTTAGGGTGAAGACTTGGTTAGGGTTAGGCAGGTGTTGGTTATGGTTAAGGTTAGGATAAGTCTCCACGAAGTGCATGTAAGTCAATGTAATGTCCCCTGAAGTGATGTATACATGGTGTGTGTGTGTGTGTGTGTGTGTGTGTGTGTGTGTGTGTGTGTGTGTGTGTGTGTGTGTGTGTGTGTGTGTGTGTGTGTGTGTGTGTGTGTGTGTGTGTGTGTGTGTGTGTGTGTGTGTGTGTGCCTTTATAAAGACGGATGAAGAAGCGTCGACCCTAATTGATTTGCTCAACATTTTATTTTCTCAGGAAACAATGTATAAGTGTGGATTTACACATTTGTCCCATATACTATGATATACATATATTTGTACACCTGCTTGTAGACTGTTGAGTATGTTTGTAACTATAGGAAATGCTTTATCATCAAGTATGGTTAATACAAATCACATTTGGGCTCTGCTTTATGATTGTGAATTTGTGTTGGTGTTTTTCTCATGTATAATTTACGGAATAAGGTTTTTTGTTTTTGTTTCAATCTACAATCTTTTAAGCAGCTTTGAGAGCATTATTTAACCACATTCTGCTTTTAAGAAAACAAGCCAAGACAAGATCTAACCTGAAACCATAGACCTTTCATTCCCATGTGTAAAAAATACAAATCACTGTAGCTGCATTTCATTAAGTTGTCTGGCTGCTCTACTGTTAGACATGCTGCTTCACTGGGACACTGTAACAGAGCCATTGTTGATGTGCAGTGACACACTGTGCTTCTACTGCTATGACAAGTTCATCTAATAATCTAATCTAATAAAATAGAATTGAATCTCTTCTCTAGCTGCTTAAGTAACCTCCAGTCAAATGTAGCATTTTATATCTGTGCAGAGAGATGTAAAAATGTAAGCTGTAAAAATACCACAGTGGTGAGAAAAAAAAACTGAACAGAGGCGCAAAGTTTCGAATGAGATGTGACAACACCCAGGACAGATGTATGTTGACTAATAAACATAGTGATGAAGAAGTTGTGAAAAACATAGAGATGAACAACTTCTATCTTTGACTACACAATGTGTGTGACGTTTATTACCTTCGGAAAAATAGAGGGACAACTGTTGCTATGGTACTCTGACCATTCTAAGGTACCATAGCAACACACCGATACTGTCCAACTGAAGGTAAATGATCACAGAAAAGCTTACGTTTAACCACAGACAATGTTCCATTATGTCATTGAAAGGGCACATTTTCAGGTTCATATTTGTATTTTTAGCGCAGGGCTATTCAAATCCAGCCCCGGGGTGATATTTACTGGCCCTTTGAGTATAATGTTAAAAAGTGATTTACTTTTACTTTTTTTTGGGCCTGAGTGCCTTTATTCCAGAGAGGGTGTTAAATTGAGAGATAGAGACATTGCCTGAAAACTTCACTAGCTACTGTAGTGTATTGCATCTCTGCGTGAATGATTAGATCATTTCACCTAAATTAAATCAAATGAAATGATGTTGATGGTTAAATTAGCTTCACATGTCGGCCTACTGAGTTCTGAACTTGCCATTTAGATCTATAAAGGCCTTGGGGCTATGTTGTTTCATTTAATTAAACACAATATATGCACTCCACTATGCTGTTGAAGTATTTACTGTATCTGAAGCTCTTAATTCTGATTGCTTGGGGGGGGGGGGGGTGGGGGGGGGGGTGGGGGGGAGTGTGTGGGAGAGAAAACATTTATACTAGCAACGTGGCTCTATGGCTGTCTTTCAGTTAGTTCATCACTAATTACATTTTACTGTGTGTGGAGTCTTCTCTTTTTGGAATTTACTAAGTTTCATCGTTACCAGGTCTCAGTCTCTTCCACCTGTATGATCGTTAATGTTCATTAGTGTGTTGGGGGCTGGTGAATACTTTAGATGTGAGGCCCACCTGAGGACGAGTGGACTGGGTCACAGTGTCCAGTATCCGCTCCACAATGACATCATGCCAGATCAGCGCCAGTCCTGCATGATACTGCACAACAGCTGGGATCAGCCATCTGTAGAGAGCATACAGGAGAGCAGCTCCACCGGTGATACTGTACAGAAGAGTCAGCCACATCCTGCAAGCAGAGAAATAAACATGACTTCAGCATGGTTATATATACTGATGCGTTGTAGAAACTGTGATAAACGATGCACACAATAACAACACATCTGCAGGAAATAAATGAAAGCTCTCATATCTCCCCTCTCTCTTTGTGTGAGGCTAATGAGATGGGTGTTTACTATGCAGCGTACAATACACTCTCTCGGCTCCTGTTTTTATTATCAGCCGCCGCCAGGTCCAAACTGCACACCCACACCCATCCCAATGTGCTGGTATCACTGTACGATATCATTTCATATCCACTGCAATTAGAGCTGGTAAACACACAACACAGGCCCACTCACAGAAACAATAAATGTGTTGATGAATTGGAGTATTAAAAAAAAGGGGGAGAAAGGCACAGCCAGAATCCTCACCCAAGGGCTCTTTCTGTGGAGAAGCTGTGAAGAGAACAGCTGGAAACATTACCTTGCACATATAATGTAACTGTGAGAGAACAGCAGGGTTTGAGGTAATTACTTTTGATGTGGAGTTTGAGTCGCATGGCAACCAGCTGAGGGTTCAGATGTGTGTCACAAACGGGAGAGCGCCAGTACTCTAACCTTTACTTTGGCGTCTTCCTGACCAACACACCGTGAGAGATTTACAAACAGAGAGCAGACTGGCATGGTTTGGTAAACACATGCTTTTCATGTTCTCATCACTGTGCAGAGAGATGTTTACCAAGTTGAATCCTGTGCATGTGATTTAAAAATCCCATCTCGATGCAAAAACATCAGGATATATTTTTAAATAAAAAACAGGAATATAAAGTTGATCAAAACATCTCAAAGTTGTTCATTATTTCAGAAGCAGAATACTTTATTTATCTGGGGGTGTGACAGTTGCTCCATTTTAAAATGGTATAGACAAATCCATGAATACAAAAACAATATACAAATTGTTATTATTTTTACTATTTTTAGGTAGAATAAAATAAAATGACAAAATACAACTATTTTAAAAAGTATGTATAAACAAGGATGTTAGAGTGGGAAGGTCCAATAAAGTTTACAACTAAAATAGAATAAAAAGATTAAATCAAACATAGGAGTTAAAGTGAAAAAACTAAAATAAGGGGTAATTATATAAATGTTAAAAAAAATGTTTAAAAAAATTTACAAAAATGTTTATATAGACACAAAATAAAATTCATGATTTAAGATATAATATATTTGTTCCTAAAATGACCTGACTGAAGAGGGTCACCAGTTGTGTCAGTTTGGCACTGAATCACCTCAAGCCAGTTTCACAACACAACGAGTGCCCACACTCTCCAGCTCAAAACAGGAATTAGTATCAGCCTGAGCCGTGGTCTCCCATGTGCAACACAGGAACAAACCAGGTTAGACAGACAATAACACATGGTGCTTTCTTCAAGGGTCTGTCTTTCAAATCTGAACAGAAATCAGACTTACATGTGAGGGCAGGCGGCGCTCCCTGTCTTCTCTGCCCTCCTCTCGCCGTGAGAGGAAAATATGTGAGGCTTCTAGGAGGCGGACATATGCCTGCCCTCATGTGAGACTAACTCCTCCCTCCTTCTTCCTTCCATCCCCCTCTCCGTGCTCTGCTGAGAGCACGAACCCTCACACACACACACGCTCGAGGATCCCTTGGCATTTATCTAGGCTCACTCTGAGTGTTGTTGCACCACCACTACTGTGCATGTCTAGATGTTTGAACTGGTCATTTATTCGTTTAATTTCGATTAAAAAAAATCTGAAAAGCACCTAAAATGTTGTTACTAACACAGACTGCTTTTCTTTTTAAATAATACAACCCTCTCCAGTCCCCTCCTGGGGGTTTCCGTTTAAGATGTCCGAGTGCTGTCTGAATAAATCCATCTCATACTTCAGACTGGCGTACCGCCACCTTTCACACAAGCACTTCTTGAAGGTGAGGTCTTGTTTTAAAAATAACTGCAGGAGAAAGAAAAAGCAATTGATGTCAGTTTATTGATATTCAAGATAGCTGTGATCATAAAACAAGGCCGTTTTCGAGTCAGACAAACGTTCTCTTTGGTCATTGCTATGCCTTCATCAGAAGTGACGGACATTTAAAGAGGCCCTACTGTGCTTTTTGGGTTGTTTTCCTTTCCTGTAGTCGTGTGTTAAATAGGTTCTTGTGCATGTAAATGGTCTGCAAAGGCTAAAATCCCAAAGTTCCCTGCCACACTGCCAGAAACGCCTCCTTTGGACTTGAACATAGTGACATAACTATGCAACACTGCACTTATATTAGCTAGTGCTCCAGCACAGTGTATGTGATAGGCTAAGAAGCGGGACATCTCTAAGCGGTTAACCAATCCCAACGGAGCCGGCCAGCTAACCAATCAGAGCAGACTGGGCTCTGGTTTCAGACAGAGGGTGAAAAGAGGTGCTGCAGCAAAATAAAGAGCTTTTTGAACATTAAAGCATGTGAACAGGTCACAGTAGAGGCACAACATACAAATTTAAACCTGAAAATTATCATAATAGGGCCCCTTTAAAATACTAAAAGACAAAGGAAGCTGATTGCGAAAAGGTTACAAAATGAATGTAATAAATATCTATAAAGCTGTGCTCGTGATGCCAGCACCAGACTGCTGTTCATCCAACAGTTGTCCAAGTCCCATGTCAGCTAGTCCACTGGGCGTTGAACAAGTCAGGGCTAGAAGGAGATCCAGGGGTGTTTCAGACACTGGGCGGCTGTGGCTCTTTTCTCCGGCAGCAGCTCCAACATGGTCACGAGGAACGAGCTGAACTGCACGGCTTCCTCCCGCGGCCACTCGTATTTATCCAGCAGGATCTCCAACAAACTCCACGACTTCAGCTTGGAGATGTGTCGCAGTTGTCCTGCAAAGGGTTAGAAGTAGACGGAAACACTGCTTTGGTCTGCTTTAGATATGAAAGCAGGGAAAGGCAGTTTTTGATTTAGCATCAATGTGTAAAACTGACATAATAAGCTTATATTTTAAGAAGTCTGATAAAAAATGACACTTCTTGACCTCCTCTTGGATCTGCTTTAAGGCTTTAGATAATCTAGTCAGTGACGCAAGATTTTGGCAAACCACAGGGCTTTCCTATTGGCTGTTCTTAAAAATCTAATGCAGATCTCTTAAGATGGTGAAAGCCTCCTTTAACCTTTGAATATCTACGGATAGCTATTCCGTGATTGGCAACAACTACCCACACTGCAAAACAACCCGAAGATGTACAGTTTAAAATAAAGTCTATAAATAAAGAGTGTATAGAACAGAGTCTTAACAAAAGTCTGAAAATTAACGCAATATTGAAAAAGCGTCTCAGCGAGAGGAGTTACAGTACAAGTAGTTAAGCTTTCTCCTAACCGTAGCCAAAGGATTAAAAGTCCACACGTTTGCAAAGAAAGCAGGACAGGAATTCCTATGCAATTTAGCAGTATAACGCTATTTGGATCACAATTCCTACAGGGATGATGTTTAAAAAGAATGACAAGTACTGTGGTGCGAAGAGCTGCAGAAGAACGCCTTTATTTTCCAATTCTGCTTAAGCTTTGAAGTTTATATCTCAAAGATCGGTTGTGTTATCTTTGGCTTCACATATATAGCGATAACCGGTAGTTCCAGGTGTGTTTTTTTATCTCAATTCTAAGAGATTCCCGCTTGGAGTTTTTCCCCCGGATGTCATCAAAGACATTCAGTTTGTAGTATTGCATATTCAAAGGGCTTTCATCCGTGTGCCTTACGCATGTTACTATATTTGACTGATAGTGACTTTATAGAGATTTATTTATATGACATTCTTTAAGATTATTACTTTAACTTAGGGCTGCCAATAGATTCAAATATTTAATCGCGACAAATCAAGTGGACAAATATGATTGCTTTATACAAAACGTATGTTTTTTATTGTTGCAAACAATCCAATTTAAGGTAATCTTGTCAAAATAATTAGTGCTGCGTTAAGAAAGTTGCGTTAAGGAAGTTGCTTTAAAGAGTTATTATCGCGTTCATTTTGACAGCCCTACTTTAAAGGGAGGGTAGGTAATTCACTTCAGAAACACTTTTTGTTATATTCCACGGAATGCTCTTAACATCCCGATAGCAACGAGTATATTAAATGCTTTGACAATAAATACATAAACAAAATTCATCTGTGGAAGCCGTAGCGATGTAAAAAGCACGACCAATCATCTGAGCCAGCCCGGCTAAAATAACTGGATGGCCTACCTGCCTGTCAGCCTTCCATCTGTGCACAAAATTATCTCGTGCCCTCATTGGTCATGTGCGCGTTCGTGTGTGTTGGAGGAGGGGCTCTGTGAGGAAGTCTGAAGGAAGGGGCAGATTTTTTTCGGCTGCGTGCTTTCAAATTCTAGCGTACTCGAGCTGGTTTCTCCATTCTTACCTACCCTACCTTTAATACTGATCAAGCAAATAAATTGTTGATATACAATTTTTTCGAATCAATAAAGTATACCTTACCTTTACGGTTGAAGAATCGTTTGGAATTTCTCCCTGACAGTGCAAACTGGGATGGGAGGGATCCCAGCAGCTCAATGATGTGGGCAATGTGATCTAAGAGAGGTCAAAGCACACTTGTTCTAGCGAAATGAGTGAAATCAAGATCAAAAGGGATGCAGTGAACAATACAAACCTTCCTCGCGGGAGAATGTGGCTCCTGATTGCGGATCGAACAGATAGTCCCCTGTGGCCAGCTCGAAAGCCTACAGTAAACAAGAAATGGCAATAATGGAATGAAACAGGAAGAGAAGAGAGGAAAAGCACATGTAAGGGTTTGTATAGAGTGGCAAAGTCACTTCCGCCCCATGGGACCTTATTTCTGAAAAATTATGTATTGAAGTCAATGGAGAGAGAAAACGTATCTTTCGATCCCGTTTGAATTGTGCCACGAATTACACATATGATGTTTGTCAATCTTAAAAAATCATTTCCATGTAAAAAAAGTCACAGCTTGTCTTAAAACTGTTGAAATATAAGACTATGAAAAATACACAACTAGAAAGACTACAAATCCCAGAGTCGCGTACATTACCGTTACACATTACACTGGTGTTACTCACCGAAACCTTGTAAAGCCGGTCCCGCATGCTGGCTCTTATGGAACTGACTAACTCCCCTTGTGTGTATGTACGGCTCTCAACATGCCCAGACTTGTAGTGATTTTCACCTCTTTTAATACTTTTCACTTCATTCTGAAAGAAAGAGGTGAAATGTGCTAACGTGACGGCCATTTTGGTGTTGGTGACGTATGCAAGATCAGAGTTGTAGTTCATTGAGCGTTTCACACAAAAATTGTTGTTACTTCACAGTTTTACGACACATTTTTATTTTTTTGACTTGCAAAATTATCTTTTAAATTGACAAACATCATATGTGTAATTCGTGACACAATTCAAACGGGATCAAAAGATAATCTTTCTCTCTCCATTGACTTCAATACATGATTTTTCCGAAATAAGGTCCCATGGAGAAATAAGGTCCCCTTCCCCCGGAAGGGCAGGGACTTCGTCACTCTATTACCATGCAGGCGGTGCTCCAGATGTCAGACGGTGTGTTGTAATCAGCCCCGATCAGAACCTCCGCAGAGCGGTACTGACACGTCTGGATGTCTTCAGTGAAGTGTTTGTGCTGAAGACAAGAGACAGAAGATATTAATTGTTCACTATTAAATCACGTGCATTTATATTATCAACACTAGTTGTATTACTCTTACATATTTGTACAACTTTTAACATGAAATTACAGACTGTTACTATTTCTGATCATATGATAATTAGTTCCTCAAGGCTCCATCCTGGGGCCTCTTCTGTTTAACATCTACATGCTTACACTGACTCAGATTATGGAAAACAATCACTTTAACAAAGGGTCAAGGGTTAGGCTCCGCGGTGATCGAGCGTTCGAAGCCGTGGCTCCTAAGCTATGGAACGCTCTGCCCGCTCGTCTACGGTCTGCTGACTCTGTTGTCTCCTTTAAAGCTAATTTAAAGACATTCCTGTTTGGGCAGGCGTTTGGGTAACCGGTGTGCTTGATTTTATTCTATTTTATATTATGTTTTTATTTTGTTTTCATTGAATTGATTCATTCACTTAAATGTGCGCAGTCTGTTACCCAAGTTAGATTTTATCCGCATTTGGGCGAGCTCGACTGATGCTGATGTCATTGTTTTATCAGAAACGTGGCTAGATAAATCTATTTTGGCCTCTGACATCTACTTAAATGGTTATAGTGTATATCGTACCGACCGTCCTAAAAAAGGTGGTGGCGTTGCCATTTATGTGAAAAATAAGTTTTGTGTAACCAAGATGGTTTCCAAATCTATTAGTAAACAACTAGAATTTTTTGCTTTAAATATCGAAGTAGCAAAGGGTCAACAGGTCATGGTGGTGGGCTGCTACAGACCCCCCTCAGCTGTCAAGGACTCTTTATCTTCTTTGGCAAAACTTTTATCTCAACTTGACTACAAGGAAATAGTGCTGCTTGGTGATTTTAATTGGGACTGGTTAACTTCTGTGTCAGAGGATTTAAAAAACCTTTGTATCTCTCTGAATGTTACTCAGATTATAGACAGTCCTACTCGCCCTAACATTAAGTCCCCAAATAAATCCTCCCTAATTGATCTCATTTTAACTAATGTTCCCCATAAATACTCATCTGTGGGAGTATTTGCAAATGATCTGAGTGATCACTGTGTTGTAGCCACAATCAGGGACACAAAAGTCCTAAAGGGTAAACCTCGCATTATTAGTAAGAGAGACAAAAAGCATTTTGTGGAGCAGGGTTTTGTACATGATCTGTTTGATTTTGATTGGGGTAAAATCGATCTGTGTGCTGATGTAGAAACTGCATGGTCTTATTTTTATCTTGGTTTTATGGAAATTATAGATAGACATGCACCCCTGCGTACATTTAGAGTGAAGGGACGAGACAATCCTTGGTTTTCTGCTGAATTATCTAGTCTCCTTCATGAGAGAAACAAGGCCTGGGCAAAGGCTAGGAAATCAGGCTCAGAGGTAGAATGGCTACGCTTTAGGCAGCTAAGAAATAGCTTCACATCGCAAATCAAAAGTGCTAAGTCTAAGTATTATCTGTCAGTAACCACAAAGAATCTGAATAATCCTGGAAAAAATTTGAAAACCATAAAATCGATATCCACCGGTGATATCCGTAATGAGCTACCTCGGTGCATTACCACAGCATCTGGCACTATATCGGACAGGGCTACTATGCTAAATTGTTTTAATGAGCATTTTGTGTCCTGTGGCTCTCTGTTTGATTCTGTCACTAACTCTGCTTCTGTGAACACCACAGTCTGTGACTCTGAAAAACGTGTTTTGGAAAACCCTTTTAGTTTTACTCCTTTTACTGTTGATGTTGTTCGTGAAGCTTTAACCAAGTTAGATCCTAAGAAACCGGCTGGCCCGGACAACGTAGAACCTTTCTTTTTAAAGATAGCTGCAGATTTTATTGCTCCACCTCTCACTTCTCTTTTTAACCTCTCCCTCAGCACAAACACAATTCCAAAATTGTGGAAGTCAGCGTATGTCCTGCCTCAACTAAAAGGTGGGGAGGCCACCTTATTAAATAACTATAGGCCCATCTCTAAATTATCAGTTCTGGCTAAGGTTCTTGAACGCCTAGTGAGTGAACAGGTAAAGGTGTTTTTATGTACAAATGTCATCCTGTCTAAACATCAGTCAGGCTTCAGAAAGCAACACAGCACCATCACTGCCACAATGATAGTGGTGAATGATGTGGCGAGTATTTTAGATAATAAGCAGAGTTGTGCAGCTCTATTTATTGACCTTTCAAAAGCGTTTGATACCGTCGATCATCGCATCTTAAAGCAGAGGCTACTCAGTATTGGCATATCCAGCCATGCAGTGGGGTGGTTTGAAAACTACCTCTCTGAAAGGTCCCAATGTGTTCACTTTGATGGGCTGTCTTCTGAGTGGTTAAACATTACTAATGGTGTTCCCCAAGGTTCTGTTTTAGGTCCACTTTTATTCTCCATCTACATCAACACTTTAGGTGAAAATGTCGATGGAGCAACCTTACATTTTTTATGCGGACGATACCGTGATGTATTGTGCAGGTCCCTCCATTAAGGAGGCTGGTGTTGAATTGCAAGCAGTTTTTAACATTATTCAGACTCAGCTCTCTGAACTAAAGCTTCTTTTAAATGTTGATAAAACCAAGGTAATGCTCTTTTCAAAAGCTAAAAAGACACCAGAGCCTGTTGTAGATATTGTAACTACGCAAGGAATAAAAATTGAAGTGGTTACCTGTTACAAATACCTTGGTATCTGGCTTGATGATTGTCTCACTTTTAAACGTCATGTCAATAACCTGCTTAAAAAGCTGAGGGTTAGGCTAGGTTTCTTCTACAGGAACAAGTCCTGTTTCTCGCTTGAAGCCAGGAAAAGGCTCTTCACTGTGACCTTTTTACCTGTGCTGGACTATGGTGATTTGATTTATATGAATGCACCTGCCAATTGCCTGGTCAAGTTAGATGCTGCGTATCACAGCGCACTGAGATTTGTGACAAACTGTAAAGCATTAACCCATCACTGTACCCTGTATGCAAGGGCTGGTTTGCTTTCACTAACTGTACGGAGGCTCAGTCACTGGTACATTTTTATATACAAAGCCATGTTAGGGAAACTTCCATCTTATATCTGCTCCCTGATCTCACGGCAAATTGTAAGTGGCTACTGCCTGAGATCGCATGCTGTGGTTTTATTAAATGTGCCAACTGCTAGGACTGTCTTAGGGAAGACAGCTTTTAGATGTGCAGCTCCTCTGTCTTGGAATAGTCTGCAACTGAAATGGAAACTGAGCAATCTGGTGCCACTAAATGTTTTTAAAGCTCGGTTGGATGCTAGTCAATCAGAAGCTGTTGGTACCTGTCCATGTGGATAGTTATTGTATTGTGATCCCTGTAATGATGCTGTAAGATGTCCTTTTTGTTGTTCTGTTTATGTTTTTATGTTTCATGTGGAACCTACTTGAGCAGGTCTCCCTTGAAAAAGAGATCAATAATCTCAATGGGATACACCTGGGTAAATAAAGGTTTGAAAAATTGTGTTTTATTGTGTTTTTATTATGTTTTGGTGCTTTTATGACTTCTTAACACGTGGCTTGTGTGTTCATTCATCATTGTACGATTCCTATGATGATGTTTTATAGTTTTGTCAAGCACTTTGTGACTTTGTCTGTGAAAAGCGCTTTATAAATAAATAAACTTTACTTACTTACAGGATGTATGTCTCAGGAGAATTTGGAGAAAAAATCTTCGATGCATTTTTCTTGAGTTGACTTGATAACTGTAACTTTGTCTTTACAGGTTTCACACAAAAAAAGGGAAAGCGATAGGTCCAGTGTAACTCTCAAGACTTTTTAATATCTTTTGTTTTACACAGCACTGTATTCTCTTTTCTTTTATTCAATACCTGTCTTATGCTATTTTAACTTGTTTTCAGAATCCCTTTATTAGTCCCACGGAGGGGAAATGTGCGTAGTTACAGCAAGAAAAAGAGCCACAGACAGCTCAATGTTACATATATATGTGACATGCATTTTAAAAAAGTACTAAGTTATGATATGATAAAAAGTTGCATAATTAAAAAAAAATACACATCCTGTAACATTTCTTAGGATAGCAGCCAGGTATATATTACACTATATATATGGCACTTAGTTATTAACGGCATCTATATATATTGCACATCTAGCACATATTGCACATAGGTGGTTGGTATTTAACAGCAGCAAGTTACACAATTTACAAAATACACACCTTGTAACAGTTCTAAGGATTTAGCAGCCAGGTATATATTACAGTTATTAACGGCATTTATATATTGCACATAGTTTGTTGGTATTTAGCAGCAAGGGGTGATATAGTCTGTGTTGTGGTGTGTGTAGGGGGGGGGGGGGGGGTCAATTAGGGGCTGTGCTGGTTGTATAGTCTGAGTAGTTCATTTTCTATTCAAGCTTTGAAATGGTATTTGAATGTTCATTTATGGTGTGTTTTTTATGCAATTTGTCCCGGATGCTTTGATCTTTTATGTAAGGCATTTTTATTTTCCTGCAGCTGAAGTGTCTTATAAAAAATGCCAGAGGAAATAACATCATTGTCTCTTTTCTTTGACTAAGCAAAATGAAATGAGAAGCGTAACCAACATCACCACCGGGTAGTTCTGAAACGCTGAAGATTAAACTGTGCGTCTCTTTCAAGCTGCAGTTCAGATCAGCCCACACAGTCTCACTGAAAACACATGGCAGCTGTGTTTCACACTGCAGGGCATGATACATATGGATACTGTGCTCTACAGAAAACACCAGTCACATTCGGTTGTATAAAAACGATGGATTGGAAGTGTTTGAAACTTGATGAGTGTCTCTTATGCTGCCTCTCTGTCCTCTGCCTGCTATCCTATATCCGTCCACCAGATGCCCTCAGACTTTCCCACCTGTCCGGTCACCTGACTCTCAACACCACCTGCTCCTGTTTCCACTTTCCCTCAGCAGAGCATTTACAGGCACATTTCCACTCACTCCAAGCCAAATCGGCGAGGTTGCTTTGTGCCTCTTCAGCTTTTTAGCCATCTGCACTGCTCCTGCACTTTTTCCCTGCCTTATCTTTGTGCACCCATGGATTCTCATTCACTCATGTTTGAATTTTCTAACCATATCAGTCAGCTTATGTGATTTCTCTGTTTTAAAAAAATCACCGATCTGTTCCTGCTTGCCTTGATTCAGATTCAGAAGTCCTTTATTCATCCTACAGCAGAGACATAATGGCGCATTTCCACTACAGCGCGGAGCGAGGTTTAAGCGCGCCGTGCCCGGCCCGTTTTTTGTTGCGTTTCCACTAGGGGTAGTTCCGGCTGGCGGGTACTTGTTCACAGTTTTCTGGCTCTCCAAAATCGAGGTTCTTTCCGGGCCAACAACCGGGCGTATGCTAAACTAGTGAGAGAATAGCTGGCAACTACAACAAAATGAACATATTTTACCGTGATTTAATTGTAATACACGTTTCAAAATGATGCCGAAGTAACAACATACTGATACCGGTTAGTAAAAACCATGAATTAATGCTTTGACAAGTCTGCAGACAGACGGCAGGCGAAAAACCTTTTAAAATGCATGTTGTCTGAATGGAGATCGGCTAAGCTAACGTTGTATATGCTCCGACCGTCCACACTCACAACAACGGCCTATACAGACATAAATAAACCAGCGACTGTATTCACCATGACACAGGCAGTCTGTGGTTTGTACTTGTTTAACTTTTGTCTAGTTTCTGAACAGATATGAGGAGCTGTGAGCTCTGAGGGCTAACAGCTAACGGCTGATGTTGGTTTGGTGTTTCGCATTGAAGATGACGTCACGGCTCCGCCTACACTGCGTTAGTTACTACCCCAGTTCCTAAACTGTAATGGAAACGCAGCATAAAGTGAGCATGGCCTACCAAGGCCTAACTATACCGTACTAAGCCGTGCGAGGCCCTGCAGTGGGAATGCACTCACCGACCTGACAGTGGCCAACTAATAACATAGTTAATAACCACTTTTTTAGGCGCTCTCTGGCCCAAAGAATATCTTTAAAAAGGAGTTTTGTTTATTCTTGGTTTTTGATTTGTTTGTTAAATAATAACTCACCACCCAACAGGCATTGCCCAGGTCCGCAATCTTGATGAGGATTTTTTCAGCATTCTTGGGCTTTAGTAGGTCCAAAAGTACATCCGAGTCACCTATAATAAACAACATAATGATATAGAAAGCGAAGTTAATCCGACCAGGGCAGACTGTTAGTTTACTGATAATACAAGGGAATCTAAAAAAGGAACACACTATTAAATAAACCCACGAACAGAAGTATAGATTTGTCCCAAACTGTAAACATTACATTTCCACAGGAAGAGGAACAAACAGCTGACATCACACTTTAGGAAAAACAAAGATGTCCTGCCACTGACCTCGAGGAGAGGAAGATGAAGGAGGAGGCGGCTCTTTGTCAGCAGCCTGATGAAATAAGTCTGATCTGGAGCCAGAGACGGGGGCCTGTGTGTTGAGGTCCGGCCACGAGCAGATGGACTCTCTGTTGTTGCGTGGCGCCGAGTCCGGTCCGTCTTCGAACAGCAGCGTCTGCCGCCTCAACGTGAAGTTAGGACCCGCTGTGAGCTTAGAGGGACAGGTGGAGCGAGGTGTGGTGGGTGGAGTAGTCTCGTCAGAAAAGGAAACGTGAAGGTTTTCTTTTCTTTTTTGCTCGGATGGGTTTTCCTGTCCTCGTCGACTCCTGTCTTTTCTTGTCAGTCGCTTAATGGGGATCCTGGAGACCTTGCTGGACTGCAGTGGTGCAATCGGTGGTGTGAAATAATGAAAGGTGGGCATTGAGTAAAAATACAGTACCTTCATGCCTGTTATAGAAAAACATGCCAATTAAAGCCACAAGTTAAAGATGCCTGTCATTGGCGAGCCTTAATGTTTAAATCAAAATGCTAACATAACTTTTTGCATTTTAATGACCAGGGTATATGCAGGAATCCTGAAGTCAAATGTAATTCCTTTTAAGACCTTTTTTAAGACCCTTTCCGTACATTTTAAGACCTCATCGCCACTTTGAGTTTTAACCGGTTACCTTGGCGACACACTTTACCTCACATTTACTATATACAGTATTGATTGTCCTTCCTCCTTATCTTCCAACCATTTGGACGCAGACTTGCATTTCCCCATAACGATGTTGATTAACAACCGGCGTAAACGGACCTTTGCGCGCTATCAAGCAGTGAGCGTGCGATGTCCTGTTCAGATGACGTCAAATCCAACGGGATGCCATAAATAAACTACACAGAATCACACTACACACCTACGCCATGATTACATTCAGGCAGACTGTAGAATACAACCTCTTTGGACCATTCATATACTTATTGAAAACAAGCTACAAAATGTAATACCTTGGAAAATGCCGTTTAATTCGTTTTAATAGCCTTCATTTTCGCTAAATTGATTTATCAACTTTTAATACTTTTTAAGACCCCGCGGACACCCTGATGCCTTAGATATCGTTTGCACAAATGAGAAATTAGGCTACATTGCTTAAAAAAATTGAACATTGTCTAAGATTTTTAAAAGTATGAAATATCTTTTCTCTTTTTGAAATTGTTAGAAAATGTCACTTTCATTTGACCTAAATCTTGCTTGCATTAGTGGATGTTTTTATATTGTTCATATTCAATTATTGAATTCAACATGTTTTTTGGTCCACTGCACGGTGGGGTACTAATTCTTTTTTTGTAGTAACTTAAATATGCTGAAGTTATTATGCTATTGAGAATTACATTTTCATTTTGAAGTGTACATGAAATGCCATACCCCATGGGCTACCAAAGCAGGCTGTGGTGTTGTCAAGATGCAGTTAAGAGGCAGTGGTAAAGCAAACCAAAACAAATCCATCTTACCCACTCCCCAATAGTATTCAAAATGGATTTAACATTCAAATATTGTCTAATTTACAACAGGTAACATTTTCCACCTCACTGTCGGGTACGACTTAAAAAATCAAACAACATATCCATTTTCATATCAATTTGGACACAAAACTCATTTACGAGTATGTACAAAATAATTCTAATCCTTATGCATTTTCAAATATGTTTTCATATACATATGCGTGTACATAAAGTCTCCTGTGGTCTTCCAAACGCCGCTGTGGTGTTGTCAAGATGCAGTTAAGAGGCAGTGGTAAAGCAAACAAAACAAATCCATCTTACCCACTCCCCAATAGTGTGGAAAACCCCGGTCAGCTTCCCAAACATGTTGGACAAACTCTTAAGAAGTCAAAGCAGAAACACAAGATGTCATAAAACAATGACAACAAAACACGAAAAAATAATAATAATGAATTATACATTTCAGGATGCACACCTGTTTTTCTCTGGACCTTGTGTTCGCTGGCAGGAAGCAAAAACATGAGCAAGGAAAGGAGGCACAGGATGTGAAAATAAGTGGAAAAGAATGTTGTTTTTTGTGTTTAATCAAGATGCCTTCACCAGCATATTCCTTTTAAATGATCTCACTTACCTGTGGCGCTGGTGAAAGCAGAGCACACTGGCATCTGCCACAGCTTAGTGTTTGCTGCCAGGTTCTGAATGTAAACCTCATCCACCCTCAGCAGGATGTTTTCAGGCTTGATGTCTGTGTGGATGATCTTGCATTTAGTGTGCAAGTAATCTAAACCCTGCAGAACCTGTGATAAGAAATGGAAACACTGTCACTGCAGCCCATGTTATAGAGGGGCAAAAATAGAAGATAATCTGTTTTAAAAAAAGCTCAGTCAGTGGTGAAAGACAGGAAGCATGACATAGGATGGAATAAAGGGTTGCACAGCACCTGTCTGAGGATGCTCTTCACACAGGGCAGTGGGAGGCCAGTGTAGTTCGATTTGACGATCCACCGCAGCACCTGGTGGCCCAGCACCTCCAGAACCATGCACACATCTGATTAGCAGTTAAAGACCCTTGTTTCAACAACTTGTTTGTTTACAGCAAAAAAGACATCGACACAATCTTTTCATCTCCTTGCTTGCACTATGATAAAATGATGTCATGGTAGGGCTGCTCAATTAAATCGTATTTTAATCGCAATTACGATTTTGGCTTGCAACGATTACGAAAACAACGTAATCGAAATAAAACGATTATTTTTTTATTATTATTATATTTATTTTTTTGGTTTTTCAGTTAGAATTATACTTAAAGTTCAGGGTAATCAACTGTTAAAAACATACTGTTCACATTTTTTTTTTAAATAAATGGATGTTTTCAAAGTAAATGGATAATCGTTTTTAATAATCGTGATAGCAATTATTGACCCAAATAATCGAGATTATGATTTTTGCCATAATCGAGCAGCCCTATGTCATGGTGGTATTTCAATGTTTGTCTGTATGCACATTGGCAACGAAAGCATGTGTGAAACTGTACTGTCCTGTTTTTCAATCTCACTCTGTTGCTTCTTAAACTCCTGAATTTCCCCACGGGGATTAATAAACATCCATCTTATTTTATCTTATCTTATGTATGAATGACTGAACACAGGATTGCCAATTACATGCCAAAGATCAGTCAGGGCCTCTCCCTCTGGCCTTTGCCAAGAAAATGTCCCTCAGAGAGACACGAAACAACCAAGACGAGACTCAAAATCACAACAAAGAAACACCGAACGGCTATAAAGAGATTCAGAAATACTACTAAGACACCAAACAACTGCAACGAAATGAAAAACAGCTGCATAGAGACGTAAAGATACTTACAGCAGTTACGAAAAGCAACCACAAAGGACAAAAAAACTGTTGAGAGACACAAAGCGTGACCAACACAATCATAAAGTAACACAAAACATCTACAAAGAGACACAACATGTTCAAAAAGAGACACACAACAACAGAGAGATGGGAAATGACTACAAAGAGACACAAAAGGTGGCTTAACAGGTAAACAATCTGTGTGTCTTGCTCCTTTGTGGGAGATGTGGCCTTTTTCATGCCTGTGCCTAGTGGCCCATAATCTGCATATATCAATTAGTATGTTGTAACATTACATGGTTCTGTAAAGGATACGCTCTCCATTTGCTGTAGTGATCCTGAAGTCATCGATGAGATGCACGATGGTCTCACGGTTTGGATCTTTGGGGTCAATGTCCCTTACCTGATGATCATATACGGAACATATTATACATATCAATATAAATGTATTATAATGATACAAACCCTCACACTGTGATTAAATGACCTCCTAACAGCGATAAATTGCAAGAACATGGCAAGATATTTTGATTCAATAACAAATTATTCAAGCTACAGTGTGAGACATTGGTGGTTTCGTAGTTGTGTGTATTAAAAAAAACTAATGCTGATCAACCACTGCAAGTATTACCAAGTATTTTAAAAATGTTGTTTAGTTCGCCCTGTCCTTCTCCACATGCACACACACACACCACAGTGAATTGTTAACCCCCTATCAAAGTTTCTGATCATCTTTTCCACATAAAACACTTTTTTGTTAGCAACTAGACACTTACTAATAGTACACAAAGACATACTTCTTATGCATTAGTACTGACTACAACTAGTATGCATGTTGAATAAAGGAATAGGGGTCACACTGACACATTTCAGGAGTTTGATCTCATCCAGTGCCGTCTCTGTGAAAGTTTGAGCACTCTTCACTACCTTCAGAGCCACAAAACGCCCGTTCCTGCATGCAAACAATTATGGCAGTTAGCTTCTATTATGTTTAGATCATCTCTATGTTATCATGTTAAATATGGTGTTATTAAAAGCTTAAATGTTTACTTACACCATATCCCAGCACAGCCATACAGTAGAGAAGTGGCCCCATCCCAACTTTTTTACCACTTGGTAACGGTCAACAAAAATATCTCCAATCTCTACATGGTAGTAACCACCTGCGACACAGTGAAGACGAAGAAGACAACGAAGAAGACAACGGAGAAGACAACGGAGAAGACAACGGAGAAGACGAAGACGAAAACATTGTTTATTAATCAATTAGGGAAAATTCCATTCCACTGTGTTGTGTCATGATTTTAGTTCACTTTTGTGTGTATAGTTTCCGGTTTTCGCATGTTTACAGTTCTAGGATTTCCCGGGTCTGGGCTCCTGTGTCTCCTGAGTGTTCCCGGTTTGTTTGTCACTTTTCCTTTTGTTCCTCCTCGCCTGCTCCTGCCATTTTTGATGTTTTACCAGCTTTTAATTTAATAAAAGCTCGCCTTCTGTTTGTATCCCCACACCAGAGTCCTGCATCGGGTCGGGTACCCGGGTGAGCCGCAAAAAAAGTGATTCGCGGTAGGGCTGCACAATTTGGGGAAATAATCAAATTGCGATTTTTCTGACAGATATTGCGATTTGCGATATTTGTTGTTAAGCGACCCAACGGATGTTTATTGTAAAATGCGGCCATATCTCCGGCTAGGAAGGTCGTATCAACGTGCTCCCGTCTCTAGCACCCCCGCAGCCCGAGCTACGAGTGAAAGAACTAAACTTACATGAAACTTCTGTTGGGTTGCTTTAAAGTCAAGCTTCAGTTTAAGATTCACCCTGTAATAGAAACATGTGATGGAGCATCACTAACCTGACCCAGATGGTTTGTTTCACCAAAGCATCTAGGAGAGCTCCACTGGAAGCCATTTGGAAAAGTATTTCAAATATACTTGGCAGGTGATTGGATCAATCTGTCTATCACCTTCTATCATGGGCCACTTCTGATTGGTTAACAATGGCTGGTACATGTGGAGCGCAGCACTTCTGATTGGTGTGGATGACTGACACACAAGAAAAATAAAAAAATAGCAGGCTTTGCGATTTGACAATTGCATCATTTAAAATGGCGATTTCGATTTAAAATCGATTAATCGTTCAGCCCTAATTCGCGGGTGGTATTTAAAAAAAAAAATTCCGGGTTCGGTTCTGGGTAAAACAAAGAAGATGCGGGTCGGGTCGCGGGTGTTGCATAATAAATATATTAAAATAGGCCTAATAATAATTGTATTTAAAGGACACCTATCATGCTATATTTGAACAATATATTGTAGGGCCATACCTATATAAAGTATATAAATATAATAATATTTTCAAAATACCAAAAAGATCCTGCATTTTAGCCATGCCTCATTTCGCTCTATTTGCTCTTTCCAGCGCTGTTTTTGCAGGGGGCTGATTCTGTGAGCTGCAGCGGACCACGCCCCACTGCAGGAGAGGGGAGAAGAGGGGGAGAAAAAAGATCTCCGTCCTCCGTGTTTTATTCTTATAGAAGTAAGAAGAGAAGTAACGGGGCAGAAACCCTCCTTTTTACGCAGCGGTCCAGACATAGACATCAAACGGCGACACATATTCAGTTGCCAGTTACTTTGGCATTAGGGCAGGGGTCTCTAGATACTTTCCAAGGTTTGACATAATGAATTGTGCTACTTTTAAAGCAAGCAACGATGTTTTCAAATCTGTAATCAAAAAGCTCCTCAAAAACACTATCGAAGCAGTTCCTGCCGTTGCTACTTAGTTCAAACAGTAACAACGGACTATTTTTCTTAGCGGATGCATGTCAATTTAAATCAATACAACTATTTTTTAAATCAATAAAATCATTTCTAAATCCATAAAAGCATTTCAATTAATATTGGGAGTCATGTCGTTACTTTGTCGAGAATGTGGCCATGTAATAAGCGGGATAATGTGCACATTGCATAATGTGCCTTCATGCCGATCTAGATCCCTCCGCTTCACGTCGGGCTCCTGATCAGCCTGTCGGTGTTCTTTTCCCCATAATGACCGCGTCGCTGCACATTATCCCTTACATATGCTTATATAGAGTCATTATTCATTTGTTTTAAAGCAAGAGGCGCAAAAGCTTGCTTGGGAGGGAGAAAAAGAGCCACAGCGGAGAATAAACAGTAGAAGGGCAACCATGGCAACCATGAGCGGGAAGTCTTCTTCGCTGCTTTTGTGGCACACTACAGCGCCACTTACAGGCCTGGCATATGTACTACAGCGTCTCCAGCGCTTTCGAGCAGCAATGGCCGGCCGTGGCCCAACCTCTCATTCTCCTGATAGGTGGAGAATTGACCAATAGCCGTAGCGCCACTTTACTGACGTCAGTAAAGTGTTCAAATCTGGATCAGTCTGTATCAGATCCGTTGCAGCCCCTTTTTTAGAGATTTGGGTATGGAGGAAAATAGAGAGGGTTGTGTTTTCTGACACTTGGTGAGTTCCCTGACACACCGGGGACACATATTCATGTATAAAAGACGTACAAAAGTGCATTTTGCATGATAGGTCCCCTTTAAATCCTCAGACCTCTCCCCCGCGGGACCGCGCATACTCCTAACCTCTGCACCGCATCAATCTGCTGCTGAGCGCGCCACATTCGAAATGGCTGAGGTGAAGCTCTCTAGTGGAGAATACAGCATTGTCAATATCTCTTTCTCAAGAGCGAAATCCAACGCTTTTGGTGTCATCCTAGATGGAAAAAATAACCAACATCCCACGCTTTTTGAGCCAAATACGCAACTGCGTGTGTTAATAATTGTTTGTTTATAAATGTTTTCACTGCTCATAGGATATGCGGGTTCGGGTTGGTTTGCGGATCTTGTGCCGATGGATCGGGTCGGTTTGCGGAACTAATTGGCAATATGTGCGGGTGGCGGGGCAGGTTCGGTATTGCACGTCGCGGGTGCGGGGCGGGAGCGAGTCTTGAAAATCAGACCCGTGCAGGACTCTGCCCCACACCTGCCTCCCTGTTTGTAATACTTTTGGGTCCGCATTCCAAAACCTTGACATGTTGTTAATTGACATTAGATGATTCACTGTGAAGTCTTAAAATACACAAACAAGACCGTTACACACTTAATGTGAAAGTGAAAAAAAAGTGTCAAAGAAATGGGGGGGTTTCGTGCCTTGCTTAAGGACACATTGGCAGAGCAAAAAGGAGGCATCTGGCATCTCTCCATGCCAGATTTCGAGTGTTGGAGTTGGTGTTTGGGTGCTTACCGATGCCGTAGTCTTCTGGATTCTCCTGTTGCTCATCGAAACATTTCAGAGGCTCAGGGGAATGAGGTTGTTTCTGTACTGCTGGAGGGCTGTGGGCAGGCTTTGGGGAAGCTTTAGGACCCCCTGCTGGGCGTGGGGAGGGGTGAGGACTGGGTTTGACGGTTAGATCAGAAGAGCTGGCTGTAAGGAGAGCCGATATAGCGGCAGCATATGAAGATGACATGTTCAATGGGGCCTGAAGAGTCCGAGCATAACTGAAGATGAAGATGAGTCCAGAAGACAGCAGCACCCAGGGAGAAAGCTGCAACAACAAAAAAGTTCAATCATTATCAGAAACAAGAGTTCACCAGCTGTTTATCTCTGTCAGCTGGTTTGTGCTTTAAGTCACTGTTTGCAGGAGCATTAACATTTTAAAGAGGCACTGAAAATGTGTGTTTATTTTTAGCTGGATGAATGGCATGTCAACGTAAATAGCTCCTGACACTGGCCCAGCTGCAACCGAACTCTTCCTGATAGCGCATGGACTACCTTGTGGACGCCACAGTTGTAAACATGAATGGGTTCAAAGTCATTCTTGAAGAAAAACAAGACACTATAGGTCCAGCAACTTGGGGGTTTGAGATGTTTAAGTGAAAAATATTGTTTGGGACTGAACCAAGAAATTCACTTCTCCCACCTTATATAACTTTTTCATTGTGACAATGTTCAATTGAGTTTCAGGAGTTTCACTGTGCTGCAGTGATTTTACTAGACAGTTTTTAACCATGTGATTTCATTACAGGTGTTTGTCTGTCTCTGTGTACTCAAAGGGGTGACCCGTACACACGTGTATATCACTGTCCAAGCACTCTAAATGTATTTATTGATTAGGAATATCTATGTATTTCCTGCTATTGCATACTGGAGGTTAATACCCTATATGTTAGCACATGTTGTATTCTTTTCCACTGTTATTTTCCCTTCAATAGATCTTCATTTATTAATTTGGGCCAGAGAGTTTGTTACCGAAATGTTTGGTATTGTCATGTCTTCTCAGTGGTCACGTCATGGATGTATGGGTCACGTTAAATTGGCAGTTCAACATGACATATGACACATATCACATGACATGACTTATTGATGCAATTTAATCTGAACACCTGTCCTCATATCACTATATACCGCAATGAAAACCTTGTATCCATGTATCATTATCCATATTGAACTTATTACTAAAAACAAGGTAACTTGGATGTTTTCAAACGGCAAACCAAAATGACTTGATATTATTATTATTATACAATACACAGAAGGACAGGTCCATGATATCAATTGTTAAGCAAATGATCATGTTCTAACAAGGGATATCTCTCTAGAAATACAGTGACAAGTAAAGAAAAATACTTCATACAACTCTCCCTTTACTCATTAAGAAGTCATGCTAGGTAAGAATTAGCTTAGCCCTACATTTCGACAACAAAACTGTTTTAACCTGAAAACATGACAAAAGGGCCAGCAGCATAATGTTGAAAAGTTAGAAGAGAGAGAAAACATCTTGCAGTAGCAAAACTCCATTTCACATGGCTGCATTACTTATAGCCTAATTGAATGTAATTAAGATTTGGGTAACCTAACTGCTAGCTAGCTTCGGTTTGTCTTTCCCAGTTGTTTCGTTACGTTAAACACATAGCAACGGCTAGCTAAACGTGTTCTGCACTGCTTGATATTTAAGGCTACGCATTTTAAATGTACACTTGATAACTCAGCAAGTCTCACAATAAATACTAAACAACATTAGAGGAGGAGCTACTTACCCCTGTTTGTCAAATATATATCCAGTTTTTAATGTTTGTAACGCGGGAAATAGAACGCCACGAGGACTCGGATCAGCGCTCCTGCAGTGCTCCTCGCGCTGTTCTGTTGCTGTTCAGGTCCAGGAATAGCAGAGCTGCTGAACACACTTCACACTATGTAGGCTAGATAGCAGGTCTATTTCCAGAGGGGCGAGGGGCTCATTCTCATATCTATTATTTCACCTTTGACTTTCTTACAATTAAAGGGTTTTAAAATAATACAGGTCATCATCAAAATATTTAGAATAATTATGTAAATCAAAGGGAAATGACTATGAATGTGTAACAACATGGGTATAACATTTTTTATTTTTCAAACAAATATTTTACAATAGAATGAAGATATTGTAGTATATGAGCTAGCATTAGTAATTGTATTATTCTCAAAATGTGACTTGACTTGGTATGTCAACTTTATTGTTCAAATTATTTCCAAAAAATGGATTTCAACATTTGTTAAAAATTAAAAGATATTCCTCCTTTGATGAACTTAAGCCTGAACTTATGAAAGCTGGACTTTTTTTCTAAACATTTGACTTTACACTTTGCTTTTCAAATGTATTCACTCAAATTCTTCACTTTGTTCTCAATATTTCCCCTTTATTCTTGATATATCCTTTATTTTGAGTATATCTCGAGAACCACTCTCTCCCTGATTGAGTTTTGATGAACATGTTAATATGAGAATAATTTTTGACAAGAACACCTCTTAAGCCCCACGGACCCGGTTCCGGGGCCGAAATCATTTTGCAGGAAACAACGTCTAAGGAACCTTCATATTTAATAAACTATGAATATTTTATATCCATATAACGGAAAAAAACTCATTTAACTGATCTTTTTCATTTGTTTTCTTCACAAAAAAAACACAATGCTAACACTGACCCTCTGAATTAGCCCCGAGCGAAAAATGCTAACCTATTACTGCACCGAAAATCACTCCTAGCTCCCTTAGTACTTATCCTAGGTGCACATCCAACACATCTTTTATGATCGCAAGGAGACACAGAATCTAACGGTGCCCACCTCAACACTGAAAGATACAAACTCGCGACGTTATCAACAAAAACGTACATCAAAACATGTGGCGCTAGGTAGCCAAAAACGCTAACATGGCTTACCTTGGTCTTTGTCTGGTCAAAACTGGTCTTCAATGGCATTAAAACGATAAAAACGATGCTGTAGTTAATCCATAGGTTAATATCCAATGTGACTAGGCTTGTTTGAGACGCGTTGCGGGCGCGGCCGTTGCGGCTCGCCTCGAAAGTAGACGAGAATAGCCGATCGCAGCCGGGGGAGGTCTCAAAAAGCTCGCCTGAAGTCGGACAGCTCAGGTTGCGTTCCGATAATCCAAAAATCAGGGTTGCGTTCCGATAATCCAAAAATCAGCTCCTAAATTCTAACCCTATCTCCTATTCCTTGACCTCTGAGTGAAACGTCACGGGGTTAAGGGATAGTGGATAGGAGAATTCAAAAGGACTTAGGAGAAGAGACCGCGGTACTTTAGAGAATCCGAATGCACTTTCACTATCCGACGTGTTTATGATGCGCCAGCGGACGTCATGAATGTGCGTCTGCTGCTGTGGGGAAACTATGGAAACTACAGTTTTCTATACAGAGGACTACAACATGGATGTTTAATAAGAACGAGGGACTACTGTAAACTCATCTAGAGACTCTGCACCATGCTCTGATGCTGTTGCTTTATGCTTTATGAACGTGGACAACAGAGAAACATATTCTTCATGACCAAAGTTGGAATTGAAATAAAAAAGGAAAGTGAAACTTATGCTCGTCACCCTCTCCCTCCGGTCCACATGATCCCAATACGTATGATTGTTTGAAAATATCTTAAAATCAATACAAATGTATTTATTATAAACGTTAGTCCTTAACATCTATCATTGTGTATATCACCATTCAAACATATTTTAAAAACAAACCCCACACAGCTCAGTAAAGACTGTGAGATGTTGACTTTATTTGATAATTTCAGTAAAAACTAACGTTCATATTTCTCTTTTTTATTATAATGCTGATGAACGTTCAGAAAAAAGCACTTTGGCAACTTACCACATACGTTTTAAAATGCTTAATAAGCACCGTAACTTTCATGATATCATTTCTCGGTCATAATCGGTTGTTTCCGTGAACGGCCGACTGTTGAGTGACGGCAAATGCTGCAGCTGCAATGCATTGTGGGGTAGCATTTTCTCCTCTCCTTTCGGTTAGGGAGGTCCAGTGGTTCCTAAGCTAAAGGAGGTTATAAAGGAAGTTTGAAACCTCCTTTCCTTTCATTTGGAGAATTGGAACGGCACTTATCATGGCTGCCAGTGACGTACTTCCGGGTCATTTCACTCCGTTAGGAAGGTTCCTAAGCTAAATGGACGTCTTTGTCCCGCGAGATTTCAACGTCTCATGTGGGCGAGCCTCCAGAGCAAGTCGGACAAAATGACTAACCATCATGCAACGCACTAGCAAGACGTTGATCGCAACTGCGCAGGTCTCGCTTGTCTCAAACAAGCTAAAACAGCTTTTCCGTTGCTTGATATCAGAGCAGGGATATTTCTACCCTCTGCTGCAAGCTTGCATGTACAAAGACACACATTTTTTTTAACATGAGTGTGTGCGGGACGATTTCCCTTGGATTATATTGGCTCTAACGGTCAGGAAGAGATGTCATGTCAAAATCGAGCAAGGGGGCCAGAGATAGGTCAAATCCACCCAAATAGCCCCAGAAGAGTTTTTTTTTTACTAAATCTGTCTAAAAAGGTAAAATATCACTTGTTTTGCATCAATCTTGATACAGGGTACTTATTATATGTTGTACTTTGGATTCCTAAAGCCCATCATCCAAGGTTAGTTTCTTTTCACTATAAGTACAAAATATTTTTTGGACGGACACTATAATTTACAGTTTTTTACCATGTTCAATCTGAATTTTCTTTAAAATAAAAAACATCTATATTGATTCTGACTTTTCTACACCCAACTCACAGGTTTATCATTACTTTGACAAAAAAGGTTATTAATTTAACCCTTTTAGAAGGGAAGATATGGTCATTTGTTCTGGGAATGTCATTTTCGAGCCTGAAACCTGACAAACAGGCTTGGGGCTTAACAGGTTAAGTTTGATGACATTAAATATAGTTAATTGTTTAAGTATTTTCAGGAATATTTCAAGTGCCAAGTTCCCCTATAAGTGTCAGGGCCTTGCCAGTGTGCATGCTTCCACTGTTATATTCAATATGTGTTACAATAAACGTGTCTGACTCATTGTGTGATGATTTCAACATGACACTTTATTTAGTAGAATGAAGCACAATCTCATACATACAGCATTAGGCCGGCCTATTTTGTCTTATTTCACAGGCCTGGGTATAAAGAGAGTAGGGAAAGAGAAAACTGCATTTAAATATCTAAAAAAAGAATAATCAACACATCACACTGCTGAATGAAGTGGTTTTAACACACATTACCAATTCCCGCACTGATGAGGAAGAGCTACAGTAGATATAGCTACAAAATGTTACAGGCTCATAAATATAGTATAGTTTGAATAAATTAGCTTCAGAGCTACATTTATTTCATTGATTTGCAACTTACAGAGTATATGAAAAATACATTTATGACCCCCAGTGCACACTCACAGCATGTTTGGTCTTTAATTTCAGGTTTTAACCAGCTGGAAGAAGCTCTATGAGGATGGATACTGAACACAGCAAAGAAACTGGGAAACATTCAATGGTGTGCTACAGCTTAGAGTAAAAAACAACATCACATATGACAAAGAATTACATTCAAATGAGTTTTGGCCAAAGATCGATTACAGTAAATGGAGGTAAAACGTTTAAAAAAATGTTGTCTAGACTAGAGGTCAGCAACCTTTATTTTCAAAACAGCTATGTTGCCCCACTTTGTCCCCTATTAAAGTTTGTCTGGGGCCGCTAACACAGCTTCTAAAGTGTTGTATATAGTTACATACAAAAACGTGTTTGTTGCATCTGTGAACTTATAGATCGACAATAAAGAAAAAGTTTAAAATCTATTCAAATGTATTCCTGTAATAACATAACAAGCAGCAAATTCTGTGTTCAGGATATGTCTTTCAAGATTACAATGTTTGTGGTTTGCTAATTTCTCACTATATAATCAACCATTGTTGGAAGTAGCCTACAAGCAAAGGAATCTATACACACAGAATTAAACTTTGCTTAATTTGGGACTTTTCTTTTTGTGGATTGTTATTTTCCCAAGGCCGGGGTCTAAAATGTAGGAAATGCCACCTCCTGTGCAACAAAAAAAAGAGAAATTGCTGTTATGTATGTCCATGTTATTTATTCTCAAAGCTACAGGGAGCCACTGCAGACGGTTGCCTCCCCCTGGTCTAGACTTAACACATATACTTTCAGTGTCCTTGAGGATTTCATGTAATATTTTGATCTTTCTGAAGATTACACTGCAGAATAAGATTACAAACATACATTATGATGCATTACTAAGATTTAAAAACATGAAAAGTTATTTTTTTGAAGTCCAAGCACATGAAATGAGCTGAAATCATTACAAATACAAAAAAATCCGCCAGCATGAATTCTTATTAACACATTTACTGGTATGAGACCCGCTCACACCGTCATTCAAACTGCAGCAGCCCTATTCTGTATTTTCTTTTACAAACCAATTAAATAGTGCTCACTTGGAGAGTGGGCTTATTTCGGGGCGGTTATTTTTGAATATATACTTATCATGTGGTTAGTAAAAAAAATGATTATTGTTGTTAGTACCGGAATAAAACAGCTTGAAACTCATCAGTACAATCCACGCAATATACAGACTAACATTCAGATAGATCTTCAGTAGATGTTGACACTTATTTATTCCCCCAATTTTAAAAAAACCCGTCTCGTTTGGTGACAATTTTCTAAGGAATTAAGGCTTAAGATGCTCATAAAGTGCTCCATATGACACTCAAATCCTCCATAACTAAACGAAGGGGGAAATTATTACATTATTGTCATACAGTCATGTGCTACTGCCTTTCAGAAGCTTTAACAACAGCCCTCAGGATCGTCCTAAAAGTGGTCAAATTGGTCGCTCAGCACAGAGAAAGCTACATTTTATGGCCAGCAGTACGCTGCATCTAGAAAACATACTGAACAATATACATGACATCATTCCAAAATACCCCAATTTGGTGACATCGTAAACTGCTTTCAGTTCTTTTTCGGATTACACTAAACTCACAAAAGCTATAGCGTTCACATTTTGAGATCATTAGAAAGCACTTTAAAGTTTTCTAACCAAGGTTTTTAAAACATTTAGGCACTCCCGTCTGCTACACCAGTATGTTACAGTTCATGGCCCCTGTCTTTTATCAAACGTGGAAAATACAAATGGCTGAGAAATTAAACGGCAGATGATCGACTGAAGCATGTTGTTTTTTTTATATAGTTTTACAAACACACATTCACTGGCATGAATTAATACTTTTTTTTAAATGATGGTGAGCTCATCTTTGTATATCACAAGATTCATGAGCAATAAATTACCTCTTTAATATAGCTGTTCTTTATATCTCAGAAGATACAAAATAGTAATTTAGAGTTGTATATATTCTGTAAAAAAGTATATTTCGGGCGTTTTCAGGGTTATCAGGAAGAATATTACTGCTTGTGTTTGACCAGAAATATTGATATATTAAGTACAGCATGACCATATTGTTATTAGATGCGTTGACTCCATGTTCACATGAAGTTCACTTGGGATCAGTTATAACACGGGGAACTAGCCAAGGCTTTTCACACTGTACAGCTACAGTTTATCACGTATTCCAGTCACTTTCTGCTGAGGTTGCCGTGTTTTACTTTGCTGTTGAGGTCACATTGTATCGACTCGTGTGGGTGAATGTGCATGTGAGGCTACAGTGTTTCTGCTTGAGTTTGTGTGTGTGTGTGTGTGTGTGTGTGTGTGTGTGTGTGTGTGTGTGTGTGTGTGTGTGTGTGTGTGTGTGTGTGTGTGTGTGTGTGTGTGTGTGTGTGTGTGTGTGTGTGTGTGTGTGTGTGTGTGTGTGTGTGTGTGTGTGTGTGTGTGTGTGTGTGTGTGTGTGTGTTCTGCTGCTTCAGACTAGGGTGCCTGGGTCTGGACTGGGCTCCTTTGGGGTCGCCTCTTGCGTCTGTGGATGAGGAGTCTCCTGATAGAGCGAGAACTCCATCGACCTGTTGGGGAGGAAACACAAATCAATCAAATACACTCTACGAGAGGCAGGAAGTGGAGGGTAAAACCAAAATGACAATACAGCATGAAAAATATGAAACATGGTCAGTAGCTTCGAGAGAGACGTCGTTGCAGGCAGGGGGGGGGGGGGCTGTGTGGGAGATAAAGTCCCTCTGGAGGGAACAGAGGAATTTGAGATCAGACTTGGATTAGTGTTGTGAGTTTTTAAACAGATGTCTTGCTGTTGTTTTACTTTTGTTGAAAGGGTCCCCCATTTGCGTTAATTCATCAAGACTTTTTTCTGTTCTTTGATTTATGCATCACAGTGGAGTCAAGTGGAACGTCAATAATTCAAGGTAACAGTGTGAGCCTTTGATATATAAAGTATGTCTCTAGAGCATTAAGGAAGCCTATGAAACTATGAGTGTTTTATGATTAGCATGCAGTCATTCGAGCGCCTGGCTGTTGGCATGAGGACAGCAGCAGATAATGCTGACCACACAAAACACAAAGACAAACAAAAATAAAACAAAGCACGGCTGTAAAGGTCACAGGATGATAGATGGGGTAGAATCACCGTCCTCAGCTGGGGACTTGCTAGCAGCTTCATGTGAGAAAGATGTCTAAGTATTCAGTGCAGAATACTGAGTCAGTGTATTTACAGACATGTATGCTGGTATTTATTGTGTACTAAAATGTTTTCTTACAAGACATACATAATTCCCCTTAGAGCCATTTTACTTTAATAAGATTGTTATTGTTTGAATATCTGCAAATATCTTTAGGTTATTATTAGGGCTGTCAGTCGATTAAAATAGTTAATCGCGATTAATCTCAAATTAATCGCACATTTTTTATCTGTTCTAAATGTACCTTAGAGGAATATTTTTCAAGTTTTTAATACTCTTATCAACATATGAGTGGACAAATATGCTTTATGCTAATGTTTATTATCATTTGAACAATGACAAATATTCTCATGAATATTAAACACAACAACCTCTGAACATTACAAATATTCGCCTCAATTCAACCTGGAACCTCTCTCATACAATAATACAATACAAATGGGGTGTGTGTGTGTGTGTGTGTGTGTGTGTGTGTGTGTGTGTGTGTGTGTGTGTGTGTGTGTGTGTGTGTGTGTGTGTGTGTGTGTGAGATAGATCGTTGGAGCTATGTGCAACTCAAGGCATATGCTCGAACGGGAGCTGCGTGGACGCTGCAATCATGTTGCGCACTATCCGTGCTGAGTGTGCTGACTTTTCGTACAATGTCCCACTGTCTGGCTTCCTGCATAAAGTCAAGTGCTCGGCGCAGTTGTGGCGAAATGTCGCTCCTCTGTTTTCATTTAAACAGCTCCATATCCGTTAGCGCAGCTAGCTAGCACCAGATGCTAACAACAACAATGCACGTAAGTCTCTCTCTCGCTCGCTCGGGCCACACATACACACACCCTCCCGGTCCTCCAGATGGCCAGTCGGTGCCTGCCGGTGAGCGTGGAAGTGTGGTCTGCCACAAGCGGGCGGCAGGAGCGGGGCTGTCAGCATCAGCTTGTAGATGGTATTTTAAACTCGATGCGCTCTGAAACTACGGGGCGGCCGAGGACAAAAAATACACATGCGTTAATCGCGTTAAAATAATTAGTGGCGTTAATTTTTTTTTGCGTTAACGCGTTATTAACGCGTTAACTTGACAGCCCTAGTTATTATCTTTTGTTGCTTTTGAATGGAGGAAGTTTTTGTTGATGGTGTGTGTTTTTATGCCGCCTTCATCGCTGAATAAATATGATGTGACTCAATGATACAATGATCTCCGCACCCGCAACCCCCACAAAGGACAGTGGCTTTTTATTTTAGAATCTGACTAAAACACCACGATACCCCTTGTATATTTTTTTCTTCCAATAGACATGCAGATTGAAAAGAGAAACATAAACACTGACCTCCCGTGCAGCGGGTGGCCGTGGAAGCTGGCTGACTGGGGCATCTGAGAGCGGGGGGGGCTTGCTGCGTCACCCTGGACTGACTGCTGGTGCACCAGCGGGTGGGGGTGTGAGAGGCGAGAGACCCCCGCCTCGTTCCCCTTCGGTGCAGCGGGGGGGTAGCCGAGGGCGTTCCTCAGGTACCAGTCCCTCAGACCCTCCAGAGCCAGAGCTTTATGTAAGCTCCGCGTTGAGTCTTCTGGGGTCGGGAGGGAGAACTGAGGGGGTCTGCGGCCGAAGGAGGGGCCCGACAGCTCCGTCTGGTAGGGGTGCAGGTTGGGGATGGAGGATGTGGTGGTCCCGGAGGCGGGGAGGGGAGAGTCGTACGCTGACAGCAGGATGGCGTCCTGGGGGTGTTGCTGCAAAGGAATAAAGGGTCCACAAGATTTGGTCCTGGTGACTTTGACCCTGCGCAGCTCGGCTTGGGACCCCCGGAGCACCATGGGGCTGAAAGGAGGCGCGGCGCTGGGGAGGTTCACCTGGGAGTGGGAGAATCCGTTGGCGTGGGGAGGCACTGCTGCGGTGGAGGAGCGAGGGGAGGGCGCATCCTGCCAGATCCGGCCTGTGGACTGGTACAGGTGGTGCTGCATCCTCTGCTGCTTCCCCCAGATGTAGTCCATCAGGAGCTCGTTGTAGCCCCCGCCCGCCGCCCGGTCGCCCATCGACAGGCGCAGTTTGGCCTGATCCACGTTGCCGTCGGCGTGTCTCTCGGGGCTGCCCAGGTGGATGTGCCTTAGCTTGCCGTCGGTCAGTGTCTCTGAGCTCTTGTAGGGCCCTCCTCGGGGGGGCATCCCGTTCCTTGGGGCCGGGTCGTCGGGGAGGCTCGATCTGTCCAGCAGGGCCTCGGAGCTGTTGCTGCGCCGCGCCCGGGAGCTGTAGGGGCAGCCGCGGCGGTCCGAAGAGGAGCCCTCCTGCGCCAGGGGGATTATGTAGGGAACGTCCAGGCTGCCGGACCACTGCTTCAGCCCGTTACCGCCTGACCCGTCCGACCTAAAGAAGAGACGAAAACAACAACGACATTAGGAGATATTTTTTTACTATATTTTTAACTACATTTTCTATTATTTTTAATATTTCTTTATGTTATTATATTTTCTTATAATAGTTCTCTATCTGTATTTTTAAATGTTTGTTTTACTTTTATGTATGCACCATGACATCAAGTCAAATTCCTCATAAGTGTCAACCTACTTGGTAATAAACCTGTTTCTGATTTCTGAGCTCGGTGTAACTTTGATGGAAGACTTGCTGACAGGCTCTCCGTAGCAGTCAAGAAAATATTAATATACAACCCATTTTAAATGAGTAATAGGACTGGTTGCAAATAGTATCTTGCATCAGTCTATTAGGGCCATTTAAAAAAATTGGAAAAAGTAGCGAATAAAGAAGAACTAACAAATATTAAAAAAAAATTCTCAAATGTTTTTTTATTGAAATATTTATTTACTACCCCAATCTCAGAGAGTATCCACATTTTTTTTCTGGTGAAATCAGGCTTCGACTTTAATCTCAATAATGAGTTTTTCACACAATTTAACGCTTTGTTTTGAATGTCCCCGAGTCACCATCGTAGGCATCTTTGGATAAAAAAAGTGAGTGAATCTAAATGTATTCTAAACACTGTTACTGCATTTCACACAAAATCAATTAGGAAGCGACATAGTATGTATGCTCAAACACCAAACGATGAGCTTAAGCCCTCGCTGCTAGCTAAATATGACACTAATCACTGTAACAACCTTGAAACTGTGTCTGAATGTAACTAAGTCATTAAGCTGTTTCTGAGCACACAGAGACCTCAGTGGGAGGGAGGAGCAGCGGCGATGAGCGGCACGTTACCTGACGTGAACACTGATGGGAGCCGTGCGAGCTAATAGAGGCGTAGCTGGAACACTTCTGCCTTCAATGTTAGACGCACTTCTCGGCAAAGAGTGAGTCGGGCTGTGGGAAGAGACACAAGAGGATCAGCAATGTATGATTATGATCACATTGACATGCAGAGGCAACTGAGAAATGCAGCAGGAAATGCATTTACTTTATTCAATTAGGGGACAAAGAGTGTTTGCAACCTCACTACATTACTTTTTAAACATATCAGCAGCATTTATCTCAGTATCCCATATCAATACTTATTTACCTTTTTTCAGCGATAGACAAAAACAAGTAAGAAATATCCTTAAAAGAGGATATATAATGATCATTTTCAGGTTCGCATTGTATGTAGTAGTGTAGCAAATAAACTAAATCAAATGTTTGGCTCTTTTAAAATGGCTATTTATATTTAATGTATGTAGACAAGTGAAGGACGCTGTTCCTCGATATAATCCAAGAGGTCAGGGTGTGGTGAAATGCAGGATTTTTTTGGAGGAAAACTAATTATATATCTTTTCAAATGTGCTCCCCTGTTTTTTAACAGTATAGCAAGTTCATTGTGACACATGAAGCAGACCGCACAGCTTGCAGTGTGGGGGACACTTTGAGAGACGAACCTGACGGAGCTGGTGACAGAGTTGCGGCGTGTCCTCATCTCGTAGTAGATCTCGACTGGCGACAGCTTCCTGCTGATCCTGTGGTCGGGGCTGCCCACTGTGAGCCGGGGCTGAGACAGAGAGCGCTGGTCCGCCACCACGCTGGGAGAAGACTCTTTATGGAGGAGAGAAACAAAGTCAAAAGTCAACTTTATTGTCAATCTTTCAGTTTGTGTGTACAGACAGAGAGATCGAAATACCTTCCCACAATCCCAAATACAAAGACATTATCACTGTTTTTAGAAGTAGGTAAATTCCACAGATGACATTTTTATATGGATTTTTTGTCAAAGCATTAAGATATTCATTGCTATCGGGATGTTAAGAGCATTCCATGGAATATAACAAAAAGTGTTTCTGAAATAAATTACATACCCCACATGTGCTATTTAACAACTGAAATGTGACTGAACGATCCCTCTTAGGACATTCTGCCACCAACACCTAATTGTAATGTATATTATTTATTTTTAATACAACTGAGTGTAAGTGTCAGCAATGCTCTGACGTTAAATCTTAATGGAATACAAGCCAGTACAAGAACAAACCACTTAGCACTTTTATTATGACAGTCACTTATTCACTTTATGACTTTAAGATGCAATTGTGTGTGTATTGTGTCTGAATTGTACTTTGTGCTGTGCATGGTGAGTGTAGTTTTGCTAGTGCGAAAGATCCTTTTCCATTTTATGTAAATGTTATGGACACTAAAGTCATCTGAATCTGAATTATTTGTGTGTCTTACCGTAAGTGACACCGAGGGATGTATTTTGAATGTGAAAAAAGCCTTAAAATCCACCGAGCTAATTCTACTGCCTGCCAACTACTGAGTGAGTAAAGCTGATTATGAATACAGATGTACAGAATCCACCAGAGATAGTTGTTGCCTGTCGGTCTGTGTTCAGTGGACTCACCATTATCATGAGATGTTGAGTCTGACATGGAGCTTGTACTCTCTGACATGACAGTGTCCTCTGAAAGACAACAAACCACAGATGATGTAGCAGGAAGTCTTTGTTCAACATAAATGCAAGTTAACAGAAGACATTTTAATTGAGATTTGACTAAAAGAGATTTTTTTTAAACTTTTTTCTCAAAGCTGTGAGATTTAAGTCATAATTCTGACTTTCTTCTCAGAAATCACAAAAATAAAATCACTTTTGGTCAGTGATGGCCTTAATCCTCTTCTGTACGAGTTTGTTTTTCAAACATTTAAAATGTTAATGACAATACAGCTTTGTCTTTATTCACTTTTAAGAGATATGTATTTGTTTCTTTTTAGGGGAGGCACTGCAGGTACATGTAGAAACACTTAATAATAAATAAATACTACATGAAACTACCCCAGGTGATTTCCTGTATTAAGAAATGTGTTTTTCCAGAAACGTTTTCTGAAATGTTATGTTTAATAATTGCAAATGAGGCCTTCTTTAATGTAATGGGACAGCTGTGGCTCAGAAGGTATATGGATGTCCTCCAATAGGAAGGTTGATGGTTCAATACCCAACCCCCAGCCCCCTGCATGTCAATGTGTCCTTGGGAAAGACACTTCGACACATGTCGTGATGTCATGGCCGACAGTGTGCGATTGTGAGCTTCCCTTAGCAGGTCGCAACTTGTATATCAGCGTCTTCCTCCGTATGAATGTGTGTGAATGGGTGAATGCTGACTTGTATATTTAAAAACACATTGAGGGGCTACAAAGACCGGAAAATTAAACATATTAACTTCTGGTGAATTTAGGAGGAATCAGAGTGTTTCTTGACATTTTTCTTTATGACTACTCTGAAAGAAGAAGCCTTGATATTATAAGATCCGTGGAAGTATGTGTGTTGTTTCTGTACCTGTGTGACAGCCCCGATGAACCGTCCTCTTGCTGTTGGGGATGTTTCGGTCTGACTCCGAGTGTCTGTACAGAGCCCCGGTGAAGATGGCCTTCATCTGCTTTCTCTGGGCAGCCTCATCCTGCAGACAGCCGGCCGTGTTAGACCACGAGTACACACAGAGGTACAGCTGCTGCGTAAACACTATTGATATTCAAGGTGTTGACTTACCTCTGCCTTGGTGTTGGGCGGCAGGCCAGCTCTGCGCTGCACCACTGGGGGTTTCTCTCCCGTTTCCAGGGGGAAAGCATGTGAAATCTTTCCAGTCAGCTCCTGCAGAGGCACATTCATTAGCCCCAAGAAACTAAAATCCATCTTCTCACCGGCCAGGGAGCTCCAAAGTGTTACATAAAATGACACCACTTAACAGATTACTTTAAGTCTCAATAAAAAACCTCCTCTTAAATGGTTGACTGCACTGAAATAGAAGCCATAAATATTGTTTTTAACAGGATTCACCACTAAAGCAGTAACAGAATAATTGTGCAGATGAGAAGGGGTTTAAACTTCTAAAATAGCGACACTGAAAACAGAGAAGACTAGTTGTGAATCCTAAAATAGAGCATGTTCAGACACCATACATCCAGTGACTATACATCCAGCTGAAAATTAGGGATGTTTAAAACAGCTCTTCATGAAAAGCAGAGGCAGGTTATTCTAGATTAGGAGGGGTTGACAACAATCAGGCAAATCAAATATGCAACCAATTGGACAGGATTAAGAAAAACTGGTTGCCAGGAAGATTTTACAACAGCATATAAAAGTCAAGTAGAGGTATATAAAAAAACATTTCAAATATGTAACGAGAAGAAAACCGTAGATATTACATAAAGTAGTAAGTTAGAGAAAAATAACGAATATTTCAGTGTTTTTCTTGTAAATGTACCACTTTAATCTCCAGTATAGTTGTTGTTTTTTCGAGTAAAATTAGGCTTTGACTTTAATCTTAAAAACCCTGAGCTTTTTCTCAAAATATAATCCTTTTTTCTGTATCTACATTGGCCCAGATGCACTGTTGTGGGCATTTACATTTAGAGGTTCATAGTTATGTTAACAATCTGTAAAAACATTAGTAAAATCCAACATGAACCAATTGTAGTCTAAACACTTGATACGTATTTAAACACATAGATTTACCACTTCTCCAACCACTAATCTCCAGTATATAGTTGTCTTTTTCTAGTAAAATTAGGTTTGAGTTTAAAACCCAGAGCTTGTTCTCAAAATATAACTCTCTTTTTACCAACAATGGTCCTAAAAGGCTGCATGTTCCGTCTTCAAATGACAACATGAACAAATTGTAGATTACATAAACACTCGATACATATGAAGTAAGAATGTGTTGCCTGAGCCACATTATCTTTGTGAAGTGAGAGCTACTCACAGCTTCCTGCAGACAGACATGTTTGAGCTCTCCCTCTCTGGAGCTGAGCAGAGCCTCCAGGGCCTGCTTCCTCTCCTGCAGCGCCGCGACCCGCTCCGCCTGCAGCTTGCTGTCCTGGCAGCCTTGAACATCTACACAACACAACACATGTAGTGCATCTTCAGAGGGACTGAATTCAAGTTTAATCTGTTATTTAATTTACAACAAATCCCAGGGAAAAAGACCCAAGGGAACAATGAATTAAGCCTATAGTAGCAAGTATTATTTGTGTATCCAAATCCTGATATATCATATTCCTCTGTCCATTGTTGTCCGTGTTGTTCTTTTATAACCTTGTTCATGACAACTGCAATTTTCTTTGAGTGAGGATCCAACATACACCATTTGTGAGCCATTTACTTATGTAGGAAACAAATGGCTGAGGATTAAAAGGAACAGACAGGGCAGGGAAGTTGCTTTAACCCTTACCTAACTAACTAACGTTGTTGTTTGTTTCTTTTTAGGGGGTTTGTGGACCAATAGAAAAATAGAAAACGACAGACTTCTCATTTTAAAACAGAAGGCTAGACATCTTAGACTAAATCACCTGCATGCAGATGTGCAAGATTCAAACTGAGACATTTAACTAGATTAAATATTTAATGTTAAATAAAAATGCAGTGTTTCTGTCTTACAATGGCTGCTTCTTCTCACAGTTTGATGTCGCTCACAGTTCCTCAGTGCTGTGATAAGATAATCTGAGAGCTGGGTCATGAACAAAAGGCCTTCACACATGCAACTGTTTTTTCAGCTGGTGGTTTCCTGGAGAAACACACTTTTATTTTCCTTCTGTTAGACTGTGAGAAGAAAAAACAAACCAGCCATTCCAGGCTTGTCCAGACACGAAAGTGTGTGTTAACACTGTTAGCGCGTCAATAGTACTCACCAGGAGCCCCCAAACCCATGGATGTGATCAGATGACCTTTGACCTCCATGCGATGTAACTCTGGGGACTTTACAACTCTCGCTCCGAGTCACGCCCTCACCTAAGGGAAAAAGCAAAGAGACTTAGCTGCTGCTGAGATGGATCAGCAAAATACGTTCAGGTTTAGATGTTTTTCTTTCTCTGATCTTGCAGAATCAGCCATGTGTTTTCTCGAGGTCTAACGGTTGCATTTTTCAAGTCAGCAGTAGATAAGCTTTGGTGTCAGGTTCCATCAGGGGGAGCTACTGCAACTCTGTTCAGGTGTTTAAAGCCTTGAAAAGGTTAAACAAATATAAACACATTACTAATACAGCTTGAAAGAAAACAGTGGAACATTGATTTGAAAAATGGAGATAACTAGAAGGATACATTTTTAAATAAAGAATGATACATTATAGGAGACGTACAGCCTGAATTTTCCATTTGGTTATTATTTAGGCTAGTTCCATTCTTGTTTATTTTTGAAATCTTTCTTTATTCAGTAAGTGGACAGCTGATGTATTCAACTAAAATATTGTGTTTGTTTTCAATGAATATATTAAACTAAAACAGCATTTGTAAACTATTCTATAAGCGTTTTTGATACATTCTTGATACTAAATATATTGTTTTCTTTTAATATAGGGTTAGATGTGTGGTCTTACATAATACACTTAAGTAAGAGGCATCGTATTGATATCCATTTTATCTTGCATCTATTGGCATTGCATTCGATATTGACATTATCCAAAAGTAATCAGGTTACATTTCTTTTAAATTGTGATTCTTAGATTAGTTAACTGATTACATTTTTTCACATGTAACTATTGTGATGGAAAGCATAGACTCCCAACCCTGACTAAAAGCAAAATAAATCCCAGATTTTACATTACATAAAGTAATATTAATAATAAGCATTCAACTGGTTTTAATAGAAGATTTAGAAATGAGGACGGGGGGCGTGTGATGCAGTGGGTTGTGCGTTGGTGTTGGGATCAGGGGGTCACAGGTTCAAACCCCACTGCAGTCAGCATGTCGTTGTGTCCCTGAGACACTTCACCCCAAATTGCTCCTGTGGGGATTGCACACAGTATTGAGTATGTAAGTCGCTTTGGATAAAAGCGTCTAACATGTAAAATGATCAAAAGTTTGGATGATAACCTTAGTTGCCCCTTAGGGCTTTTTGAAAGTAAGTAATACTCTAAAATTAGCTTTCAGTTTCAATTAGCCACCAATTCATTTGCAAAGAGAAGGAAGCGAGACAGGATAAGAAACATTAATAATGTATGGGCAGAAACAGAGAGGGAGAAACCTAAACCCTGAGTGTTTTATGTTTTAATAGCTACTGGTACAAAAGAGAAAAAGAGAAAAAGAGAGGGACCCAGAGGATTACAGCCAGGAGCAAAGTGATGGAATAAATAAAAGAGGAAGCTAGGAGGAATAAATGCAATGTTCTGCAGAGTTTTCCTCTTTCCAGTCGCCATAAATATCAAGGTTTACAGGAAATTCACTTTACATGGGATTGCATTTAATATGTTTTATAGCTTTTTCCATATCAGATCATCTTGTATAGTGCTAAGAAAAATAAGCTGTTGCCTAACATTGACCCTATAAAAAAAACAACACAATGCTGCCTTCAATTAAATGTAGCAATTTAGCAATGAATCATGTGCACTTTTCCCCACATAACCGAGGTTCATTACAAACAAAACCTCTTCCCTAATTCCCAAGAGAGACTCGACATCCAAAAATAGAGATTGCGTTTTCTGCCAAAAAGCCTCTCACTCAACGCTGCTCACAAATCGCTGCCATACACAAGCATCTTGCCAGTCGGGTAAATCATAAAACGACTCCATTCAACCCCTTAGATTTCTAAAAGGAAGGCCTCGAGGGCTTAATCATGATTTACCCGTCCAAAGACTGCTTCTGCCAGCATCCCATCTTTCAAAAGGAAACATTTATCTATCAGCTCCTCTGAGCAGCTGCCTCAAAGCTCTGCACATAATCTACCAGATTCTTTTGCTTTTTGGGGGCATTTAAGGCCCCGGCCACACAAGGACGAAAACGGTCGTTTGCGTTACTGTTTAGTGTCATATAGACCGTTCGGCCACACGAGGACGACCGAATACGGCACTAAACGACTGCGGAAACGATAACGGGTCACAAGGTGGATAGAACGGCATGTACGCAACGCTCTGGGGGATCCAACGGCTCCGTGTGTACGCCCTATACGATCATTTTCTGATAATGATGAGGCAATAGCCCCGCCTCTCCCCACCTCTGCTGCTCACCCCCGCGTCAAAGTAAACTGCACACTGAATTCAGATTATTTATCTTTCTCTCGATATGGACCTAAACGCGAGTGAAGTCTAATCTGACAGGACGGAGACACCTCTCAAACTAAACTAGTTATAAATATGTTTATTTTTACTGTCGGCCGAGTCACTCATTACTGGATCAGCTGCTGCATGAGACAGACACTGGCGCTGTCCGAAGAGAGGGAGGAAAAAGAGAGGCTCCGTGTATTTTTATTATTATATTATATAGAGTCGTTATTAATTTGTTTTAAAGCTCAATAAATAACAAAGAAGACCTTTGACCGGCACTTTTGTAATTTTGTCCGGAAGATTTAAACTTTAATACACGTTGACTGGCGAAAAACTCTGCCCGGTTCCCTCGGCCGCCACCGCGGAGAATAAACAGAAGGGCAACCATGACAACCATGCTTCTTCGCTGCTTTTGTGGAGGAAGTTACAGCGCCACGTACAGGCTCCTGCATATGTACTGCAGCTTCTCCAGCGGTTGGAGCTAAACGGAGCTGTCTCGTGTGGACAATCGCTTTTTTGCGATTGCGTTTGCGTTAATCCTATGCGTTTAGCCGTTTTCGTCCTCGTGTGGCCGGGGCCTAAGACACAGTTCTCTGTTTTCCTCACTCAAACAACACAAGGCTCACATTGTCTGAAGACATACTTTAAATACTTGTAGCGAGTTTGTGTTGGCTCCTGTCCTGGATCTGAACCAGTAACTGCTGTTTACTCCTGTACGTGTGAAAGCCCAGCATGCTTGACCTCCCATTGACAGACAAGTGTGAGCCTTTCACACAAACCAGTGGCAGGGTTATACGACCGCTGCTCGGACAAAAACTCATCACATGAACCCAGTTAAACAAAGCTGAGCCAGGGATAATCAGGTTTTAGGATAATCTAATAAACTGAGAAGGACTTTTCACCTGGGAATGTACGAGGCAGTGTCATGTCTGTTCTCTGCTGAGCAGCGAGGCTGAGCGGTAAACCTCCTGAGAGAAGCATTTGGGAGAAGACAGATAGAGACATTTGGTATTCATCGCAATGGTCGCCTGGCAGCTGGAGCCAAAAGGCTGCCCTGCCTCGAAAGAATGGCTTTGTCCAGCAACATAAACATTTGCTTGGATGCTTGGTGTTGTCCTTTTCACTCACTAAAAAAACGCCTTTTATCACTTTCACTACTTAGGCTACAGTCCTTTGACTTCAGTGTCCTTGGTTAAACGTTGTTTTAACATTGCTGCTCCAACTGGCATAGCTATTTGAAGAAAGAAATAACACATTCTTCATCTTACGAATAACAATTTAATTAATTAGCAACCAGACTTCATTAGCAATAAACCCCACTGGCTACAGTAAGAGCTAGTGTAGTAAATAGAGTAATTAAATAAGTAAACCAACTTAAACGTCAGTTACACAGCAGTATTATTTTTGCTAACATTAGCCATCACTATCTAATGAGGTTACTTGCTAACGTTTGAACATTAGTCACCATTGGCTCCTGTAGTACTGCTAGTAGCTAGTGGTGGCTAATGTTAGCAGACGTTAGCAAGTGTGTAACTGACATTACTAAGTAGGTTCACTGACTTACTTCTCTATCGGACAACACACACAGTTGTGGCATCTAGACAAAATGCACAAATGTCTTATTCCACAGCGTAATCCCACATCAACTTTCAAGAACAGCAGCCATATTAATGACATTCAACAAATATGTCTAATGTACCATCTCAATTTTTCATCAATTGAGGTACTAATGTGAAACGCCACAAAAAAAGACCTTTGGAAGAGTTTTATGATATCAACATGACTGTTTCTCTTGTTCAAATGTAGAAACCCCCACCAACAGCCTAACTGATGTTATTCCCCTTGTCACTAACTCCAATTTGCCAGCAAGACAGTTAGTTTGACTTTTTGATTTCTCTACAGTGGCTCCATCGGTTTTACCTCCCCAAGCCTTAATCAACCTCTTAAAATGTTATCAAGAACATGGGACCCCAAGAATAAAAGGGATGACCCCATTTTGATAATTGGAACAGAAAAGTGCCAACTATAGAATGAGGATTGTCAAAAGGGAAATGCATCGGAAAAATGTAAAATGGCACTATAATATGAACCAACTTTTTTTTACAAGATCCCTGCAAAGAGCAAAAACACAACAGTAGTGAGGGCTGAGCAGCTACTCATATAGGGCCTCTGGAGTTACCACAAACTCAAGTATTGCTTTAAGTAAAGGACGAATCAATCAGGTGCAACAGGTCGGGCCTCCAACCACGACTGAGTCTAACAAATGACACACCTGAGAGGATCAGTGGTCTCTCTGGCTGAAGTCAAGCGTTAAACAGCTTGAACATCTGGTGTACAGATGTGCGCAGAGGTACAGGTACAACAACATGAGACAGCATCACATTCCTGAGAGAAGCCTGCGGGAGAGATGGCGGGACAAAGAAGAACGAGATAAACACAGAGTTGCAGAGAGCGGCATCAAAGGAGGGGATCAGGAGATATGAGTACGAGAGAAGAAATGAACGTGATCATCAAACACATGTTGACTTAACATATGGGGGGTGGGCAATGGATGGGGGTGTAGATAGCACTGTGGGAACCGTGTTGATTAAAACATGAGCTGTGTGATGAGAGGGAGCTGCCCCTGTGCAGCGTGCATCACACGAATGCAAATCAGCCGCGAGTTTAATATTCAAGTCCGGCGGGCAGAACACTGAAGCCTGGAAGGTAGGTCCAATCCTGCCGTGTCCACACGACGAACTGCGGTGCCTTCACTTCACACATATTAGATCACAACATTCACAGTCAAGCTAAATTCCTACAGGCAACAGTTTTATATCCAGTTTTCTCATCCCCTTGATAAACACGATGCCTCGCAGCTCTTAAAGAGATTCACTCTCTTTGCTGTCAGCTTTTATTTGGCCCAGGAGTCCCGGGAACAGGCTGCTGTTGTCAACAGCGTTTATGTAACAGATGTATTCACGACTTACAGTACAGCTTGTCTTAAAGTGCAACTTCTGCAACAATCTGCGTATCTGTTGCAGGTGGTAGGGGATGCACAATGGGATTGTTAGTCTTTTTCAACAGGCTGTGTGGAGCAGCTGAAACATCACCTCTACCCTCTGCAGACAGGTGAGGCCGGCAGCCCTGTGTTGACTGTTGGTGTTGACACAGCTGCTACTGTTATGAATTTACACATGGTAACCAGAGCAGGGTTTAAGACTGCTTTGTGAGGAGGCACAACCAGGCCAATAGTGTTATGTTAAGTATTGCTAGGTTCCCTCTGATAAGGGTTTCAATGGCATGCCGGACAACAATTCACAAAAAAAGTCTGGAAAACAATAGTTTAATAGTTAGTTGTGAACACCTAGATATTGCTATTAATAGACAGTAATCCTAAAGTCAAAGTTGTGACTTGTACTTTGCGTGATTTGTTTAAAAAAATATTACGTGAAATAACACTTTTCAGAGACAGTTTCTGAGAAATAAAAAAGGCAGCGATGCACCAGGTTTATTCATGTAAAAGTCCAAATACTTTTTGGGTGAAAAGAGTTTATTTGCATTTGTGTTTTTACATTACTGCCGTCAGTTGATGTACCTCTTTCAAATATTCACTCTTCATGATCGTATACTTAAAGAGGCCCCATACGGCTATTTTGAGTTTTCACTCCTATAGTGTTTAATTGAGGTTTTTGAGCATGTAAATGGTCTGCCAAGGCTAAAATCCCAAAGTTCCCTCCAGATGGAGTTTCTCTCCCACACACTCCTCCCAGTTGAACTCCTTTGTTTGCTTCTGTTACATAGTGACTTTACTATGTAACACTCGCACTTCTATTGACTCCAACACATTGTACGGGACATCTCTAAGCGGTTGAAACTTGAAAATGAGTATTATAATATGTCCTCTTTAATTAAGCTTAAAGGTGGGGCATGGAAGTTTGAGAAACCGGCTCGAGATACGCTTTTTGTTATATTCCATGGAATGCTCTTAACATCCCGATAGCAATGGATATCTGAAGTGCTTTGACAAAAAATCCATAAAAAACATGTCATCTGTGGAAGCCGTGGCGCTGTAAAAAGCACGACCAATCATTTGAGCCGGCCCGGCTAAAATAACTGGATGGCCTACCTGCCTGTCAGCTTTCCATCTGTGCACAAACTTATCTCGTGCCCTCATTGGTCATGTGTGCGTTCGTGTGTGTTGGAGGAGGGGCTCTGTGAGGAAGTGGCAGATTTTTTCCGGCTGTGTATTTTCAAATTCTAGAGCACTCGAGCTGGTTTCTCCAAAATTACCTATTCCATCTTTAATGTATTGGTTGCTGCACTGTATTAATGAACGCACACAGTACTTGAGTAGATCCTTAAGACAGCATCACTATGTCCTGAATTCAAAATCCATTTGGAATTGGACATTGTTTTTAAATCAAATAGTGACCTCAAGTCTCAAAATAAAATTGAATCAAGATATATTAAAGAATTCACCCTCCTATTTCCAAGGAATCAAAACAAGGCTTATAGTGATGCAGACTGTGTAGCTTTTAAATATCAAACATTGCTTCAAATGCCTTCAAATGGCAGCCATTCAACAATTCTGAACCTCCCTCTGTTCATTTGTGAGAGAGCAGTAATGTGACCTTTATCTGAACGCCTCTCCGCGCCATTCAAAGTCCAAGGATGTTATAAATGGCCATTGGTCACTTGTAATGATGATGGGGAACTGAAATGTCGACATCTAAATGTTTTAACCTGGTGGGGGAAAAAAGGCAGATTCATGTTTCTGTATGATTAAGAGATCATTCGGGTTCAGACGTACAGCAGATTGCGTGCAGAGGATTTACTGAACTACCTCCACCTGAGCAACCCCAACCAAATATCTATGAAGGGCTTATGGAAGGTCAGGTCACCCCGCCCCCCTCTGGTGCTCTCTATATCCATGAAATACTGATTTATAACACGCTTATCGGCACACAACAGGACAGCTTAGCCCTGGACTGACCAATCGCGTGGCTCACCGTTTCTCCTCACCGGCCTTGACGCTCACCTTTGCCCGTTTGACACAGCTACCTATACAGCCGGTAGAAACAAAGCAATCCCGGTGATTCCCATCTACCTGGATCCTGAAAAGCTGAAGAGGGGGGGCGGGGGGGAGTAATAAAGAAAGGAATGCGGCTCTAACGTCCGAGGGGATTATTCCTATGCATTTTCCCTTTGCTCTGTAACACCTGGGGGGATTTCCGTATGTATTCCTAAATTGTTTTTATGTTTCCTCTGAAGCTGTAATCCGCCCCGTTTGGTTTTGGACGGAGTTCAGAGCTGCTTATGATGTACAGCCACAGCCGTGCGCTTACATTGAACACTAGACATGCATAACAGCTTGATCTGATTCTTTTGTGCCCTTTATGACTCGAGAAATGTGGGTGAATTCTCTCGCTTATTCCTGCTCTGGTATATTTTCAGCTCTTGATAAGGTCTGGGATTTGATTCCCTGAGCTCACACACCAAGACGTGTTTTCACTTTAAATCCGAGCAAATGCACGGGTAAGAGTTTTTTTTCTAAAAGGTTCTAGATCCAGATCAGAGGGGTGAGTGTGTGACTTAACAGACCCCCACTTAAACCTGCATGCTTGTCAGTCAACTGCTAGTGAACCAGATGCTCACATCGTGTCAGTCCATGTCTTTAGGGCTTCATCAACATTGCAGTGTCACCTTGGTGTGATGGCAAAATAATTGTGTTTGCACCAAACTGGGTCAATTCCATGGTGTTTGATTGAATTATAGCAACAGGAAAACCACGGGGAGTGCTTTGAAAGGAGAGTAGAGTGCCATGCTACCAATTTGCAGATAACAGCAAACAGCGTGGGGAGAACACAAACACCAACATGTGTCAAGAAACACTGAGCATGAATGGTCCTCCAGCTTCCCCTGCAATAAAACACCCAAACCTCTTTGTTAATTGCCCTGATGGTCCAAGAACCCTAAAATAGGAACGATCAGCACTTTGAATATTACTTGGCATCAAAATGGAATATCCTCATCAGAAAAAGCAGAGAGGTGTTTCCCACTTCTTACACCGAGAGGCAGACTAGCTGAGAATCAGCCTGAAGGCACTGACTGACCCACACAACACATACTGATGAGTTTTGTTTTTTTCCACATCCAGACAGACATGCTTGTTCAGGAATCCGTTATAATAACAGGGCTGCTGCATGGGTATTCATAAACGAAATCAATAAGGCCCATTAGGCAGCAGCACATAGCCTATTTTGCCCCATAATAACAATGCAGTAAACAGGAAGAAGTTGTGTATTCCCAAGAAGCATGACACATATTTAAAGCTGCTCATTTGAATACAGATGCTGTTGCATTTCCTGCCTGTTTAATGACACTGACAGAACATATACCGTTTTTAAGGCGCTGGAATAATAAACCTACAGCACAGATATATTGGATTTCATTCAACACAGTCCCTTTTTAATTTACAGGCGTGTTGTTTCATTTAAAGCATGTGCACCCCACATTAAGCCCGGCTTCTGAGGCTGCAGACATCTGCATAGTGGCTGCACACGGCAGAAGCACCGGCTGCTAATCAAACACTAATTAATGGGGAAATAACATATCGCAGGTGTGTCGATGACACTAATGACACGATGACAAACACGTTTTTTTACGTTAAGGTAAATGCCACATGATACATGTTATGGAAAATAGCGTCTCGTATGTAGGCTACGCTGTTTTTTTAAATAGAGAATATACTGATTATTCATTAATACGCCCCGTAAGGATGAGAAGGACATCTTACCAGAGAGCATGACCGATACCTTCGGAGGTCTCCATGGTCCTCTGTAGCAAAACCAAGCCGAGAAAAAATCATTCCTGCATCAAACCACAGGGTAGAAATCCTCCCCCAGGAGAGATTGATGTCTTCATTAATTAAACGTGCAGGAATACAGGGGAAAAAAGCCCTTCGTTCATGGTGGCTTCGTATCCCAATTGTAATTCAACAGCAGACCTGCTCTGGAGAAGAAAGGCTTCCCTGCTGCACCGGATGAAAACCCTCCGTGTTACACCGCCGATGGACGCTGTCTCACGGACGCCCCTCCCCGATGCTCCTGCCTCAGAGTGCGCCACTTAATCCCGTCAGACTGTTGTGATCCAGTTGTTGCATAGTGGAGCAATGACGCTAAATAATAAATAAATAAAAAACATGGTGGGTGAATTGACATGTGTAGTGCTCGAGTGGTCCCTCTCCACAAGTATTTTAAAAACAAAAATGTATGTACATATTTTATTTGTTATAGTTTGTATCTTTTTTTAAATCGTATTGTAAAATACATTTACATTTTCGTGTCCTTATTATCCAGTTAAAAATATATACGCATTTAAATTATTTATTTGTCCCTATTATTTCATTTGGTATGTTTTAAGTCTTGTATGCATACAAATACATTGTTTTTTATTATATTAAAACACATTTTCCATACACAATAACGCTGAACAGTGGTAAAAGAAAAACGTTATTCCTCCAATTATTCTGTGAAGATTTTCTAAAACAGTTTTACACTTTTTATATAATTCTTCTCTCGTTTATTGAATTTTTTTTTATATATGTAAAACTTGTTGTTTATGCTGTATCTTATTTTTTTGTCATAAAGAACATTTGGCTACTGAATATTAAAAAAAAAAAAAAAGAACATTAGGCTGATTTGAGGTTTATCCAATTATTTTGAAAAGAAATACTAAAATAGTTTTCAGTATAGGACTTTCTTATCCAGTAAACAAAAATATGCATAAGTAACCACCCTTTATTTGTTTTCACCTTATTTAATTTGATATGTTCAAAGAAAAAATGTATATATATATTACAGTAAATTAATTAAGTAATAGTTTAGTCAAGCTGAAGCCTGTAAGAAAAATACATTTCTGGATTAAAATAGGCATTGTATACATCTTGCTGATCATCTCAAGTTTAATTATACTGTTCTGGCAATATGGGTTTTTGATTTGTCTTGCCAATAAAGGTTATTCGAATAACATATATTATAATAACAGCGTTTCGTGGTTCAAGCTACAGAGGATTCAAACAAACCATTTTAAGGTAGCCTTTCCATTTGTTTAAAAGAACAATGGTGCATAGTAATCGTAATGCTACATAACACACTGCAGGCCGTTTGAGATGCTTCACTTCAGACACACATCGATGGATGTGATACAAAACATAGCTGAGGCATTAGCTGTTGTTTCCACACAACGCTTAATAATAAAGTGAATACCTCAAGCACTCAGACAGTCAGTGAAACACTATCCGGATCAGTTTACTGTCACGTAATAAACCCTGACAAATATAATAAAATAACCAGATATGCACAGAAGCAGCAGCTAAAATAGCTATTTTTGAGACGTGTTTCAGATGTAGGATATCCATTGGTATTGTATAAAAAGCTTTTCAATTGATAAAAAAAAGGGTTTATTTGCACACAGAAGACACAGAAAAGACAAATGTGTTTGAATTCTCTGAACAGGTTTTAATTCAAAGCGAAACAATAACAATAGCTTTTCAAAGGAATAGCAACTGATGTTAAACATTACCAAATCGACACAGTTACTTGAGGAAACCGAGATACCAAAAATAAATCTGATATATGTTAAGAATGCATAAACTTTCACCTTGAGAACGTCATCGTGTCACTCCATAAACGTCCCAATGGAGAGGAGGAATGGGAGCAACATTGAATTACTGTACAATTTAAACAAAGAGAAAATATTTCAAAGACATAAATAGACATGATGCAAGGACACGTTATTAAACACGCCATCTACCGTCCTAATAAATACATAAAGTCGTCATCTGTTCCAGGAGTTTGGGCTACAACACAAGTCTCAGTGTGGGAAAGAAAAAAGTACATACCAAAGGGATTGTACATAAACAAACAATGGCTTATTGAGTGCTAACGTTTGGCTGCAGCCCAAAATGATGTTGCATGTAGAAAAGATCGGTAAGAAAAAAATTACCTGGGGGACAAATATTTAGTAGGCAGTGTTATAGAAGAATACATTATTTTTTCACTCGTTAGTTTGAAACGGTTCATCTGCTTTTAATTTGACACCAGAATAGCTTCACTGCACCGCGTTTAAAAAGTAGTTGTTTTTAAATAGAAGATCTAACTCGCCGTCATTTGGACACTTTTCCGTCCTGCAGTAATTGTCAGCTATAATTGATGTCTGGACCCCAGGACCATTACATGGCTGTTTTTAATCTTTCCTTTTTCATTATCTCGACTTCAGTCTCCCACGTGTGTCCTTGCATCACCACCTCAGATCTCTTATTAGTAGTGGTTCCTCTTTGTCTCTCTAACATGAAGCTGCAAGTGTTGTAGGTTGTTATAATCTGGTTCTTTAAAACAAAGTGGAATGATTTGGGGTGAAGTAGGGACTTCACAAAATGTGTTCTCTATTTGTATTATTTTTGGTAAATTCACTGTTCACCTTTGGCTATGTTTTGTTGTTTTTCAATTATATTGAAAACAAATTAGGTGAAAGAGTGAATCCATATGTGATCTGTCAATAAAAACACATTTGAGTAGAAAAACGCAATATTTTCATCATCTTTTTCCCATTATTTTAGGCGTATCTGGTAAAGGAGATCATTTAACAGGTTCACATCAAGTTAGAGTCAATACTGCAGGAACAAGTTAAAATGTGTTTTGAAGTTGATTTCTGATTACATTAAAAACAGATAGGTACAAAAAAAGTGAATACATGAACGGATCTGTCAATCAAACGTATATTCCTACCATCGTCTTTTGAGGCATATGCGTGTAAAACTATTTCTGTTGTGGCTAACCCCCCGTTAGCCTCAAGTTAGTGCCAGAAGTGAAGGAAAAACAGTATCTTAACTTTTGATGACTTCATAACATTTATTTAAAAATAAAAGTCAAATCAAGAAAATAACTGGAACTGATGTATTGGCCCAGATATAATAAAAACCAGAGCATAACTTGTTTTGTCCAGAAGGCTGCCGGGTAAATCCATTAGATCTGGTAGACGTGACCAATGTTGTCGACACGGTTGTCAGTACTGCTGGTGAAGAGATAAAAGAGGGGGCATTTCTAAGGATTCCATCTTTATTTTTGGGCTGAGAGGGACAATATTTAGGACTTAAATAACTAATCAAAAGTGTATTAATGGAGATGGAGTAGGGTTATTGGTTCCTCAAGGAAGGGTGTGAATCAACTCACAGCAGACTAACCACAGGGCAAGCTAATGGATTTCAGCTCGACCCGTTCAAATCCTAACAAAACGGAAGACGTGAGGAAAAAAGTGCCTGGATTACAATGTTGTGGAATACCTTTGGTGATTCTTAAAAAACAAAATCAACTAATCGTGTTAAAGTCCGGAGGTAAATCTGTAAAAATACCATATATATTATCAACGCCGGTAAACAAAAAACCACAAAGTTGCACCAGAGACCTGTCAAAGACCCTCTGCTCCAGTTAAAGTCCTTGCAGCGCTCTGCAGTTTGAACAGATGCTCACCTTCTTCTTCACCAAGAAATCACAGGTTGACGCTCGCTCCAGTATGATAGGGCCTGTCCTTAATAGAGGGTCTTTGGGGGGGAGTCCCTGGCACACCACGTACTCCTCCAGGCCCAGCAGCAGGTTGACCACCTCGGTCGCAGAGGTGAGATGCGCGGGGTATTTGTCGTACAGCGGGTGAGTTGGGAGCAGCGGCTGCTTCTGGACCGTGACCTGATAGCAGAAGCCCGGGTCGATGAGCACGATGGCGTCCGTCAGGTTGGACTGTTTGGAGCACTGGATGATCTGCAGCTGAGGGCCGTTCACCAAGATGGCGTACCACAGGATTGGCATGACGGTGGAGCGCAGAGCCTGGAGCAGCTTCATCAGCTGGTTCTCACTGTCCACACCGCTGCTCACCTGGCTGTCGGCCATACTGAAGATCTGTGTGATCTGCAGAGAGCAACACAGAAGACTTAAGTACACATTGGCAGCAATATATTATAAAGTGCTGAAGGGCCAAGACAGCGTTTCTGTTAAAAATATGGGTGACAGTCCAGGAAGATTTCAATGGACCAGACAAATGGGAGAAATTCTGTTGAAATATTGTCTGTGTTTATTATTGAGCTTGAAAATGTTGGTAGGAAGGCTGTATACAGAATGACATAATTACCAACGTTAGATTGATATTTTATTGAAAGTAGGATATTCCAAAGAAACAAGTGCCGTCAACAGACTCCTTTGTAAGTAACGTAAATATAACATAAGCTTAAGCTGTAACATAAAGAATATCACTCAGGTTTTAAGCATACTTAATCTCATATAAAATAAAATAAACTGGGAACATCCCATCGGCTTTTAGTCTATGGAAGCAGGACCGAGTTAACCTCCTGGGTTGGTGTCCAAAAGTCCGTTAGCCCTGCAGCACTGAATCCAGAGAGCTAATGGGATAAGTCACTTACTATGGGCAACTCATCTTCTTCCTCTTCTTCCTCTTCCTCGTAGTAATCATCGTCCTCATCGTCATCTTCTTCACCACATTTTGGACCATGTCTGTCAGCGTGTAATTTCTCTGCATCCAACCTGCTCAGCTGGTCCTGGATTAAAGAGGGGAAGTCATGAGCTCCACTGTGAAATATAACTGGAGGGAACTCAAACAATAATTCAGACAAAGTCAAATCATATCGGATCGATGTAGAAGTCAGATCGAATTTCAGCCGCATCAAATCTGATTTAAAGAAGACACATTATATCAAAAATGTTCAGGTTCATATTCGTATTTTGTTTCCATGCTGTAATGTTCAAAAAGCTCTTTATTTTTCTCATACTGCCTCTGTCTGAAACCGGAGACCAGTCTGCTCTGATTGGTTAGCTGGCTGGCTCTGTTGTGATTGGTCAGCCGCTTAGAAATGTCCCGCCCCTTAGCCAATCACGAACAATGTGTTGGAGCGATACCCAATAACGGACAAACTGCTACTCTGACAAAGTGAAATTAGGGAATAAGTAGGATTCTGAAAAGTTGTGAACAGCTGAACTTTGCCATCCTGTTATACAAATAACTTGGAATAAAATAGTTTTCGGTTACAACCTTGTCTACTCTAACTAAAAAACGTTAGTACGAGAGAGAACGAGCTTGGCATCCTTCATACGGAGATCAAATTAACTTTTTGGGATGGCCTGGTGCGAAGTGGTTAAGCTGTAGTGTGTACTATGTCATTACAAAACCCCCAGATTGATTCTGTCTGCCTTTGTTGCATGTCTCTCTTCCACTCCTTATTATTTCCTGTCTGTGTCTACGCTGCCAGACTTTGCAACAAAGTCACATATAAGCCCCAGGATTAACATATGTTCAGCTTGCATTGCAGAGTGGGAAGGACCACTCTAAATTATGACTAAATAAAGGAAGTCTGATGCAAAAACGAGATGTACAGACTGTACATGGCTCACTGAGAACTACACTTGCACACACTAGTCTGTGTAGGCGTGTGTTACATGTTGTGATCAGCGATGTTGCCTCTCGTTTCTGTTATGTGATTGTGATGCACTATATGTGACATGTACTGTATGTAGTAACGTGTATTGTTCTCTCAGTTATTATGCTCCAAATATCTGGAACAAACTCCCAGAAACCTGCAGGTCCGCTGCAACTCTGACTACTTTTAAATCCAGGCTGAAGACTTTTCTTTTTGTCGCTGCTTTTAATTGAACTATTCACATCTTAAACTGCACTGTAACTTTTATCCATGTATTTGTTCTTTTAATGTTTATTTTATTACCTTTTCTTTTGAATGACTGATTTTAAATGCCATTTTCTTAATCTCTTTCGTTTTTTGTAAAGCACTTTGAATTGCCTTGTGTTGAAAGGTGCTATATAAATAAACTTGCCTTGCCTTGTATCTACTTGTCTTTCATCCTATAACTAATGCTGTTGATATATTGTGATTTTAAAAAGGTGTCTATTACCATCTGGTCGGGGACAACAGATGGAAATTAGCCATGTTGGCTAAAGCTAATGCCCCATTTACTGTTTTGTGTGACAGTTGATCAATGGGGACTGTCCACGACAATATAAACAAATAAACTAAACTAATTACCATGGACTGGTAATAAACCTTGCCAAACAGACAGAGCTTGAGCCAGGCCTGGATTTATCACACCACTGAGCCATATGACCAAAAACAGCACGACAACGGGAACAAATATATAAGGACAAAACCAAGAAGCCACAAGCATTTGTAAAGAAAGGGATAAACATGAGTCCATGACTGTGGAAGAATTGTTTTCTTCATCATCAGCCAGGAAAACCAACTATCTACCAAAGACATGTGGGACAGCTCAAGAAAAAAGGCTCCTGAAACTAAAACACAGACACTCTAGTAGGGCTGAACGATTAATCGATTTGAAATGTAAATTTGAAATGATGCAATTATCAAATCGCAAAGCCTGCAATTCTTTTTGTTTCTTGTGTGTCAGTCATCCACACCAATCAGAAGTGCTGCGCTCCACATGTACCAGCCATTGTTAACCAATTAGAAGTGGCCCATGATAGAAGGTGATAGACAGATTGATCCAATCACCTGCCAAGTATATTTGAAATACTTTTCCAAAAGGCTTCCAATGGAGCTTTAGATGCTTTGGTGAAACAAACCATCTGAGTCAGGTTAGTAATGCTCCATCACGTGTTTCTATGACAGGGTGAATCTTAAACTGAAGCTTGACTTTAAAGCAACCCAACGGAAGTTTCCTGTAAGTTTAGTTCTTTCAGAGACGGGAGCACGTTGATGCGACCTTCCTAGCCGGAGATATGGCCGCATTTTACAATAAACTTCCGTTGGGTCGCTTAACAACAAATATCGCAAATCGAATCGCAATATCTGCCAGAAAAATCACAATTTGATTATTTCCCCAAATCGTGCAGCCCTACTCTAGTACCATTTACACAATTCAACATTACATGTCACTTGTTAGACGCTTTTATCCAAAGCGACTTACATACTCAATACTGTGAGCAATCCCCACAGGAGCAATCTGGGGTGAAGTGTCTTGCCCAGGGACACAACGACATGCTGACTGCAGTGGGGTTTGAACCTGTGACCTCCTGATCCGAATACCAACTCACAACCCAACTCACAACCCACTGCACCACACGCCTCCCTATGTTTGGCCTGATGGAGAGGAGGAAATGCATTGTCACTAAAACAACATACCAGTTCAGAGTTGTTGTTGTCGCTGCTGGTGTGAGGAACTCTGTCAGGGAGTCCGTTCAGCTCGAAGTCCAAATGATTTGACTGCAGGAAGAGCAAAATGAAGTTTGCATTATGTTTCGGTAAGATAAGCCTGAGGTAACAAAAACACGTAAATATATAGTCTATTTTCAAACCTGCATAGATGATTGGTGGTTTCTCACATTCAGTTCATAGGAGAGACTGTCAGCACTGGTCATCTCAGGGTTCCAGTTCATCTACAGCAGTGAAACATGAGTAAGAGGAAAACAACCTTTCTTCCTTAAAGGATCATTCAGATGTTTTAATAAGGGGTTGTGTAAGGTACTACTTATCCATAGTGAGTGTATATGGTGGGTGGTCTGTACACCCCCAGTTTGGAGAAACATAACGGCAAACAAGCAAAGCACTGCTGTGGCCGGGGGTATATACACACCCCTTTTCCACGCAAATGAGCTCCGTTCTAGTTCGGTACTTTGGGTGTCAGTTAATTCAAATTGCTAATCACTTAAAAAATAGTTTGCTTTTCCACCGACCAGAGCCCGAGAGGAGCCACGTCATGATGTCTCAGTGCTGCTTTTCTCTGATCTGCCGGCGTGAACATCACAACAACAACAATGGCCGAATAGGCTTGATCTGTTCTCATGTTGTCTTATTTTTACAAAGCCAGATTTAATTCGGCACCAACTCGGGGGAAAAGGGTTATCAGTCAACTAAAATAAAAACCCAGATGAAAAAGTTGATACCAGGTTCAGTTTAAGCTTTATGAAGAATATTTTCGCAGCTTTACCTCACCAGCAGATAGTCCGGTGCCTTGCTTAAGGGCACCACGGCAGGGCCCAGGAGGTGAACTGGCACCTCTCCAAGTAGCAGTCCACACTCCATATTTAGGGTCTGTTCGGGGACTTGAACCGACGGCTCCCAGTCCAAGCCCCTACTGACTGAGCCACTGCCGGATGACATGACTCCATAGTAATGTTTCTGAATAATACATTAACTCTTTCAATACTGGATGTATTGATAAGATTCTGGGCTCCTATTCTCAAGCTTCACATGCCTCCATTATATCTCATGATTGTATTTGTATATTTGTATCAATACTTAATAAATGAAATTAGTCATTTTACAGCTCAGAACGTGGAACTTACTGGTCGACCGCTGCCTCACTCGGTTTGAGTTTGTGCTACTTTGTTGTTTTAGTCTTAGTTCAGATTCACCAAAGTCACACAACAACACCAACGTTTTTCTACTGCCCCGTCCACAACAGCATAAAGCTTAGCCTCAGTGCCAGTATATTGTCTGTTCATCCAAACTGGGAGTATCTTCCATATCTTATTCAATATGGACGGGGACACAATAAAACATTGTATAAAAGGCATTGGGGACTCACTGCTTGCAAGTTACTGTCTTCGTCTTCGTTGTCAGTGAAGTCTAAGCCCGATGGTCCTTTGCCTTTCTTTAGACCTGACTTTCTGCTGTATGTGTTGTAAGTTCGAGGTCTGCCCGGCAACCATAAGTTTTCTGACCCGGGGTCTTTTTGTCCCCTCTGGTACGGCAGCAAGTGTCTCTGCCAAATTATAGACAGAGACATTAAATTGACATTATAACTGGATGAACACGTTTATTTAAAATTTGATAGGGTTTTACCATCGCCTGTCTCTGACACTGGCGTAGTCGACACTTCTGCCTCTTCTTGTTGCTGCCTCCGAACTTTGGTTTGTCGGCACAGAAATCACACGTGCCGCAGTCTATCCTGCACTGACAGGCTTTACAATCTCCACAGGACCGCCGCTTCCGCTTCTTATGCCACTGAGGGCAAGTCAAGTATATAATATGGGAGAAAGAGACATATTCAATGTAGTTATTTCAACACTGTCAGTGGCACATTTTCAGTTGATTGAATAATCCATCGTAACATAATCAGGGTATATGTAGGAATCCAGAAGTCAAATGTAAGACCTTTTAAGACCTTTTTTAAGACCCTTTCCGTACATTTTAAGACCTCATCGCCACTTTGAGTTTTAACCGGTTACCTTGGCGACACACTTTACCTCACATTGACTATATACAGTATTGATTGTCCTTCCTCCTTATCTTCCAACCATTTGGACGCAGACTTGCATTTCCCCATAACGACGTTGTTTAACAACCGGCGTAAACGGGCCTTCGTGCGCTATCAAGCAGTGAGCGTGCGATGTCCTGTTCAGATGACGTCCAATCAGAATCAGAATACCTTTATTAGTCCCACAGAGGGGAAATTTGCATCGTTACAGCAGGAAAGAGCCACAGACAACTTAATGCTACCTATGTTAAGAAAAAAGCACTAAGTTATGATATAATAAAAATCCAACGGGATGCCAGAAATAAACTACACAGAATCATACTACCCACCTACGCAATGATTACATTCAGGCACACTGTGGAATACAACCTCTTTGGGCAATTTATATACTTATTGAAAACAAGCTACAAAATGTAATACTTTGGAAAATGCCGTTTAATTCGTTTTAATAGCCTTCATTTTCGCTAAATTGATTTATCAACTTTTAATACTTTGTAAGACCCCGCGGACACCCTGATACATCGAGACTGTAAATGTTTCCTTACACTTTTTTTTGGAGTGGAAAAAACTGAAATTGGTGGAGGGAAATAATCCATCAATAACCGGAATACTTTTTATATCCTGGGGGGAAATGTAACGTTTACCAAAACGCTTTTATGTTTGGCTAAGGTGGAAAAGTTGTCTTATTGATAATGATCAAATTGGCCAGGTGCAACAGGTTAATCAATTAATCGTGACAGAAATGACTCAAATGTCCGCTCCAAAATAAATCAGATGACAAATAAATACATGAAACAAAAGTATTGCCAAATGTACATTAAATGGTTTTCTATTATTTGAGGCACTTATTTGCGTCACGGTAGTGGATGGAAAACATTTTGCAAGTTTGGTTAAAATGTTCCTTACATACGTATGACTTCGCCCAACAAATAAAACCAGCAAAATACCAGAACTAAACATGTATTTATGCCAAACCAAAAGACACTGACGGCGTTCGTTGCCAATGTTACCATACATGCCAGCATTAAAAGCCATCAGGTCCTATAATGGTAAAAAGGCTATATTATCGTAAATATACCTCAGTGAACACGTCTACACTTACGCACCCGTTGATCCTTCTCTTCACTCTCTCTTCGCTTTCCCTGTCCTCTCTTCTTGCCTGCCTGGACAACATCAATGCATCCTTTTTTACTTTAGATGCATTTTCTTTATCTGAAAGCAATGCCTTCGTTTCAGCTGGCACACCTTACTCACGGGGGGCGGGCACAGAGCATAAGGCACGGTGTGTGTTTGGGGAACACTGCCAATCATCAAGTTTTTACAGTAGCAGTGTTCAGAGTGTCCACGCCGTGCTGCTCGCCTCCTTTTTGCTCCGGCCCGCGGTCTCTCACTCACAGCCACATTGTGACTGCCTGCTCCAAACACCATAAAAACACTGTTTGTGTAATCAACTTGTTTTCAAAAAAATGTTGAATCGTATATGTGGAAATAGAAAATGAGCAATATTGTAGAAAAACACAATTAGTTCAGAATGCCCGATTCACAGTTTTCTTTTATCCATACCTATGCCGTCCTGTAAATGACTCAAATCTACTTTCATACTATTCAACACTGCAATCTTCATCTATCAAACCCTGTCAAACAACAAAGAAAATGCTGTGAATTCAGAAATTGGTTATTTTCCCGACTGAAACTGTCTAATAATAAGCCACATTCTAAATTCGGCCAAACAGAGCATTCAAGGAGACTTGAGATGCTTCATAAATGCTGTGATAGTTGCTTTCCTAACTCCTGGAGAGCAGGGTAACTGACATGAACGAAGAAGACCACGGATATGTTTTCCCTGTGAAGGAAAAACAACTGCACACCTTTACCAGCCACTATTCAGGCCTATAAGAGGCGAGTGTCACAAAAAGGGTCCAAATCACACGTCTTCCTGTCTTTATATATAAACTCACATCATCATCATCGTCAGTTGACATGTCATCGTCATCATCGATGTCCACGTTGATGGAGAAGTTCTCTGTGTCGCTGCTCTTCAGACTCAGGTGCTGTGAATGAAACGTTACCAGTGAGAGTGTGGCAAAGGAAGGTAATGATATGTATTATAAGAAAGAAAGACATGTGTCCTGCTTTACCTGCGAGTCCGTGACTTCACTCTGGGAAAATAAAAAAGGTTTTTGTTAGAAATGTAATTTAAATTCAGGGTAGGGCTGCGCGATATGTAAAGAATGACTAATTGTGATTGATAATATTGACGGTGTCGAGGCTAAGCCAACGCTTTAAGCCTCTGAGGATCCGCTTGGTGGGTGTAATTGACGCACACAAGTTTGCTGCCGAATAACGGTCAGAAACAAAGTTTCCAGTTTGAAACAGTCCATTTATTTCCATTTGACTGGTTTCCATTTGACTGGTTTCCATTTGACTGGTTTCCATTTGACTGGTTTCCATTTGACTTGCTTCTTTCCATATTCACCACGATATTACCGTTTACACAATACCTTTGCTTTTCTTGTAATCCCGTGTTTGTGTGTGTGTGCTCCGTGTGTGTGTGCTCCGTGTGTGTGTGCTCCGTGTGTGTGTGCTCCGTGTGTGTGTGCTCCGTGTGTGTGTTCTCCGTGTGTGTGCTCCGTGTGTGTGTGCTCCGTGTGTGTGTGCTCCGTGTGTGTGCTCCGTGTGTGTGTGCTCCGTGTGTGTGTGCTCCGTGTGTGTGTGCTCCGTGTGTGTGTTCTCCGTGTGTGTGCTCCGTGTGTGTGTGCTCCGTGTGTGTGTTCTCCGTGTGTGTGTGCTCCGTGTGTGTGTGCTCCGTGTGTGTGTGCTCCGTGTGTGTGTGCTCCGTGTGTGTGTGCTCCGTGTGTGTGTGCTCCGTGTGTGTGTGCTCCATGTGTGTGCTCCGTGTGTGTGTGCTCCGTGTGTGTGTGCTCCGTGTGTGTGTGCTCCGTGTGTGTTCTCCGTGTGTGTGTGCTCCGTGTGTGTGTGCTCCGTGTGTGTTCTCCGTGTGTGTGTGTGCTCCGTGTGTGTGTGCTCCGTGTGTGTGTGCTCCGTGTGTGTGTGTGCTCCGTGTGTGTGTGCTCCGTGTGTGTTCTCCGTGTGTGTGTGCTCCGTGTGTGTGCTCCGTGTGTGTGTGCTCCGTGTGTGTGTGCTCCGTGTGTGTGTGCTCCGTGTGTGTGTGCTCCGTGTGTGTGCTCCGTGTGTGTGTTCTCCGTGTGTGTGTGCTCCGTGTGTGTGTGCTCCGTGTGTGTGTGCTCCGTGTGTGTGTGCTCCGTGTGTGTGTGCTCCGTGTGTGTGTGCTCCGTGTGTGTGTTCTCCGTGTGTGTGTCTCCTGTGTGTGTGCTTCCGTGTGTGTGTGCTCCGTGTGTGTGTGCTCCGTGTGTGTGTGCTCCGTGTGTGTGTTCTCCGTGTGTGTGTGCTCCGTGTGTGTGTGCTCCGTGTGTGTGTGCTCCGTGTGTGTGTGCTCCGTGTGTGTGTGCTCCGTGTGTGGTCAAAAACTGCATGGGCCTTCCGGCGGAACCTCTCCCCAACACACGCAGGTTCCTACCTTTATACCCACAGTTAATTGGCTCCTACAGACGGGTTTGATCATTTCTAATCATAATTATCATTGAAAACATATGAAAGGATAACGGTAAGATTTTTCAATAGGATCCTAATCAAACAAATATTTTTTGTTAAGTAAAATATTACTTATTTTAGTACAATATTAATAGTAGTATATGGAGTAGAATGCAGGGATAACTTAGCAACTCTAAAATGACTTTTAACAAATATGAAGCCTTCAACAAATATGGTGCTTACTGCAATTTACATTTTGACTTTTCCATATTGAACCCTAATTGTATGTCAAAGCCCCAGGGTGGAACCTTTGGAAGGAGAAAGGAATATAACAGGATGTCTTTAAAGATTGTGCGTTTAAAAACACTACCAACAATCAATATTGACTTAACAATAAATGTGAACATTCCTGTTAACCCATAAGAACCCATTTCTACTTTAGGGGAAATTAAGGGGAACATAATTTAGACTAAATAGACCACCTAGAACACATTTCTGACAAGTAACCCCCCCTAGTGTCAAATATCTGAAAACCATACTGTATGTCGCATTGGGCTTTAATGGTAAAGTAACTCTTATTTTTAACTTCATTAATGAGGATGATTTGGTTTAAATTAGTTTGAACATTCGTTGAATTGAAGAATAAGAACATATTAACTACATATAATTGAATCAGCTAAATTAACTGAGCAGATCATATTTCTAATTGTGCATATATGTCACTTTGGGTTTCAGGGTTCATACACTTTTCCCCAATGATTTTCAATGACCTTTACCTAATTTTCCATGACCAAAAAAATGACTCTTTCTCAGCGGTACCACTGAAAATGGTTTATTTTAACATGGAACAGGAAAATAAGGTCTGCATATGAAACATGTTGTGCCTATCTAAAACAAATCAAATAGGCTTACTAGCTTCTACAGCTAAAGCAACTCAAATCTCTCACCAGCAAAATACCTCAACAGTTAAATGCTATTTCACGTTTCATTACTATACGATACAGTATTTATTATCATTATAGTATTACTATTTCGGCGATTAGATAAAATATAAATTATATTTGATGCAACTTTAGTTACATTTCCATGACTTTTCCAAAACTTTGGGAAAAATATTGTTTTCCATTTCCATGACTTTTCCAGGTTTTTATTGACCGTAAGAACCCTGGGGTTTACTGTGAACGTTTAGGGTTAAAGTCCCGATGTGACACCAGTGTCACAGCGATATTTGTCTCATTTGTTTCATATCAATTTGATCAACAAATGTTTAAACAAAAGGTTAATTATAATAAAGGACGTTATGTAAGCATTTTCATTCTAAAATGGCTTGAATTTTACCTTTAGCAACAAAAAAACACATGTGTTAGTCTGGCACATGGACATCTTGGACATCACATGACCTGGCCCATGACCCACCAGACTATTCAGTGTGTGTCACTCAGGGACTTCATGAGATCAAATAAATGCTTAAGCTGTATAAGGAACTTTCCAGAACATTTAAAGTTCATGTGACACCCGTGTCACGTTGGGTCCTTATGGGTTAAACGTGACACATGTAAAATGGTTATTGCAAAGTTAATGTAGGCATGTGCCGTGAGTAGTGTACGAAGAACACATGGCACAGGACATAGAGAGCATTGACCTTTTAGCAACCACAGTAAACACTAGGTATATTTGTTGGGGAAATACTGAATGTACTCTTCAGATATCAGAGTACACGTGATAACAAAGGCCCTACGTAGCTGTGTACGTAACAGGATGCATGATTACCTAGAAGAGCGTCAGGACTGTTTTAGGCATATGATAGCTATGTGATTAACATGATGATTCAGCCTCTATGGAGATAGACATATGACAAGCATGCTCATTTCTGACGTGGCGCTAATCTGAAGTAAACATTGAATACTGCTTTCTATTCCTCCATCTTGTGACTGTGTGACTCCCTCTCTTGTATATCAGCATGTGAAGGACACTGTTCAGGAACTAGCTGATGCTCTGTATGTAATGACTACTTCCATTCTTGAGAGGATAATACACACATGTATCCTGATATTGAAGCTCAAGCCGGTGACGAGTGATATTTTTCTAACAATATTGTTTGAGCGTACAACATGTACATTTTTGGAGGATTAAATTAGCTCACCTGAAAACTCAAGCAGTCTTCAAACGTATCTGGAATTTCGTTGTACGGCTGCTGCGGCACGAAGCCCCCACTTCCAGGGCTCTGGGGGAACATAACACAAAGCGTGAATTCAAAAGTACCATAACAAACAGAAGATCTCTAAACAAAAACTAATGAGTACCCGGCAGCTAACCTTGCGAATAGGACAAATACATTTGCGTCCCCGGCATAAGCGTTTCCGCGACTCTGGGCTCTGCAGTCCATTCTTGCAGTTGGCACAGTGGCCACAGTTGACCGTGTTGAGGCATCCCACACACTGCCCGCATGGAATCCACTACCAATAGCATGAACATAAATAAGAAAGCACGTTGGATAATTCATTAATACCCACTTACTTTTCCTTTCCTTTTCGTATTTTTCGCACATTTCATCTCTGGAAATAGAGGCATTTTCTCTTTTGGGGGTCTAGTTATAAATGTCCTGTACATTTCCGCAACACCCTAATATAAACCCAACATTTACCCATGTACATTCTGAATCCATCATTCAAATACTGGGTAATTGATACATTCCCAATTAGCCACATGCTAACGTTTGGCTATTTAAACAGTTCATTCACACAACTGGTGGAGAGACAATGCTTTACCTTCCTGAATCGAACCATCGGATGCACTTTTGTCTTCGAGGCGGCTGAAATTAAAAACAAATACACATTATGGGTTATTTCCCTGATTTTTTCAACAATTTCAAAAGCTATACTTCCTCAGAATCATCACATTGCACAACCACAAACTGACATACCCCAGCAGGTGGGACAGAAGGGTCTCTTCCTTTGCTTATCATACCACGTGCCTGTGAAGGAAATACCGCACCTGGAACAAACCCTGCAGGGAAACACGAAACCGCTCAGCACGTGACATCACCCACAAAGAAACCCCTCATTAAACTGAAATACTCAAGTGTCTTGTTAATTGCATCAGCACAACAATAAATAAACAATTAATAATGGACTAACAGTGTGTTTTCCTCTGAGCTGATATCTCCGTTTATAGAGGGGAGGGGGAGAGCTCTGGATGATGAAGGAAGGGGAAGTTTAATTTCCTTTTCCGCCGGTGGATATTCATATTGTTGTGTTGGTATTACTACTGTGCTCTGTGCCAACCAAACAGTCGGTTGGGACGGGACGGTTTTGGGCCCCAGGTTTGGGGTGAGTCTGTGGAGAGAGTCGGGGGTGTCGGTCCCCTCCCCTCTCTCCACAAAGCTGGACTCTGAGGATGAACTCTCCGGGATCTTCCTCTAATGGATAAGAAAAAGAGGATACGTTTACAGTGAGGCTCGCACAGCTTAAATGTTTCAAGCTTGAAGTGATAAAAGAGGCCGTTACCTTCGCTCTGATGCGGACTCTCGTGGGGGGGACTCCGCCTGGGATAAACCTTCCTGACTTGTATTCAAAGGTTGACAAGTCGACTCCCTCCAACACTGACGTCAGCTCGACGCGGCTTCTCACTCGGTCACCTTTCGGACTGCAAAGAGACAAAAAAAACAATTACGACCTCCCAGAGCTGAATGACAACCACTAAAAACGACCATCCAGTTGTCACCTAGTCACATACACAACTTTAAATGAATTAAGGCTTTATTTAATTTAATGGCTACATTTTTCCTAACGATTATTAAATTGTTTAGTCCATAAAATGCACGAAAAAAAGTTGTATTTTGAAACTATAAAAATGAAAATCTTGACATTTGGAAAGCTTACACTTTTTAAGAGTAACAAGTTGATTCAGGCTAAAATTATTAAAATCATATTTTTAATGTATCTTGTATAATGTATAATACAAAGAGAACAAGAATACATGTCATTACATAGTATCGACATTGTAGACCACAGAGTAAAAGTATAAGTTATATATTCTGCACCCTGCAATTGAAAACAACGGTATTTCTTTACAACTCTACTAGGCGGTATTTACCTTATGTAATACACATCCTTCTGTCCAATGCTAGAACCTGAGCGCCGGATAACTTCTTTGCGTTTCCAACCATCTCCAAGTATTGGCCATACATCCCATCCTTCCTCGGGACTCGATCGCTTACGGCGGGGCTGCTGAAACCTGAATTTAAAAAGGAGGAAATATGAATTATACTTGTTCAAATTCTTTATTCAAAGTGGGGAAAACACACTGCACATGGGAAAATGTGAATATATGTTGTTATATACATCTTTTTTTCTTTCAATAGATTGAGGCAGAGTGGCAATGATTCCTTAAAAGGTATCAACAAATAACAAAAAGCTCTGATTTGATACACAGCATAACTTTTCATGAAGTGCACAACATGAGTTACAGAAAATTAGAAGGGCATCTTATTACAACTTTAAATCTTATCTATTATAATCTCATTTGAGATCATTTTTCAAATAAGACTATTGGCCAAGACCAAGTTGTTTTTATCTTTTAAAGATCTAGAAAGGGTTATTAATGCCTTTGTTACCTCGAGGCTGGACTACTGCAACGCTCTGTATGTGGGTATGGACCAGGCATCAATTAGACGCCTGCAGCTAGTCCAAAACGCAGCTGCACGTCTTCTGACTGGCCACAAAAAGTGTGACCATATCACCCCAATTCACTGGCTTCCAATTCGGTTCTGAATTGATTTTAAACTCCTTTTATTTGTTTCCAAAGCCCTAAATGGGCTGGCTCCTGCCTATATAGCCGGACTCCTCCATCGCTACACCCCAGCCAGAGCTTTAAGGTCGGCTGACCAGCTGTTGCTGATAGTGCCCGAGACCAGGTTCAAAACCCGAGGGGACCGAGCCTTCGCAGCAGCTGGCCCCAGGCTCTGGAATAGGCTGCCCCTCCATGTGAGGTCGGCCCAGACCCTGGGGGTTTTTAAATCTTCACTAAAGACTCACTTCTTCTCCCTGGCCTTCTAGTCAGAGCTGAGCATGACACCTGACATTTCTCTGTGTTTTGTTTTTATATTTCTGTTGTAAATTCTTGTCTTTTCTTTCTTATGTTATTGTATTGTGCTTTTATTACACGTACAGCACTTTGGCTCGACCACAAATCGTTTTTAAATGTGATCTATAAATAAAACTTTATTTTATTTGATAATGATGCACAATATCAGGACCACAGTACAAGATAGAAAGACAACTTACTTATGAACCTTCAGGTGATTCTTCTCGCTGCCCGCCCCGCTCACACTCATTTCACTTTCTCCTGCCAGGCTTTCAACTTCATCATTGTCATCCTCCTCAAGGGGCTCAAACCAGTCCACAGGGGGCTCCAAACCAGCAGGTTTATCTTCCTCCTTGTCTTGTACTGGAGTTTCCTTTAAAGGATCTGAGCTGTGGGGTTTCTTATCTGTTGTGTTTCCTGCTTCACTCATGATCCTCTCTGGGCTTGATCCCACATCTTTTCCCTGCGGCTCTGCGACAGGGACCGGGGTCCCAACTGGTTCCATGTTCATTGTTGCACCCTTTCAAGCTACAAATGGTATTCCTAGAGACAAAGAAAGATATCTTCTAGTGTAGACTTTGCAGTTATTATGCTCCAAATATAACTTTTATTCATGTTTATTTTATTATCTTTGCTTTTTAATGACTGTTTTTAAATGCCATTTTATAATGTTTTTCCACTGCACTTTTTCTTAATGTCTTTTAACAGGACTTTGAATTGTCTTGTGTTGAAAGGTGCTCTACAAATAAACGTGCATTGCCTTGCCTGTCATAAATCAAGCTAACACTGTTTACATGCTGCTGCAACAAAAACAATTTCCAAAATTGGGATCAATAAAGTACCATCTTATCTTATCTCTCTTATCTTTAGATACCACACATGTAGACAGATTGGCGCTTGGTTAAACAAAGCCAACATCTGCCATTTGAGGTGCTGTTTCTGCTAACAACTGCACTAATACTCGGATATTGGTTACTATTTCTAAATACTTAGTTTAGCAAAATACCATATATTACCAGTGGCTAAAGTAACGCTAGAAGCGATTAAGATACTAGCAGCTGTTAAATACTGTAGGTGCCATTCACCCATGATCCGCTTACACGCTTGAGTAGATTTACACAGTTTACACAATTTAAACATACCTGCTGTTATGAAAGCCAAAAAACACACACCTTTAGATTAACATTTCCAGGATTGGTGACAATCTAGTCACATAAGGCACCACTTTAAAAAAAAAAGGTAGAGCTAACGTAGCTAGCTTACAAACATCTAGTGCTAGCGGAAACGGTTGCAAGAACAAAGAGGACTTCACGTCCAAGATGCTAATCCTCCTGGTCCGTCCATGTACGGGAACCCTTGCCCCAGTTTACAGAGACAACCAAGCCCCAAAGAAGTGCGCCGGACTCTGATGAGAATATTCGTTGTGGCCAAACGGCGGTACTACACTTCCGTTAGGTTGCTGGGCCCGGAAACACTTTTTCCCATTGACTTAATACATTGGGAAAGAGTGGTCTGTAAATCGTTGGATAATTCTTTTATTTGGGGTTAAGTACATTGTCAGAATAAGTGAGAAATGAATTTAACTTCTGTGTGTATATATTTTTGTCTGTTTACATCTCTACTTAAGCTGTTTCCGGCTAGCAAAATAGTAACCCTAATATACAACCATTGTTGTTTACTCATTTCAAACGTTAGTTATTTGCATTTGACCGTAAGGATAGACCATAGACTGTATATAGACAGTACTAGGGATAGACAGTACTAGGGATAGACACGAAAAAAACAATCAACAAACGGATAGAAGTGACTTATCTTCTACTGCACATGCTCTTTGACAGCACGCGTCATAATGTCGTGTACGTTGGCTCTGAGTTGGCGTGTTCTTATTATCCATCCATGGTTGGCTCCCTTCTCTAGTTGTTAGAAAGAAGTGTAGGCTACTGTTAGCATTGTGTTCGCCTTAAAACGAAGGGTTGTCTTCACATTGGAGCACAACTAGGACATCACATCTACCATTGATTTATATTATCATATAGTTTGTTCCTCTATTTAAACAACATTGTAGCGTTTTCTTTTTATTCAGGCCAAATGATATGCAATCAACCAAAGTAGTTAGCAAGCAGGAATGTATGAGGAGCACTTGAAGATATATTTTAAATGTAGATATTCAGGCACTACACACAAATACAAATATAACATTGGGGAGTGAACCCTTTTTGTGATTTGAGGGGCAAAGCCTTGTAAAGTTTCTAATGTTATCAATATATGAGCAGCAACTATGTGTATTTAAATAATCAATATATCACCTGTTAGTATTTATTTAAACCAAGAAACAATATTACCCATAATCAGAAAGTAACAAAAGCACACAGCTCGGTAAATACAATACTCTTCCTTTTAAATAATATAAAGCAGAGAGCTCTGCATCTGTTTATTGACCAGTCAGGAGCATCCCATCACATTAGGATGGGATATTTTTCCCTTTAAACTGTGGGTTTTTCTCCGGAAGTTTTTCCTTGTACGATGTGAGGGTCGAAGGACAGAGGGTGTCGTTTTCTCATACTGATATTCTGCACAAACGGTGCTGTTGTATTTGCTGTAAAGTGTCTTTACTGTAGGGTATTTTTATTATATGTACAGCACTTTGGCTCGACCAAAAATGTGCTATATAAATAAAACTTGATTTGATTAGCAGTGTGGCATGAGGTGATCGCGGGAAACATGTTGTTTTGTGGTGTACTTTGTGGGTCTGCACTCCGAGTCAGGAAGTTGTGTTGATCTCGTTTGGTTACTATGAATTAGTCATTTAAAGTCTTTGTTGACTGGGAATAGTCTACCCTGCAATATCCTTTGTACTTCACTGCTTTTGATACACTCTTAAAATCAGCCTTTCCTTGCTTACATTCATGTGTGCAACCATGTTTACCCCTTTGAAAACAGCAGTGATTGTTTTGAAGAAGGACCGATACAACTACACTTCTCGGTCAGTAACTTTAATCAAAGATACCTGTATAGTATACATGCTGCTCAAAGAAATTATAGAACAAATAGCAGATACATCAAAGTGTTTATTCTGAGCGATCATACCAAAAACAGCCGTTATCAATCAGCAGCATCCATCACAGTCAGGAAAATATATATCCATTTACCTCTTTCAGTTAATTATCATACAAACATTTTAAAATAATTATCTAGTTAGAAAATCTGTTTTGGACCTAATAGTTTCATTTAAATCTTTAAAACTCAAATCACGTACAGTGATCAGAGTACAGGTGCAGACTACCTATCCTTGTTACCACGGAGATCGGTGGTCACGGGGTCGTGCTGAATAGTTTGGTGAAGCATCAGAGCGAGCAGACCGGCTCTGTTGGTCATCGCCGTCCTGACGTTACGCTCCTGTTCAAAGAGCTCGTCCAACTTGTACCACTGTGGACAGAAACAAACCACACGTCAGACTGAAGCATCCTTTGTGCTCCAGTCAACCCTCACAGTAAACACAGAGCTAAATCCCAGATCAAATGCACGCTAAAGGCTCTTTGAGCATGTTTTCTCTCAGTGATCGTGCTGTTATGTTAAATGTTTGTTTTTCATGCATTGTGTCTTGATATCTGTCTATGTTGATGTCACACATGGAGCTGCTGTGATGCAAGTCACATTTCAGACTTGATCTGACCATTAAAGTATTATATCGTATTTTTTCTAGTTCTCTATCTGTGCTTTAATTGTTGTTTTACTTTTATGTAAATGTATCTACCTGCTAATAAACATGTATCTGATTCGGAAATATCAAATTTGTTGTCGGTTAGAACCAAAAGAAGCAGTCGTGGTGTTCGACTTACCACCCGGACTCGCTCCAGGTCCACCTCCGCTCTCCTGAGCTTTTCCCAGTTGTAATGTTTGTTGCATTTCCTTTTGGGGACCCTGCAGTAATCTCCGGTCAGCTCGAACACGTTCTTCACCAGAGGACACCCACACACCTCATCCCCTTGGATCTAAAAACAAAAAAAACATCAATTAACCATCTGCACATTAACTCTACTATGTAGCGGACTGTACGAACAGATTTCACCATTAAGATTCAAGGCTTTATTGTCATTTGCACATTAGCTACAGTGTAGATATGGCAATGAAAAACGTAGGTCACACTGTGGTTATAGGGCTTAGTTGAACACTCGATTCTGATTGGTCAATTTGGACATTCCGGACGTGGGTCATTTTACCTGCTAAGGAGAACAGACCATTGCTAAGGAGGATCAAGGGACTATGTGCAGTCATGTCAATCCACAGAAAGAAGTCAGATTAATGTATTGTCATCTGAGGACATGAACATTAGTTTTCTCCAGGGATCATCACAACTAATCGCAGGCCAGATTTGATCATGTGGTCAACCTCACAAATGTCCCTGCACATCGTCAAATTAACTGCACCATGGGAGGCTGCAGCGGATGAAGCTTACGAGGATATATCAGCCGAAGCAGTACAACAGGGCTGGGAAACACAGAATCTCCCAGTGGAGGTCGGTGTCGTGTCAAATTATCATATAAAACATATAGTCTTATAATCTGATTGCCTTTTACACTGTTAAATTGTATTTTTAGTCTTGTAAGTGTTTAACAGAGACATATGTTAAGGATTTACATTTCAGGAGGGCAAAAGGAAGGTGTAGGAGCCAAAATGCTTGTTTTGCCATTTCTTATTATTTGTATTATTATCTTCATTTCTGTTTGCATCGCGTTTAATTCTTATTGTTTATCACTTCCGGCAATGGTCACGTGGGTGTGGTTTATTGTTATTCAGGTCACCTGTTGGATGCCGGTTTGGGAGCATATGATGTAGGAAGAGGGTGAATCTGCTCTGATACAGGTCGGGAGTTGTACATTGTTTGTTTGCGTTTTATTAAACACTATGAATGACTTCGGACTCTTATACACAGCAAAGAGCACATTTTAGCCTCTCAGCGGCATAACTCATAGGGAGTCAATCAGTCAATCATAGTCAATACAGTCAATCAGAGCAAATTCACCCTCCAGGGTATATGCAGGAATCCTGAAGTCAAATGTAATACCTTTAAGACAGTGTTTCTCAAACTTTTTCATACCAAGGACCACTTAACCAATAAAAAAACACTCGCGGACCACCTAACTCCACAAATATCCAAAATCACATCGTTTTTCTAGAACAGATTACAAATCGCCTGAAAATGGTACAAACAAGTGGCAACATGTGTGATGAAGGTGTTGCGCTGGGCTATATCATACCATCGAAAGTGAAACTTAAGCTCGCTCCATTGCGGAGATATTCCCGCGAGAGTGCGGAAAACTTTAATTTATTAATTTATTTAAAATGGGAAATTGTACCAATATACTCACGGACCACTAGGGGGCGCTCACGGACCACACTTTGAGAAGCACTGCTTTAAGACCTTTTATAAGACCCTTTCCATACATTTTAAGACAACAAGCATTTTGGCTCCTACAGAAGGTATAAGGGGGGTATGCAACTGGTTAAGGACGAGGGGGATTTATATAATGCTGGGGATGTGTAGATGATGCCGAAGGGAATTTAAGGGTGGGACCAGTTGGATTTCTTTGTACTATAGAGTGTGACTGTGAGCTGTGTTCTGGGTGCAGAACCTTTATCATCCGAGGATGAAGTAGCTCTGTTCCTGCATTTCAGATCGATTTCCTTTATTACTTTATTAAATATAACAAAAGACAAACTTTGTCCATGAATCATTTATCAGTTTCTCTTCAGAATTTCCTCCTAATTTATTTCTAACTGGGACTTTTTTCTTTCTTTCTCAATTCTCAATGAATATTTTAGGTTTTAGCAGGTTTTCTATCGATTGTGGTTATCATACATGAGTCCGAGGGGTTTCCACTGACCTTAGGGTCTCTGGAATGTTCCGGACACAGAACCTGAAGCCTCTTACAATACGTTTTGCTTTGGGGATTGTACACGTCACAGAAGAGTCTCGTTGCTCTGTGGAAAAGATCAAGAAATGTTAGTAAAGCGACTGAACAAAGTCAAGTTAAACATGTGGAGAGGATTTATTTCTCTTACCCTTCTATCCTTGTAGGGTACATGGAGCCAAAGGAAGTCTGGCTCTCATACTGTCAAGATAATCATACAGGAGAGACATTTTAATACCCGCCCAATTGCTTTTTGTTAAAGATGATATGTTCTATCAGGATTTCTGAAAACACTCACCTTTGCGTAACATCTCTCCATATGTCTCAGTGCCACTTTTGGATTGATGGGATGACTGCAAGACACGCAGAAGATCTGCAGGTCTGTGTCCTCGCTGTCGTTTTCATTACACTGCACATAGAGACAAAAGCATTTAATAAAAAGTATTTGATCTTGTGGGATATTTTTCTGTGTGTGTATGGGACAGATTAAATAACAACCCTAACCAGTGTTTCCGCCAGACCAGGGCTGGGAGGGCGGGGTAACGTCACGTCGTGTCACGTGACTTGAATTTTTAAATTGAGCCGTGACCGTCCCTTATAGATACTATCTCTTTACGTATCAGTGATGGGAATTCCGGCTCAATTGGCTCGGCTCACTAAGAAGAACCGGCTCCTAAACGGCTCGTCATGTTACCACAGTTTACCACGGAGCCTCCGTTTCGCCACTGCGAGGCTCCGGCGCAGTTCACACGCGTGGTCCACTAGCACCCCCCGTCAAGGCTCGCCGGCAGTACACTTTCCGTCACAGGAACACGCTTTGCTGGCGGCGAACAGAATCCCACCAGACTCCTTTGCCCCTCCAACAGAGGGATGTCTTTGTCCTTTTTGCTTTTCGTAATTTCAAGCGATAAAAACTCGATCTTCTCTCGAATTATTTATTTTTGTGGACGGCCTCGGCTCGAGTTCAGGGCGTTCCGAGCTGAATAAGGGCGTCAAATGACGGCAAGACGCCCCCCTGACGGAAACGCTGACCCTAACCATTGAAAGCATACATGCTCAGAAACACATACGCAGCACATTGTTAGGGCAAGTATTAAAGCTTAATACAGTGTAATCCTAATGAAATGTAACTTTTAACAAAGTGGTATCCTGGGAATGGCGAAGAAATGGATGTGTGATAACCGATGTGTTCACGAAGGGTTTTAAGACACTACAGGAAGGCCAGGGGGAAAGGAAGACATCTGCTCTCGGGGGGTAACTGCGACACCCAACTGTTGTCTTGGTGTGAGTTTAGCTTACTGCCATAGGGCGACCACATGTTGTTGTGCTGTCATGTAAATGATCTTTGATGTTTCCCTATAAAACAGAACAGGACGCACTCAGAAGGAGTCGTATTGCTTGCACGCAATAAAAGAAAATATCTGAAAAGACTTTATATCGATATTGTGTTTCTTTGCATATTTGCCTAACTCACCATTTTCTCTAGACAGCAGCTGATTTTAAGTTGCTATGACAACGTATAGATCAGGGGTACTCAAATACAAATCTTAAAGGTCCAAAATAAATGTTTCAATAAGACAAAGGTCCGTTTATTACGGTCATTCAAACTTTTAAACAATTGCAACAAGATTCTTAACACGAGGTTGCAATAACAAAAAGTCTCTGGATGCAGCAGTTTTCATTGTTGTTGTGTCTGTGCTTGATCCCTCAGAGTCGCAGTGTAAGAGCTGCACAGTTAGAATAAAGGCAGCTGCACCCTCTTTCATTCAGCATTCATTATTGCTTTATAAATGTCTTGCCCCCTTCTGTGTCCACTGAGGTTCGTCAGGCCCAACACATCTTCAACAAACTCCCCCTTTGCCTCATCATAAAAACTCACAAACACCAGCAACTGAGCATTGTCAGTGGTGTCAGTGGACTTATCCACAGCTAAGGAAATGCACTGTGCATTTTTTATTCCATCACAAAGCTGATGAATCAAATCACCAGCCAGTGTTTATGTTCTTCTGGTTGCTGTGGAATCTGGGAGGGGGATTTGCTTGACCTGTTATTTCCTCTTTTTGTTTGCCTTCAACATGGTCGCCATCACTTCAGTCATGCATTCTTTTATACTGCAGTTATTATCCAGTGGAAAGTCCTTACCTACTGGCCTAGTTCAATCAAAGTGGTTACTTTCTGTTGGCTGGGCAGTGTAGTTTTACACAGTTTGACTTTCTCAGGACTTAAAACTGTTTTTTGGGGGCAGACCCCTCAAAGAAAAAAATATATTTACGCACAAGATCAACAGCTTTAGTGCGTTTTGATTCAATGCTGAGTACAGCCAAACTGACAGTCTCTTCTCTGTCGTTGCAGACCGCAAATACCTCATTCCTTCAGTGCTTGGGTCCGAATGCTTCTCGTTTTGTGCCGTCCAGTTCAAATGAAATCGCCGCCAATCATATTTCCATGCTCGCGCCAGGGGGAGGGGTTACATGACGTGCATCTTGTGCTGCATTCACTTGCACTCGGACATTAGAGACTTTCTCTCATAAATGTCCGATGAGTCACAACTTTTCTTTCAAAACAAAGCTGCCAACTGGGGTGGCAGCTGGGGTGGCAAGGCCTATTTTTAGGGTGTCAGTTGCCACCCCGGTAGGTGAAACTAGGCTACTAGCTACAGTACAGATGGAACTAGATGAGCTGTTAACTCTCGCTCTGACTCAGACAGGTTGAAAGAGACGAGACACACATTTTTCCCACCCGCATTCTGCGAAGACCCGCCCTACTGTGCCTCTGATTCGCAGATTGTTTGGGGGGAAAAAACGCTGACGGGATGCTGAATGTGATTGGACCAATGCGTTGACAGACACACACAGACAGTGGAACAGGACATGCAGAGCGCTGTTTGCAGTCTATGGACATAGCGGATCATTTTGACTCGTTGCGTTGTGGCGATGTCTCGCAGATAACGCAGATAATACATATGAAAAGTATAATTTGCTCTGAGTCCAGAGACAGTTGTGGTTCGGTCCGGATCGGAGTCCGGACTTTGAGGATGCCTGGTATAGATAATAAAAAGCAAGGGGTCAATGCTAATGTGTCATATGCTGTCAGTTTTCAAACAATAGGATACAGGCCCTAAAATAAAGAACAAGACAAGACTCATTAGAAGCATGTTAGAAAAATAATTACAACATGCTGAGCTGTTTTTCCAGGAGGCTGAACTCTCTCCCCTGTGTGTATATAGGTATATTCATAATGGCATACATATTTTTAATATATAATTGTTGTTTTTGTATTCGGGATTGTGGGAAACGGTATTTCGATCTCTCTGTCTGTACACACAAACTGAAAGATTGACAATAAAGTTGACTTTGAGCCCCCCCCCCCTCACCTCCTCGTCCAGCTGGGCCGCCTGCTGCTTGGCCTTGACGATGATGCCTTCCAGTTCGTGGAAGCGCCGCTCCATCTCTGTGAGGCGCAGCCGGGCGTTCTGCTGGTCGCGGCGGATTCGCTCCAGCTGCTTCTTGCCGTGCTCCTCGGCGATGCAGGGGCTCTGCTGCCACTGCTGGATGCGCTGAGGCAGGATCTCATAGATCCGGCTGTGGAGCAAAATGAACGATAAATGATCGTAATTAGGTTGTCTGGGATAAACAGTAAAGCGTCTTATGGACAGGGACACTACATCAAACATAATGGTGACAAAGACAAAAAAAGACTCGAAGGCAGTGATCATTTTACCAGCATTTTCCTTTTCTAGCACTAGGTGGAGCTATAGTTCTATCAGGGAATCACAAACTGGATTAAAAACAGCTTTTGGCCATTTGGTTTCTAAATTAAAAGATCATTTTTACTGGTAAATACTCCAAAGAATAGAAAATGTATTACACTTCTACCTAAGATAAGTTGTCTTGTCTTTGTTCTAAGCAGGCATCTTAGAGGAGGGAGAATATAGAGATCTATTGTGGCTGAAGAAGTTGTGGTGAATTTCCATCATCAGGAACATTCGGAACATCTTCAGGAGTGACTCAAAAAAGCCGTCTAGCTTTCTATCATGGTATGGAACCTTTTGTCTTTTTAAATACAGAAATGATCTGATTTACAAAATCACACAATGTTGCTATTTTATTTGTAAGTAGTGGGGGCTCTAATAGAAGTGTGTTTACATAGGTCCTGGATCATAGGTCCTGGATGGATATCCTCGTGGATTCATCTTCCTATTATACACACATGCATTTCCAAACATTTGGTTTACCTATGTTGCAAATGTATTATCTTTTCAATTTACACACGGCATCTATTGCACGTCTGTCCGTCCTGGGAGAGGGATCCCTCCTCTGTTGCTCTCCCTGAGGTTTCTCCCATTTTCCCTTTAAACTGTGGGTTTTCTCTGGAAGTTTTTCCTTGTACGATGTGAGTGTCTAAGGACAGAGGGTGTCGTATTGTCATACTGATATTCTGTACACACTGTGAAGTCCACTGAGACAGATGTAACATTTGTGATATTGGGCTATATAAATAAACATTGATTGATTGATTGATTGATTTACTCCAAAAAGACATGTCACATCTGAGATGAATTCTAAATATTGGTTTCTTAAAGGTGGGGTAGGTAATTCACTTCAGAACCACTTTTTGTTATATTCCATGGAATGCTCTTAACATCCCGATAGCAACGAATACATGAAATGCTTTGACAATAAATCCATTAAAAAATGTCATCTGTGGAAGCCGTGGCGCTGTAAAAAGCACGACCAATCATCTGAGCCGGCTAAAGTAACTGGATGGCCTACCTGCCTGTCAGCCTTCCATCTGTGCACAAACTTATCTCGTGCCCTCATTGGTCATGTGCGCGTTCGTGTGTGTTGGAGGAGGGGCTCTGTAAGGAAGTCTGAAGGAAGGGGCAGATTTTTTTCGGCTGCGTACTTTCAAATTCTAGCGCACTCGAGCTGGTTTCTCCATTCTTACCTACCTACCTTTAAGACTACAGTGAATCCAGTATGTTTAAGTGTCATTTTAAGCATATTTGATGATAATATTTGGGTAATGTCGTGAATCGCAATCATTCACGACGGGCTAATCGTGACAAGATGCCTTGATGGAATAAAGTGCATGACTGGTGAAAGTAGGAGTCCTTACTTGGCGGCTAGCTTCATGCCGCACTCCTCAGAGCAGTACTTGGAGCCGGCTCTTGTCGGCTGCACACAGCTCGGCCCGAGACACTGCCGCTGCCCCGTGCTGTCCCGCAGCTCGCCCTTCTCACTGGATCTGGTTTTGTCTTTGTGCTTCTGCTTCTGTTTGTGCCGCCGGGACTCCTTCTAGATAATTAGAAAAACAAGGACATGTTATAATATGTGTTACTATCATTTACCATGCGAACACCTGGCAGAACTTCAAATGATGATGATAATTGTTCAAGGGAACTCACTTTCTTGTCAAACTTCTTCTCTCTTCTCTTGACGTGCTTCACCTTCACAGCTTTCTTACGCATGACAGGACTGAAAGGCACCTCATCCTCTTCATCACTGTTCCATCCCTTGGTGAGAGGAGAGCAATAAAGACTCAACATAATATTTCCAGATCAAGTGTTTTAGCTGTTAACGTTTCTAAGCAACAAGATGCTGTTAGATACCATGCTGTTGTTGTTCCCTGATGACTTGTACTTCTGGTAGAGCTCCGCCTCGCTGTCGTAGTCGTCAGAGTATCGCCTCCGTCTGTGGTAGTTGTTTTCCCTCCTTTCTTGCAAAGCCAATTCCTCGTCTTTCACACGAAGCATTTTCTGTACACAACAACAAGCAACAGGTGTCACATTTCCAAGGAAAACACAAGACAGTGCATAAATACATCAGCTAATCGCTTCAGGAATGAACAACAGATACCTTTTAAGCTTTTAAAGTCTCATTTACAAACCACTGTGTGTCTAAAAAGGTACCGTATAATATATTATATGCATGATTAATATTACAGAGCACTACTAATTTAGGGGACAAGAATATGTTTGTCATGGTGTTTCTAAGATGACTGGATGAAATGAAGTGCATCCATAAAAAATCTTGATTAAGTCACATGAAGCTAAAAATGTAAAAAGTTAACGGGGCAAAAATGTCAAATATTCTGCTACACTTTCGCTCGTAGAATTAAGTTTGTAAGTCAAATAGAGTGACTTACCCTGGCTCGGACCTCACACTGCCTGAACCTGCACTTCTGCCTGATTTTGTTGGGGCCTCCGAACTTCTTCATGTCCTTACAGAAGTCACATGTGGCGCAGTCCTCCGTCCTCTTGCACGGCTCACACTCCCCACACATTCGCACTGAACGCTTCACCTGACGAAAAGCAAACAATGGACAATAAGAGCCATTGTATCCTAAGAAATGTGCTTTGTTTTACATCCTACATAACATTGAGGAAGATGAAGACCAGCTGAACAATGGGGCTGCACAATATATCAAACATCTATTGTAATCTATATTAGCATTTTGCAGTACATGTATCTCAAAGACTGCTTGAACTGCCATACATGCTATTAATTGTCCCATTCATTAACGCTCTGCATGTTAACATATGTGGCCAATCAGATGGAGCCCTGGTGCTCTAGATTCAATCATTCGTAATCATTTGAAAGATCTCACGCTCTTTATTTTGTATACTTTTTTGATGCTCTTGGGATGTTGCAGTCAAACCTTAATAATTAGGTCAGAAATGCGACTTACTTTAGATCCACGCCGCCTTTCACTCTTATAGTCAGGAGTACTCGGGGTGCTGTACTGTCTGTCCGACTGTCTGTCCGACTGTCTGTCTGATTGTCTGTCCGATCCTCTGTCCGATCCTCTGTCATACTCAACCTCCTTCTCTCGGTTTTTCTTTGTTCTGTACTTTATTTCCAGAGAGGGGTTTTTACCTGGTGACAGGGGGAATAGTGACGCAGGATTGTCATGACATTGTGATGTACTTAATGTTAAGCATGGCATTTTCAAATGCTGTGACAACAGAAAAAACATCTTCTCCTTACCTTTGCATTTCATGCAATACCATTCTCTGATTGCCTTCGCCTTCTTCTCAGTGATGTTAATGCAGTGGCCATGGAACCACTCGTTACACTTGTCACAGCCGCTGTCAGTGGGAGAAGCAAATAAAAGAATGAGTGTATGAGCATCGGTGCATCCATATGCGGTGATAAGAGAAAACGGACTTACATCATGAAGCAGTTGATGTCTGCTTTCCTGCAGATACAGTACAGGGGTGCGTTCTCCCCGTCCATGCTGCTGTTCTCAGGCCCTGGTGCATGGTCAAGGTCAGACATTTCGCTGTCCTGAAAGTACAATATTCAATTCAATTCAATTCAATTCAAAACCTTTATTTATACAGATAAAACCCATTGAGATCATAGACCTCTTTTACAATGGTGACCTGCTTCAATTAGTTCCAAACATTAATACAAACATGACAGAAAACAAAGGACATTATATGATACTACAGTTTGTATACTAGTAGCATTTACAGACAATATTTTCTGATTGTATAGCGTCTATCCTAGCTTTAAAAACATGAAATGGAATCAAACTGCTTAGCTTCCATTCCTTTTGTAGACTGTTCCATGCTAGCGGCGCTGCGCATCTAAAAGCTGTATTTCCTAATACAGTCCTAGCTGTTGGCACATGTAATACAACCACAGCTTTAGATCTCAGGCAGTAGCCATTTACAATACGCTGTGAGATCAGGGAACAGATGTAAGACGGAAGTTTCCCTAACATTGCTTTATAAATAAAAAGATACCAGTGATTTAGCCGCCGTACAGTAAGTGAAAGCAACCCAGCCCTTGTATACAGGGTACAATGATGAGTCAAAGTCTTACAGTCTGTCACAAACCTTAGTGCACTATGATAGGCGGCATCTATCTTGGTGAGGTAATTGGCCGGCGCATTCATATAAAATAGATCACCATAGTCCAGCACAGGTGAAAAGGTCACAGTGACTAGCCTTTTCCTGGCCTCAAGAGAGAAACAGGACTTGTTTCTAATATGTATTATAACACACATAACAACTGGTAAACATATAGACAACACCTGCATAACTGACTGCTGAGCTGCAGGACAAGTTTCTCTCAAATAGAGCAGAAGGCTGTTTAAGTGACAAAACCATATTTGGGTTTTCACAATACCACTACTTTGAAGAGTAGTTCTGCTGTAATACAGTGTTGCTGCTCAGTATCTTCTCCTATCTAAGTCTCTGCATTGAATTTCCCCAACCATACATTTTTAACAGTATAAGTAAATGAATCTCCAGTCAAGTGAAACAGATCCTTCTTCCTGTTGCTGTCAGAAAAATGTGCACTCCTGTTTCTATAATGTTAGTCAAATACAAACATGTTTATTACACTGTAAGGGCCAGAGCATGGTGTTTAACATGTAATACTAGGCTTAGGTAGCAGATTTGTATAGCCGACTTTGTTAACTTATCATCCTTTATTTATACTGTATATTATTCATACTGTAATATCCAGCAAGAAAGACTTAAGAATACTGTTCAAAATATTAGTAGTTGTCAAGGTAACCAGCACGTAGAGTAAACGGCAAACTCCGAGTAATAATAAAAACTGCTTTGATTATCTTTTACTATCAACATGTATATATTGTACTTGTTAGTTCTGTTTCATTTTCTATTGTGAGATTTTATTATGTTCTACTATCGTTTACTTTCACATTATTTGCAATGCCTTGTTTACATGCTGCTTTGACAGACAATTGGCACTAATAAAGTCAATCTTATCTTATTTGTATGTTATATGGATCTGTTAGCATGCTAGGTAACATTAGCCAATTAGCATCAGCTGGCTAAAACGTCAGTTAACGATGCCAAAGTGGCTTACTTTGCTGTACCACATACACAGTGAGTTATGAAAAGTACATTGAATTTAGCTAACGCTGTAAAGTCATTTTAAGGCATCATAATGACTTGTATTTAAACGCTAAAAGCTAACTGAGTAGCATCACAACAGTCTCCTCTGGGATGTCAACTTACGGCCGTTTGACGTTAACGTATTAGTCTTCTTTTTTTAAATTAGCTAACTTTGATAGAAGCTGCTTTTATCGCTTACTTACCATTATGGGAGATCTTCAAACGTTACACGCTTGGATCGTTCACCAATTTGTAATGGAAAGAAAACAGATGCAACACCAAAACAGTGAACGAATTAGCTCGATAGCTAGCGTTCAGCTAAGATGTACACGGAAATAACATCGGTCATAACCGGCTGAACTCGTTACTACTCGTAAAAATCCACGAATGTCATTGGTCGTTGGTCATGTGTTCTTCTTCTTCGGTGACAGATTAACCATCAAACGGCACACTACTGCCACCTGTTGGATTGTTTAACAAATGCGTTTAGTGCGGAAAATACTGTATACTAGCAGCACAAATCAAATCAGTGGTTTTTCTATTATTGTCGTCACAATAATGCTGTATAGGGGGGGAATATATAGAATACAGTGAGGAATATAGGATGATACTAGTTTATTGATAATCATGCTACTATATGTGTACTTTAGTTCCTATTAGATATACATGTATTATTGTTTTAAGGAAGTCTTGTGCCAGAGATTGGTCGAAAATATAAATAGAACAATATATAATTCACATAAATTATTTAAAATATATGATATTAAAAGTAATATTACACATTATATCTAAAAAGTTATGTGTGTACAGGAGGAGAAATACAGGTGCCTTAAAAAGCAAAAACATTAAAACCATTCATGTTTCTGTTATTTCACACACACACACACACACACACACACACACACACACACACACACATTCACAAAAAAACACACACACACAGATAAAGAGAGAGAGAGGGAGAGAGAGGCTGTATGTTGCAGTTAAACCTCCAATGCTGAGATTTCACTGAGGGATGCGTCTATGATAAACGCTGAATAGTGGATTGCTATACTTCTACAAAATGTCATGAGAAGTGAGTACAATTTGTATTTTACAATATTCTCCATACAGACAGCAATAGTGAGGGATAACCACTGTGGGCGTTGGATTCCAGTACAATGACAAACAAATCTTTAGTTTTCAATATGTTACAGCTTTTATCTATTCCTTCGATCAAATAAACAGAATTATAGTTCATTACATTTAAATCATTTTAACTTGACTCATTCATTTTAACACGATACTACATTATACCCTATTTATATCCTCGGTATCACCTATAAATGATTTCATCTTATGACCTAATAGATAATAAGTACAAGAAGAAAGAAATAGTCATTATGATAAAATATTTGAGATAGTTGCCTCGAGGTGTTTTCTGTTTTTTCTGCAAATAAAAAAACCTCTGTCAAGATGTCACAGGAAGTAAGTATTACATTAATAATTGATGAAAAGTGTAATCAAGGTCTCACATTCTCATATAGCTGTCAGAATATCCCTGTGCTGCCTCTCATCATTGTAAATGTTTTGAAAATGCTGATTAATAATAGATTAACTTCTCCGCCATTTCTGAGATGTCCACTCATCACTAACAGCTATGAAACCTCAAATACACATCTGACTCTGCGGTAGAGAATGAGGCGGTTTAATTTCATAATATTAAGTGAATTATAAATAAGGAAGTAAGTAAGTAGTAAAGGTTTAAGGTTATGATTTCATTCACAGACATAAAAAAGGCAGGCTGATGCATTTAAAAAATGAATATTAACAATGAACAGACACAATTATAAAATATATATAAATGAAAAGATATGAGTAAAATAAGAATAAAACAAATATATATATATAACTGTTATATTTTATAGTTTGTCTCAGATTAAACGGTCCTGATTTGTTGTCTTTCATTTACCGAGCTTGAAGCAGGATGGATGGAAAACTGGATTGTCTAGCTCTGAATGGAAAGATGGAAGATGTAAATGAAGTCAAACCAAACATCTGTGACTCACCGACCGATGCTTCTGAGTGTCCCATTTTACCTGACGACTCCATTGCAGGTAAATTCACAAAACAGTCATTGTCATTCAATTAGGATAGTCTATAAATACCACAGTGACGCAATATTGCATAAATGTCACCAGTAAAATCCTGATTTGAAAATGTTACTTAAGCAAAAGAACAAACATTTAAGCATAAAATATATTCAAAGTACAAAAAGTAATATCAGTCGTTCTGCATAATGGCCCATTGCATTCTTTATATCATATATTTGTGTTATTATTGAAGGGTTAAGGTGTTTTTTGCAGCTAGTGAAGGTGAAGCTAAACTCATTACTTTAAAGATTGCTTTGTCGCTTGTGAATTTAGATGAAGTATTAAAGTCTCATTAATGCAAAGTAAGTTACTCAAGCTTTCAGATAAATGTTCAAAATTGCAGTAACTACCTCTGAATTGTTATGGAGTAGAAGTATAAAGTATCAGAAAATCAATACTCAAGTTAAAAACAAGTATAGGCCTACCTTTATTTTCCACCACTGTTTGGCGCTTTGGTAAAAATGAAATGTTTTTTTCACCAATTTTTCAGAGCAGATCTCCTCCGAAGACTTATCTTTAACTGACATCCCTATGAATGTTTTCCCAACAGTTATAGGTATACCTTCATCTCTGAACTCTTTTGTTAATCGCTAGCTTTTTTTTTGCAGTTTTGATGAAGATTTGTTCAATTTGTATGTCCGGTGCAGATACCAACTTGCATAAACACCCAAAAGGAGGCGAGAGCGTCGATGTGTTCCCCTGCAGCTCTGTGGAGCCGCCGCAGCCTCTTTGTGCCGCGCGGCCCTCCTCCATGGAGGCCTGCACTGTACAGGAAATGAGTCAGACGTTCACTACCATCAGCCGGAGTCAAGACTGCCTCAAAACCACCACCACGGTCCACACTGAGCCCGATGCTGACGGTAAGGACACACTCAAGGTAACAGATAAACAGTGTATGACAGTTACATGATATGAATATATGTGACAGTTTGATGAGATGACATTAGCTCACACACACAAATAAGTATACTGATATTGAATAAATAACAATAGACAAAAATGTTTTTTTTTAGGATCCCTTCCAACATTTTGAATAACTAGACTGTCTGATATACGGATAAAGAAAACACCCATAAAATGCCAAGCATATTTATTGTTCAGCCCCCGCCACTTCAGGGCTAATTTTGTCCCATTTTATGTTGTGTTGTACCACCTTGTAATGGTTTGTGGCAACATTCAAAATAATTTGGCTTTACAATGTATTTTTTAGAAACCTGATAGGGGCCCTGTTGTGCTTTGAGGGTTTTTTACCTTTCCTGTAGTGTGTTAGGTTGTTGTGCATGTAAAGGGTCTGCAAAGGCTAAAATCCCAAAGTTCACACACTCTCCCCCTGTCTGAAACGCCTCCATTGAACTCCTGGAACATATAGTGACATCACCTCATAACACTTGTGCTTCTATTGGGTAGCGCTCTGACACATTGTACGTTATAGGCTAAGGGGTGGGACACTTTTAAGCGGTTGACCAATCACAACAGAGCCGGCCAGCTAACCAATCAGAGCAGACTGGGCTCTGGTTTCAGACAGAGGGTGAAAAGAGGTGCTGCAGCACAGGCAGTATGAGAAAATAAAACGCTTTTTGAACATTAAAGCATGGAGACATGTCCCAGTAGAGACACAAACTACAAATACAAACCTGAAAATTAGCTTCATAGGACCCACTAAATGTTTTTTTCTCAAATTGAAGCATCCTTGTCTCTCTTTTCCTCTTTCCCCGAGACCTTTGTGCTGCAATCCTTCTGTCCTGCCTGTTCTGTCACCCTCTGGACTGTTTCCTGGCCGTGATGAGAGGCTGTAACGGCTGCATTTGGTCTCTGTGCTCGTGCCTCTGCGGCTGCGAGCCCAGCACCCTGCAGCCCCTCCTCGGCGACCTCTGCGAGTGTCTGGGTGTTCGCTGCTTCCTGTGCGACTGTCCCGCCTACGACATCTGCCTCCAGGCCACCGAGTGCCTGGACCTCGCCATGGAGATCTCCCAAATGCTTTACCACTAAACGCAGCCAATAACCACAGACACACAGGAAATATACATAGGAATCGTTTATTTTGTTAAAATCTTTTCCGAAAGCCAACTTGTAGGGACACAAATGCTACCAGTTCATGATTAACAGTCAATGTTAGCGCTCAGATAAATGTCAAGGTAGGACATGGTTAATATATGGAGGAGGGGGTTAAGTATGAGCGGTAACATCTCTCATCTTATGGGACTAGGAACAACGCAGTTTTGAAGCACTTAGCCATGTAGCAGAGCTCAGAATCAATCAATCTAACCACTAAATAGTTAGAATATATTTGGCTGCTGAGTAGTTTAAAATGTATGCAAGTCAATAACTTGGAGGTTGTGTCGGAGGAAAATAAAAATCAGTCTGTCAGTGTTTTAAAAAAACTCACATTCATGTACTGTACACAAGGTCGCGTAAAGCATCTGACAAATTAAAATGCCTTTCTAAACGTGGCTATTTTATTGAGTAATAATTGCATTGCAGGTTTCACACGACAAACGGTTATACCTTATCGTTACAGACGTGAGGCTAGTGGTTGGTTTAAAAGAAAGTCAAAGCCCTCTCAATTCAAACTACAATGAGCGATAATAAACTATTAGATGCATCACTGTTGATCGTCCAAAAACCGAAATAAAACAGAAGCCATCATCTTTGTAGAACCAGTCAAATCACCCAGTGACAAACAACGACTGACAACACAGATATTAGTCAGAACAGGCGACTTATATTAAGGTATAAAAGTGTAATGAACTACAGTACTGTTGTAAAAGATGAAATTGTTCTCATTCTGTCTTGCATTTCCATTGACTGCGTGAATATATTCAAAAATAAAAAACCGCTGATTTGTAATAGCTACTCTGGAAGAAGTCCTGCTTTGGCTAGCTAGCTGCAGCAGAGAGTGATTTTCCATTGCTTTTAAATGTTATTACAAATACATGCATCCCTGGGCCTTATCCGTCCACTGTGTGTGATAGTAATAAAAACAGACAAAAGCTCTCATAAAATGCATAGACTGCCTTCAAATAAGGTGCAATAAAACTGCTCAAAATAAAATATTCTTATATACAATATGCGGTAAATATTTCCCGATGTGCCAATTCACTTTACATAGATCCCTTCTGTAGCTGCTGGTGAGACAAACCAACATGGAGCAGCTGCTATAAACAAACCCTGATTCCAGTCATTTAAAAAAAAAAAAAAAAACGAAATATAATTTGTTTGTTAAAAAATAAACCTCACAGCTTTCTTCCCTAAGTATGAGCATATAATAAATTCAAGCAAACTTTAAAATCCCTCTTAAATCTCTGAAGTAAAATCTATTTATAGAATGTGTTATCGCTTAATCCATGCCCCTATTATACAATATTACATTTCTTAATAAGATTGCATTTAAAAACCCAGACATAATCATCTGAACAGCTCCAAACAGGAACAATAATCATAATAATAAGGTCTGTATGGCGAAATTAGGAATAACGTACTTTGTCCAATGTTTGTTAGTTTTGATGTTATTGTTTCAGTCCTATAAACAGACTTGTGTTATTTTGGGATGGACGTCCCAGCCTTCTCGTCCCTGCAGACAGTCTCTGCCAATCAAAGAGCTCATCATAAGTCCTCGTCCATCTCCAGGCTGCTCCTGCGACTGCTTGTTTTCGAGGCACAGGGTGACAGAGGGGAGAAGAAAGACTCCCCCCCCCGATCCAGGGTGCACCCGTCGTCCATGAGAATGTCTCCCAAGCTCACGTCGGGGTAGAACTCCGAGGCCGAGGCGTCGTCCAGCTCGGCGAAGCTCAGGCTGCCCAGGTCCAGGGGGCTGCTGAGGGTGACCCCCGCGGGAGAGTCTGAGGATGGGGGGGACAGGAAGGAGGCTGGGAGGGGCTGTCCGACGAGGCCCAGGAGGCTCTGGGAGGAGAGTCCTCCGGCGCTGGGAAGCTGGCCGCTCTGAGGGAGCTGCTGCTGCTGCTGCTGCTGCTGCTGCTGGAGCAGGGGGGGGTCGGGGCTCAGCCCGCCCAGGCCGCTCAGCCGCGCCTGCATCTCCAGCTCCTGGGAGAGAAAGACGGTGGGATTTTTACATGCAGAAGCAAAAGAGTGGTGCAGGAAAGAGTTCTAAAATCCAGAAATGAGTTAGCATTTTACCATTTCCATTACGTTACATTTCATTTAGCTGAAGCGTTTCAATCCGAAGCCGAACAATGAGAGCAATAAACCATAACGATACTAACTCAGAACAACAGTGCAGGTCCTGTATATCCGCTTCCAATAGAGAGGAGAAGTCCCTCCCCTTCCGGTCGAGCTCCATGGGACCTTATTTCAGAAAAAGTATGTATTGAAGTCAATGGCGAGAGAAAGATTATCTTTCGATCCTGTTTGAATTGTGCCACGAATTACACATATGATGTTTGTCAATTTAAAAGATAATTTTGCAAGTCAAAAAAAAATAATTGTGTGGTAAAACTGTGAAGTAACACTTTTTTTTGGTGAAACCGCTCAATGAACTACATCTCCCGTCCCGCACCACACACCAAGACGGCGTCACGTTGACACATTTCACTTCTTTCTTTCAGAATGAGGCGGAAAGTATTAAAAGAGGTGAAAATCACTCCAGGTCTGGGCACGTTGAGAGCTGTACATACACACAAGGGGAGTTAGTCGGTTCCAAGAGCCAGCATGCGGGACCGGGATTCTGGGATTTGTAGTCTTTCTAGTTGCGTATTTTTCATAGTCTTATATTTCAACAGTTTTACGACAAACTGTGATTTTTTTTACATGGAAATAATTTCTTAAGATTGACAAACATCCTATGTGTAATTCGTGGAACAATTCAAACGGGATCGAGAGATAATCTTTCTCTCTCCATTGACTTCAATGCATCATTTTTCAGAAATAAGGTCCCATGGGTCGGAAGTAGATAGCCAAATCATTGTAAGTGCCCGTGCTTTAGTTTCCAATAGGCACATTTTCACTTTTTTTTGGTACAAGCGATCCAGGTGGGACGAAAGATTGGTTGACCTTCTGCTGTCATGATGTCCATGGGGAGCCATGAAGTTATGCATAACTTTTGACTTCTAGACTCTGCATTAACGCTTTAAAAGCATCAAAAGTGGTGTAAATATGTGAAGATTATCCAGCTGAAGAAAACATATAAGTAAGATATTTGTGTGTTGGTCAGAGTTATTTTCTACAAGTAACATTTCCTTTCTTTTAGCCTTTCCATGCTAACCTCTGGGTCAGCCTACAGTAATACGTCATCACTTCACCACTTAATATCCTGAATTGAAAATTAAGACCTTTTAGTGTGAAAAATCTGCTTCAATAATCAACATCGTCACACTTTATGTTGCATTACCACCAACAACTTTCCATAAATTAGATTAAAGGACATCTCCTCCCACATAAGACATGGCCAGGAACATTTCAGAAAACAGGAGACAGTGTGACTTGCAGACCCAGCTATAAACAAATGATATGATTCCATTAGATCTCTGTATTCTGCAGACATTTCTTTATCACATAGGTCTGTGTTTGAGCACTTGCAACAAGCTGTTTATTGGACTCACTTATCACTGTGGCCAGATTTAACTACAACACAGAGTGGAGCAGCTGTTGTTTTTCAAGTTTTGGATACGCCTCCCTCTAACACAGCTCACAAACAAACACTGACCTGGATGCGTAACATTAGACTGTGGTTTGCAAGCTCAAGCTTTTTCTGACGCATATCGATATCCTTGGCTCTCTGCTGCTCCTTCTGCAACTTCCTGATGTAGTCGACGGAGGCTTTCAGGATGGTGCCTTTATTCCAGCGCATTTCGCTGACATCATTGTGATATCAGTAAACATATATTGTAGAGGCAGGAAGGAAAGGAAACACAAGGAAGAGCAAAGGAGATTTTTACTACACAACAGTCGCAGGGAGCTTAGAGAGTACAACCCAAGTGGGCGTGGCCACTAGACATTGTTTTAAAGGTCCCATGTCATGCTTTTCCGGTTATTACCCGTCCCCTTGTGTGTTATGTAGAGTTTTCTGCATGTAAACGGTCTGCAGAGTCACAAACCCTGAAAGTACACCCTGTAGCGAGTAAAACTCTAACACAGAAGAGATCTGTCTGTGCTGCCCCAGAACGCCTCGTTGGAGATTTCTCATTTTCCATTGTTTACTTCCTGGGTACTGTGACGTGCCCATACTCAAATGGACCCATTGGTCCAAATGGACTCACACACACACACTCTCTAAGCGGCGAAACTGTGACACGCTGGGGGGGGTTCTAGTGGAGCCTCGCAGATGGGAGTGCTGCAGCCCCCTCAGCACCCCTCCCCCCGCCTTCCCGTGTCCATTCGCGATGTCTCGCAGACCCCACGCAGCAACCAGGAAATGAACCCAGCTCAAACTGTCCGCTCCTCGCAGCAGCGAGCCGCGCAACGTCCCGCCAACACGGCACCCAGACCCCACGCAGCATTCTCATCTGTTTGTCATTGCTGGTGTCATTTTCTGGTTGCTAACGCCATGGTAACACATAATCACTGATGTTCCGCTGTAATGGTGGTTATCTCATCAGAACAGAGTGGGCGAGCTGACCAATCAGAGCACAGTGGGCTCACAGGGAGGGGGGGGGGGGCAGCAGCTCCAACAAGCCGTTTAGGACAGAGAGTGAATACACATACTTTACAGAGATGCTGTGAGAAACCAATGTGAGTTTGGAAAATTGCACAATATAAATCTATTCTAGTAGACCTCAACAATGGAACTATGATCAGTAGAAATGGCCATGACATGGGACCTTCCCTGTGAGCCCAGTGTGCACTGATTGGTCGGGACGTTGCGAGGCTCGCTGCTCAGTGAGCTGGCTTACTGGTGTGGTTTCTGGGTCGGCGATACAGCGAGAACAAGCCAAACTCATCCTGAGCACACACAAACACTCACAGCCGAAAGTAAAACCAATAAGTGTGGCTTGATATTGAGTAAGAAAAAGGTTTCTAACGCTGTGAGAATGAGTCTGAGAGCATTTCTCCACCATCCCAACTCATCTATTACCAACCAGGGAGCTCTATGCAAGTCAATGGGACTCCCTGTTAGTTGAACATGTACGCTAAAGGTCCCCCCACTGCGTTTGATAGTGACGCCAAGGGATTCTGGTGTGTGAGGGGCTCATGGTCCATTTTGGTAAAGAAACAAATGGAAAATGAGAAATGTCCAACGAGGCGTTCTGGAGCAGCACAGACAGGTCTTTTCTGTGTTAGAGTTTTACTCGCTACAGGGTGTACTTTGAGGGTTTGTGACTCTGCAGACCGTTTACATGCATACAAACCTTCATAACACACAAGGGGACGGGTAATAACCGGAAAAGCATGACATGGGACCTTTAACATCACAGAAGCTACTTCCATTGTTTTTCATGTCAGGGTCTCAATTTTAAAAATAATAATACTAATCATTTCCGTAAATTCCTATCCTGAAAAAAATCAAACTGTGCTTACGAGTCACTTGACTTGGGTATCAGCGTGCCCAGCTCCTTTATACGGTCGTTGATGTTGAATCTCCGCCTCCTCTCGACTGTAGACAAGCAAGAAGAACAAGTCAGAGGGGGAAATTAACACACCTAAAATAACCTTTAACTATCAGTTAGCACTATGCAGATACATATCACATGGACTGGGGTATTCTTGAGTTTAAATCTGCACGGCACTGCATGTCACCTTTGCTTACTGCATCAAAAGTGCTCAAAATGGTTGGAATAGATCTGGACTTACTGAGGTTGTGGTTGTCTTTTTTCTGCCTTTCTTTCATTACCGCTTTGACGTCTGATTCTTAAAAGACAAATTCATTATGAGCTACACAATGAAATATGAACAAGTCATCCTAAACATTTATAGTGAAGTCAAGACACAGGTTTATAAAAGCTGGGTACCGTACCAGTAATTTCCCTTTTAATTTGTGGAAGGTCAGCGGGGCAGGAGTTGCTGGCAGTGAGAGTTGCTGCCATTCCAGGACTGTGGTAAACATCCAGAAGATTCCCTGGGAGCTGCAGGGAAAATAAAAAAGTGTTCAAATATATATATAGTAAAAAATAGTCACTAAATGTGGAAGAGGGACTCAGATATGTTACCTCTGAAGTAACAGAGGTAATACCATACTGTAAAAAATACTTTATTACAAAGTAAAAGTTAAAATACAGAAATATTTGTTTATTATTTATTTATTTATTCTACTAAAATCATACAAAAACAAAAACGTATAATTCATACACACAGGGTTAGCATAGCTTATGGGGAGTAGCCCTCCCGTGCATCATCAATATAATAATGGCATTTATTTCGTCAAAAACGTATAGAAATTAAGGAGTACAAAGAAATAAAGAAAACTAATGAAAACTGGAAAAAAATAAAAAAGTTAGGGCAAGAAAAAAGTAAATGCATATATAAGTAATACTGGGAATATGAAATACTTGTTAGCTGGAGTAATCTGCAAATATAATTGTTTTTACTTTAGTTTTGAATTGTTGATGACTAGTAATAATACTTGAAAGGTCTGGGTGAAGTCCATTCCACGTTCTAACTCCGATTATGAATAAGCTGTGTGATTTGATGGTTGTTCTACAGGGCTTGCTACACAACCAGTTAGGTTGGGTATTTCCTGACTGTGGTTTGGAACTGCTTTTGAATGTTAGTAGGCATTTTGTTATTTGTTATTTGCATTAAATGTACCTAAAAAAACCCAAATTAAAAGTACTTATTATTCAGAAGGCCCATTTTTAAATGAAATACATACATTTGTTGGACAATGACAAGTGAGCCATTCATGTGTTAAACTGTTGCAGTTGGAACTACCTTAGATTAACTCTATACTGTATTTTACAGTGTCCTAATCCACAACAGTACATCATAATTCTTCAACTGGTTGTTTTTTTGTGTTTATAATATCGACCAGGAGTAGGTCGTAACTTATGTAGTCGAACAAATGTAGAGCATGTCAAATTACAATGCCTGATTTCAAATTGTAGTGGAGTAGATATATAAAGTACCAAAAACATACGTAAGAATGTAGAAACCAGCTCGAGTGCGCCAGAATTTGAAAATTCACAACCGGAAAAAATCTGCCCCTTCCTTCAGACTTCCTCACAGAGCCCCTCCTCCAACACACATGGACGCGCACATGACCAATGAGGGCACGGGATAAGTTTGTGCACAGATGGAAGGCTGACAGGCAGGTAGGCCATCCAGTTACTTTAGCCGGGCCGGCTCAGATGATTGGTCGTGCTTTTTACAGCGCCACAGCTTCCACAGATGACATTTTTGTATGGATTTATTGTCAAAGCATTTCATGTATTCATTGCTATCGGGATGTTAAGAGCATTCCATGGAATATAACAAGTGTTTCTGAAGTGAATAACCCACCCCACCTTTAAGCAAAGTACTTAAGGAAATGTACTTAGTTAATATCATAAATTAAGAAGTACTTTATTAATCCCAAATTGGGAAATGTTTTTGTTGCAGCAGCATGTTTAACAAAGTATTGCGCATCGTTATAAATAAAAAAAGGAGCATGAAATAAACAATTATACAATATAAACAAAGAGTGAAAATATAAAAGTTGACCGTGAAGATACAAATATGTAAACTATCTGACAAATAAAACACTATTTAAGGGCTCAATTACAGCAAACTAAATATAAAACTAGGATATTATTTACATGTAGTGTGCAACAATGGCATATTAAATTAAATATAACTGTAAAATGTTAAAAAAAGAGAAACTATGGAGCGATGGTGAGGTCTCTGCTAGCCAGTTACATTCAACTGCTGATTACCGGAAACCTAAAAGCAAATGTTAAGTGTGCCCCATCCTTGCATAAGAGTTATAATCAACTAAGTTTCTATCGTATCAGATAAATGTTATTACATGTTGCACGGAGCAAATGTGTTGAAAGAAAATCCTAAATTTGATCAACAGATGCCGTTTAAGGATTAAGCCCAAAATCCAAATATTTATATTACATTCTTACATATCTAAGTTGGGTGACAACACCTTCAAAAATCACAAAAAAGTATTACCTCAGTGTGCTTTCTTTTCTTTTCTTCCACCAGCATCACCATAATCCTCATATTTTGTTTTCCGGCAAAATGTTGTCAAGCTCTCTTTCTATCTGACAAACGACTTGTTAACCATGCAGGAACTTTTTTATGAGTGCAATCCTCTTGGTTTCACTTCTCCCGTCTTGTGTCCTCTGATACATTTACCCCGCCCAGGCAGCACTTTTGTGACGAATAGTAACTGAGTGCCAAAAGTATATATTTGCTTCTACGACTTCTGAATTCCACACACAAAAGAGACCGTCCATTCACAGAAAAAACACTTTGGGTACAAAAAGTGTGCGGGTTAACCCTGAAATCCTGTGTTATCCTGCCACTGAACACCACCAAAAGAAACTCTAGAGAAAACTTTAACAAAGGAAGTTTTAGTGTTCAAATAAATACATTGATCTCCATACCGTGCTAGGTAGCTGAAGTCCTAAGTCAATCAGCGAAATGATGTCGTCATTAAAACTGGATTCAAGACTAATGATGTCGTCGATCACATCGTCAATCTAGATAAAGCAGATGAGAGAAAACACCAGTGGTCCTAAGTCAGAAACGGTTAAATGTGTCATAGCAATCAACATGTATGTACATATAGTGAGCTTTGTAATCTAAAGCTTACAGTGCAAGCACACAAAACATTTGAAGTAAAGTGGCCTGATTTCAAAGAGGGGAGCGTGTGCAAGAAGAGTGCATGGTTAAACTGTAAGTGCAGTATTTAACATCTTATTGTGACAACAGGCCAACAGGGGTACGAGGACAAAAAGCATGCATCAGCGCAGTGGGACCTTCAGACACATCATTGCAGAGCAAACAAAAAGTAATTAGCTAGAAGTGACCAGAAGGTTAGACATTTAGCTAGAAGTGAGCAGAAGGTTAGACATTTAACTTCTCCAAATTCACACTGTAAGTCTGCAGAAAGGCAGCCGTTGACAGGGTTGTGCAATCTGCTTTAGCAGCAAACCGAAAGCAGCACACAACAAGTTAAACCACTGTTATCAAAGCAGGAATTTCCCATACTTCCTCCTTGTTGGAGCCGATGTTGAGCAGAGCCATAGGGCTGTTGGGGGCACTGCTGGCTGTATGAGCGGCTTCAGGGGCCGAGCTGGACTGCTGCACAGGGGACACCCCCAGGGTCTGAGTGATCGCGTTGTTGCCCAGAGTGGTGGAGAGGTACTGCTTCACCTGCTGCCTCACAGCCTGCTGGATATGGTACTTGGTGGGGTTCTCCAAGTGGGTCTGCACCTGATCAGTTAAAGAGGAGTTAGGGGCTTATGTTCTCAATGTTTTTTTAAATAAAGAACAGAAGTGATACAAATACACACAAGTGTCTATGCTGGGAAAAATATCTGCAACCGAACTAAATCTACTCAGTTGAGAATCTTACATCGCACACATATAAAACCTGCTCTCAAAAACAAAATGGACATTAATGAATCTCTGCTCTGCAGTAAACTCTGGCGATCTTATTCACTGGTTCTGCTCATGTGTAAAGCTACAAAGCTACCGGTCTGGTATTTTGTAAGAACTGTGTGTTCTTTTTGGAATTCCAATATAGGTAAACCCTATGTGCCTCCTTCTTGGTCTTCCAGAAGGTCATATTACAAATATCAATCACAGAGGGATATTTCATTTATTCACTTTGCCGGCAGATTTTTTTTTTCTTTCTGATTTTGGATGAAATGGTGTTTGTTCCCAACGAATACATCTTATGTATGCCTCATTCTTCACTGGATACTTTCCATAAAGTATGGGTCCCTTACTTGGATTATATAATAATAATTATTATCTAATTTTCTTTTGGTCATTGCTTTTCTTTCTCAGGTGGGAAATGGCAAAGGATGAGGATCCTTATATTATCCAGTGTTTTTTACTTCTTACTCTCACCTACGTCCATACCTGAGCTGTTGTATTCTAAATAATAAAGATATTATTTAAAAAATACAAACACTTACTTTCAGCAACTCCACGGGCACCTGTGCCGGAGGCGGGCGGGGAGCATTTGGGGGCAGAGTGACGGAGATGGCTGGAGTGGAGTCAGAGGCCCGGAGCTGGGAGACGGAGACCTGCTGCTGGGCCTCTCGTCTCTCCTGCTCCTGGGCCTGTTCTCGCATCAGCTGCTGCCGGAGCAACACGCGTGAAGACATGGTTAAGGAGAGCTAACCCAGATCTAGGGATGGAGCTGTAAAACAAAGAAAAGGAGAGGATTATAGATATTTTTAAAAGTTTGTCATACTACTATATTATTATTAGAACTACGTTTTCTAGTGATGAAGCATCTTAGATCTATCCAGATGTTAGTTTCACTATCTGTATGTTAATTTATAATGGAAATGTTGTATTTTTCTTATAGTTTAGAAAAATATGTAGCAATTAAAGGTGTATGATATAATCTGGACACATCAACACTTTAGTTCAATGTTTTGCAACCTGCACAATCAAATAATATTTCTCCACACCATATACCAGCTTGCATTACAATAATGCTTCAATAATTGAAATAAAAACATATGATACATATTTTTCTGAAATCCATTCTGCATGATGAGTACTTTTACTTTTGGTAGCCTACTTTAAGTGAATGTATTAACTTTTGAATTTGATTGCAGGACTTGTATTTGTAACAGAGCATTCCTAAAACCTGGTACTTGAAGATCTGAGTACTTCTCCCACATCTGTGTGTCGGTTATCTAAGTGGAAATAAATGGTCAGAGCCGTTATGTCTGCAAGCTGCGGTCCTCTCTCTAAAGAACCACACTGTAAACAAACTGTAAAAAGGCGCATTACTCCATGCCATGTTAATGAATGTTTGGGTAGATTCTCGAGCCATTTAGAGAAGAAATAAACACTTAATGGTTAGCTTTCCTAATGGTAGCCGTTTTCGCAATCTCTATTCTTGGTGAGCTCTAATCTTGCGTCATGACAGTTTGACAGCTCAGTGCTACTAACGGGCCCACAACAACTAATGCTAAAGCTAGCTAATGTTAGTATTTACATCACCGACTCTTTAGTGGTTTAGCTAACGTTACCGACCAGTTACTAACTGTAAATATCGGAAGAATGCTAGCTATTTATGTTGAAAGCAGTCGTTTAACAGCAGCGTCACGTCAAAGTAAAAATAGGAAGTTGCTTTCTAGCTAAGCTAACTAGCATCCGTTAGTTTCCCAAAAAGCTAATGCTACCTAGTTTATTTTAGAGGAAATAATAAACGTACTGTGGCAACAGATGTGTCAAATGAATCAAAAAGATCCGAAGTCCAAAGGTTTCTTTGCCATTTTGAAAGTCCGTGAACACAAGCTCTTCGACAGTCGTGAGCCTCGATACCAGTGTTGTTTATCTTGGGCCGACGAGCTGAGGTCATCGAACCACGCAGGTTACCCGGAACTTGACTGCTGTGAAGTTACTACACTTTCAAAATACCCCATGTAGTGCAGGCATACCCGGATTAAAAGAAGATAAAGTCGTACTATTAAAGTGCAAACGACAATAACTGGGATAAAAAATATATGTGATGTTTATGTTATCTAAAGTAGAGCCGATATACCCGTGTTAACATAAGATAAAGTGGTGTCGTTAAAAATGTAAACGATTGTAATTGGGATAGAACAATTAAAATAATGAAAGTTAAGTGACCTTAAGTGCAACTTCCAAATAGCTCCTCAATATGAAAGAGTCAACATGCATTACAGGTGTACCAAATCAAAACAATTTCAATGGTTGAAGTAACTGTGGCTGATCATTATTATCATTTACCTAGTGAAACAATACCATAACCGAACCATAGACTTGTTATTAAATAAATAAAGGATCAAAGGTATGTGAATCCAAAGTTTTGCATCGGCATCAATCCTGTTCATATAATACTTCAAGACAACAAAAAAACGACAAAACACAAATATGTATTCTTTAAATCTTTTGTTTTAATCAGTCATCTGAAAAGGAGAAATCCATTGCGGCTGTCAAGGTGTCCGAGAGTTTAACAGAAATTTTGTCTGTGGAGAAAAACAGAACACATGTTACATTTAGCATGATTACACACAACATACCTGGTTATAGAGGATTAGCCACTTAAAACTTATTTTCCTACTTTTTGCACATTTGTTTAAATGAAATCACTTCAAAGGCTGGTTTACAATTACACTAGGATAAAGAACAGATATATCCAGTCTTTCTAGCACAAACAATCCATACGACGGACAAAAAGACATACATTATAAGACTGAGACCAATATTAATACAAACCTGCTCTTTTCTGTTGCTTTTTCCTTTTCTTGCCAGCAGCCCGGAGTGCCTGACCCTGCTGTAGAGGATGCACACCCACAATATCCTTCAGATCTGGAGCCTTGTCTGCTGCATCCCCAGGTAACGGAGTCTTTGACCTCGGAGATTTGATCTCCACTGTCATAGGTCCAAACTATTTTGAGCAGAAAGGAAAGTGAAGTTAAAAGTCAGTTTATAAATGCATAAAGTGCAAAACACACTTTACTGAAGTTAACTTGAGTTGTAAGAACTGCACTGTTCACACCTCTATGTCCTTGGCATCCTCCATGGATTCAGTTTTGTCTTTGAATTCGGGCTCTTCCCACATTCCCAGGTCAGAAGGCAGTTCACCCTGGCCCCCTTCTGTCATTCCGGTGGTTTCCATGCAAAATCCCATTTTGACATCAGGACAAGATGACTCTGAAAGACAGCAAAGAGCATATCCAACTTTGAACAACTACTTTCTTTTTTAGGGTGTTTAAAAATGGAAGCCACCATTTCTTTGCACTCTCTTAGTCCAATCTAACCGAACTGTTGCCGATTTATTCAGGTATCGTTTTGAGATACCTGCTTGCAGAACTACTTTTTACCAAAGAAAGTAGACGCAATTGCTGACGGCCAGGTCTGTTGATTCTGGGGTTTCTACATCCCAATAGACTTAGACATGGGACGATGAAAATGTCACGTTGCAAAATGTATCCCGATCATAATATGCTTAACACTCTTAAAATGGCACTAAAACACATTATTGAAATCAATATATTCAAGCATCATCTTGTCAGTGAAAAGCAGTCAAACAATCCTTAATAAAGTCATCAAAACTCCTAAACTGCATAAGTAAAGGATTATAATTCAAATGTCAACATTATGCAAGTCTGTGCTTCCTCACATGATAATTAGTGTATTTATTTTGGATAAGGCTCAATTTCTTTTACTTATTTACCATAATAGGTGAGCTAGACAGCTTTACTCTTGTAAGAATATTCCAGAAAAGTGTCTCATTCAAGTTTAAGTTTTAAGATCAACTTCATTAATCCTCCAGAGGAAATTCAGTTCTTAGTTCTGTTGTTATTTTACTGTCAGTTCAACAATGTAATCCTGTGTCATCTCGTCCCTAACTAGAAGTAACTTTTACCTGCAAGAACCTCCTGATTTCCTTTTTCCAGCTCATCCAAGTCAAAGGCTTTACCCATCTCCGTAACAATCGCAGCGCTGACGTGTGTGGGGAGAGTGTGTGTCTCTGGAGGGTGCGTGAAGTAGCTGATCCTTCCCCTAGATAACACAACAAGCTGGATTTAATGAAGTGCCAAGAACTGATTGTCAAACCTCGAAAATTCAGATTTTTTTCTTTTTTGCTCACCCTGTCCAGTCCATCAACACACTCTTTGCTGCTTTGTCAGTGTCGGGCAGTCCTCCCTTTCTTAGTTTGCCTTGACGTCGAGCAAGCATGGCTAAAAACTCAAGAGCCGTGCGAAAGTTGGGAACTCCGTAGTGCTTAAGGATCTGGCACATCCGGGGAAAAATACGTTAATTGCGTTAATTGCAAGAGACACAGTCGAGCAACAAACCAGAAGGCTGCTATGTGACTCACCTCGGCCTTGTTGCACCGTCGCAGGATGGCTTCAACGGGTGAAATGGGGTCAACCAGCTGTTCGATTTTCACACAGTTGCGAAGAATCATTGCGGCGTCAGATGTTGATGTTGCCATGACAATGCCAGGGCAATCGAGGAGCTTAATGTGTTTGTCCAGATGCACCTGTTGAAGGCACCTGAAATACATCAAACCCATTAATGCTGAATGATTTTGAAAAAATATCTAATTGCGATTATTTTCATGGATATTGCAATTGTGATATGTAGTATGAGAAAAGAAAAGAAAGTTTAATTACTGCATCCGGAAAGTCGCCCTAAGGAAAAGCTCATCATGTACTTACTTGGTGACACCAGGAGTGGCTCCAACGTTACACGCTCGTGCCCGTTTCAAACTGTTGATCAAACTACTCTTTCCCACGTTAGGAAAACCTTCAAAACAAGAATCGCAAAATGATTTCCTTTAGGAAAAGGTCTTTGAGCATGCAGATGGTCTGCAAAGTTTCTCTCTCACACACTCCTTCCTGCCTGAAACGCCTCCATTGGATTCCTTTTTACTTCCGTAACATAGTGACATCATTATGCAACAATTCCGCTTGTAACACATTGTACATTATAGGCTAAGGGGAGGGACAGCTCTATGGTTGACCAATCACAACAGAGCCGGTCAGCTAACCAATCAGAACAGACTGGGCTCTGGTTTCAGACAGAGGGTGAAAAGAGGTAGTATGAGAAAAATAAAGAGCTTTTTGAACATTAAAGCATGGAGACATGTCACAGTAGAGGCACAGAGTAGAAATATGAGCCTGAAATGTTGCATAATCTGTCCTCATTATCACAGAAAGAACATGGTTTCATGGGGCTGCTTACCTACAACACCTACGGTGATGGCTGTCTTTATGTCCAGGTTGCGACAGTAGTTGGCGAGTAGCTTCATCAGGCAGTCTGCTCCAATGCAAGCACTGGTACTGAGGAGCTCAGGGGTGGCTTGGGTCACTGGAACGGTACTGCGTTTCTGTCCATGGCAAGAAACAGAGGGACAGAATTATGTTATTCCGTGGATTTTATGATATGAATTTCATCAGCATATTCGTATAGCAAAAATATAAATATTAAACTCCATACCAAGTTCTTGTTTTGTTGCTGAGTAGATGCTTTGAAGGCTAACGTGGGGAACTCGTTACGAAGATATTTAATCCACTTCTCCACGATTTCCTTTGACACCAAATCTTTAATCAAAGCAAAGGCAAATAAGTCAAGCATTGATTATTTGACACAATAAATAAAAATACAATCCCTTACCAACAACTTACCAATTTTATTAAGCACCAAAACTATCTTCTTGTTGGTTCCGCTCTGAATGACGGCCTGCTCCACCTGAGGACATCTGCAGCCCAGCGGGTCACGTGCGTCCAAAACTTCCAAAATCACATCCGAGGCCTCCACCACCTTCATTTTATATAAAAAAAATGTATGTTCTCAATTCTGTATCTCACATCTGAACAGCAGGATTTATAAGGCAGGACATCTATACCATCCAATGTATATATATATATATATATATATATATATATATGTATATGTGTGTGTGTGTGTGTGTATTATTGATTCAACATGTGTGGGCAAATCAATTGATGGAAACACAATTGATTTATTTACTTTAGTGTGTATTTGAATAATTTTTGACTTTCGAGAGCTATTACAACGGGGCGACTGTGGCTGCGAGAGGGAGTGCGGTCGTCTTTCAACCAGAAGGTTGTGGGTTCGATCCCAGCCCATGCAGTCAACATGTCGATGTATCCTTGGGCAAGATACTTAACCCTGAGTTGCTCCCGATGGCCAACGGTGTGTGAATGTTAGGTCCTAGAGTAAGGTACACTGCTCTGTATGAATGGGTGTGAATGGGTGAATGACATGTATGTAAAAGCACTTTGAGGGGTCTTAAAAAGACTGGACAAAGCTCTATATAAGTACAGTCCATTTACAACGAGGAAATTGCTCAAGTTGCAAAGCGAAAATTCTACGTTTACGTCTCTAAAATGTAATTTTCATCAGACATGTCAGTTGACACATGTATTGAACAACAACATACCTTTTTAAATTCTCTGTAATATGTCTTTCTTGAATTCTCGTTTTCAAAATTTACATTTTTCTCCAAACTCTGCATATCCGACTCCTGTGAAGACAGAGAAGAAAACAGAAATCACTACAGTGGCAATTTGCGCACTATGCAGGTATTATAATTGCATTCCACTAAATAGTCATTAGACAATAGACATTTACCTTCTGCTCAAACTCTCTCTGCCGCTGTAGGATGTCGCTCTGAAAGCTTTGCAAATTCCTCCTCTTCATTTGCTCTTGTTCTCTAGAGACTTTCTGTCTGTCCTGGAGTTCTTGAAGCTAAGAAGGGAATTAACAAATTAAGAGAGTTGTTACATTTATTTAAAATATCAGCAATGTAACCTGAACAACAGTACAGGTAAAGATGTCCAGTGTTCACCCTTTGCTTTCGGACTTCTTCTTGTTTTCTCTGCTCTTTGACGTGCTGATCTGAACTCTTTGGCCGCCCTGAAGCATCACTTCCTCCATCTTTGTTCTGCAGGCAGGAAAACAAGACGAGTGTAAAATGATCCGTTTATTTCATTTGGAAACTCTGGAATTATCAAGATAAAGATGGATGGTCACAAGCCAACAAACAAAGCTGAGCTTATTGTTTATAAATCCAAAATGTGTGTAATAATACATATGTACTTGTGTTCTGTGCATTAATTCATGTTTAAAACCCACTACATACTTTTTGTTATTTTGCCAGTTTTCATTTTCAGCAAATACAACTTGTGTTAATTTGACTCAACCCCATACCTAACCAAACAACAGAAATGTATTGTTTTTGCAGTTAATCTTCTTCATCATTGAACTCCATCAACATTGTAATTAGGCTTTAAATATTTTGGGAAGCACTTTCTTTGGCCCTCTACAGTCTACAGGTTATTGAATAGGTGTTACAGTTCCAATAGGGCTAACCCTGTATATTAACATTGTATTTATAATTGGAAGAATATATTTGAATAAGCAACACAACTGTGTGTTCCAGCTCATTGGAGGCATTTAAGTGCACTTGACACTGAAACAAGAAGCTGTTCCTACTGGCAGTCAGAGGTGTGAAGTAACTAAGTACATTTACTCAAGTACAATTTTGAGAGACTTATACTTTACTTGAGTATTTCAAGTTTTCCGCTAGTTTGTACTTCTCCGCCACTACAATTCAGAGGCAAATTGTGTACTTTTACTACCCTACATTTATTTAGTACCTTAAGTTACTTTGCAGATTTTGTTTAATGAGGTGAAATATAATCAACACATAAATAAGGCTAGTAACACCTGGAGGACATTTTCAAACTACCCTGCAGTATACACATTAATTAAAACTAGCTGCACTAATGCAGCAATAATTATAATCAAAACATATAATATATATATATATATATTGAAGTCGGCCAATCTGCATAAACAGTAGTTTTACTTTTAAGTATATTTTGATGCTATTCCTTTTGTATTTACTATTTACTTGCACTATTTGTTCTGTTTTATTGTGTTGCACTGTTGTGACCTAAGATTTCCATCGTCATAATTACACTGTAGCTATGACCAATAAAAGCCTAGAACCTTGAGTACTTTTTCTTGAGTAAAATGTTTAATACAGGACTTGTACTTGTAACAGAGTATTCCTACACTCTGGTACTTATACTTTTATTTAAGTAGAAGAGCTGAGTACTTCTGTTTTAAGAATTATATGCACAGTGACACTGACGCATCTGAATGCTAAATCAAACCCGAGTATGGCAATGAGGTTAGCTCGGACATTATTATGTTTCTTCTTGAAAATAAGAACTTCTGAACCAGAGCATGTTTTGACTCCATCAGGTTAGCCATTAGCCCGGACACGCTTACCTTAAATTTCCCCATGAAGTCAAGACGCTTGTTCTTTCTTTGTTCTGCAAGTAATTACATAACACAGTTAAAACTATACAAATATTAGAATAATAAGCGAGTGAACACATGGAGTCAAGTTTAATGAAATACGTACTAGTTTTAGCCATGATTTCACCAACGACTTCACTGACTTCACGTGTAAGGGAAGAGGCAGCAGCGTCGCACAACAATGACGTTACCCAGACAACATCCGGCTGCATGCATGTCAAAATAAAATACCATGGTTCCCAAACTGCGTAGAACAATTGGCAGGGAAAACTCAGATCTTGTACTGAAGTAAAGTAGAAGATCTGAGTGTAGGAATACTCTCTTACATTAAACGTTGTCATGTATTTTATACATAAACAGGTGTCCCCTCTGTGTAAAGAGAGAAAAAAGATTCGCTCACTTTTTGTCCTGATCCATTTATATAAAAACCTGGCCACTTTATGATGCCATAACGATGCTGTGGTTGAAGTACTCATTGTGCAAATTAGCAAATTTCTGAATAATATATATGTTATGTCTTGATTATAATTGTTGATGCATTAATGTGTTATCAAAGATGGTAATGCAGTTAGTTTAATTAATTTGTATACTGCAGCTTAAGAATGTAACTCCAGGTGTGACTAAAGCCTTATTTAAGTGTTTCTACCCTGCAATCAAAATCTGCAGGGGAGAAGTACAAAAGTAGCAACACACTGAAATAGTTAAGAAGAATACAAGTCTCTCAAAATGGTACTTAAGTACAGTAGTTGAGGAAATGTAATTAGTTACAGCACTGACATCAGGTATCAGATCTGAGACTGGCTCACAGATTTTATGCTCAGTTATCATGACATGTGTCTGTCTACCTGTAGGCTTAATGCTGGCTATTAAAAGGAGCCCTATAATAATAATAATAATAATAATAATAATAATACGGAGAGGCTGCGGCTCAGTGGTTCGCTGTGTGCGCTGAACTTAGTGCGCTACTGCAGTAAGCATGTCGTTGTGTCCCTGGACAAGACACTTCACCCCAAATTGCTCTTGCCCACAGTACTGAATGTATGTAAGTCGCTTTGGATAAAAGCGTCTAACAAGTAACATGTAATGTATAATGCTTTGTTTTGATATATATATATATATATATATATATATATATATATATATATATATATATATATATATATATATATATATATATATATCCCTGACAATCCTACAAAAAACGTACTGAAATACCATGTTACTGATTTAAATTAAAGGGGCCTTATTATATTAATTTTCATATTTGTATGTTATGCCTCCAAGCAGCACATCCCCATGATGTTATAGAGGACATATTATGCTTAGGCTCATATATTCTGTGCCTCAAAAATGTCTTTATTTTTGCTGCAGCACCTCTTTTCACCCTCTGTCTGAAACCAGAGCCCAGTCTGCTCTGATTGGTTAGCTGGCCGGCTCTGTTGTGATTGGTCAACCGTTTAGAGATGTCCCGCCCCTTAGCCCATTATGTACAATGTGTTGGAGCTCTGAGTGTAACAGTGAAAGTAAGAAAGTAAAAGTAATCAGGTAACTTTTTTGTTTTGATATTCAGATTACTGATTATTACAGGTAACTAGTTATTGTAACAATAATACATTTTAAAACATTCAAACAGACATGTTGCTTTTTTCTCATTTTTTAAAACAATGTTTCACTTGTTGAAAGGTTTGTATAGTCTTAATGCTGAATGAAGAATAAAGATCATTTCGGACGCCGACTTCAATCAAGTATATTTTCTTTTGTGTTTCTTTAAAGCCATTTCTTAAGAACTGATACCAAGATGTGCAATCTGGGGCTACCCCATGGCTCTTATTTTTATGGTTACATTTTGAAATGTTAGCAAGGTATCTTACAGTAACAGTAACACCACTGATAAGGAAAATGGTATCTAATCTCCTCTAATGTGAACCGGTAGTTTAAAAAATCACAGAAGGAAACTGTTCAACATGCTTGATATTCTTTTTATTTTCATCTGAAAAAGACCATTCATATAATGATTAATTTGCTTTATATGTATATGTTGTCTTTTGCAGAAAGCTATATTTGCTAGAAAAAAAAGGAAGATGAAACAATATATATTTACTGTACAATTCACAATGGTTTTTCCAAAAAGAAGAACTTCAAGAGCTTTATGCCGGAGCCACAGAGGAGACTTCTGTCTTTGAAGAGGACACTTCAGATCCATCATCTGCTTCTTTTCCAAAGAGCTGCATGATGCATGCACGGAACTGAAAAAAAAAAAAAAATGTTAGCAATTGTAAACAAAACACATCTGATTTAAACAGAGACAAAATGTGACTGTTGTACCCACCTGTCGGTTCATAAAGACATAGATAACTGGGTTGTAGATGGTGGCGCTCTTAGCAAAGTATGCGGGCAGGGCAGCAGCCAGAGGGTGGAAGGCATATCCAGGGTTAGCCGCGGCAAAGCAGGCGAAAAATGTGTAAGGTCCCCAACAGACTATATACGCTATTATCATGACAACGACCATTCTGGATACATCCCTCTCAGCTTTCTGGGTTGACTCTGATTCCTTCTGCTGCAGGGCAACCTGTGATCAACAAATCAACACAGTGTTAGATTCTGTCAGGCTGCGATCTACTTGATATATACAACTATTGGTGAGAGAACTCACGGCACGGATAGCCATCCAGACTGCAAGGTAGCATAGGAGGATGATTAACAACGGAATGAAACAGCATGTGATCATGAGAACAATCATGTAGGACTGGACTCCAGGGTCTTCACTTCCACTGAATACATCAGGTCCACAGGAAGTCTTCAGTCCATGAGGCCAGTACCTGATTTGGGAACATTTTAAGTTTAAGGTTCTTATGATTGATTTAAACGTCATGTTTTTTTAGGTAAAATATAATCAGGCTACCTGCTCCATCCAAAGATGGGGGGAGCACACCATACTGCTGCCCAGACCCAGGAGAACACTATTCCACCTGTGGCCCATGTTGCATCAAACTTGACATTTCCAAAAGGTTTGCACACAACTACCCATCTCTCCCAGGAGATGATAGTCAGGGACCAGAGAGCAGCAATACCTGTGTGAAGAAATAAGGACACTCAGTGAAGGTATTTAAGCCTGATAATAACATATGTGACACGAAGAAAACTCTCTTTCCAAACAATCTTCTTAACCATAGAGGAAATATTGTGAGCACTTACCACAAACTGAGACAGTGTAGCCCTCAAAGACGCACATTGGGTGTCCAAGAATGAAGTAACCAAAATACTGGTTGCATACACTGATGGTGCTGGCGAAAACAGTCTCTCCAAGATCAGCAATTGCAAGATTGACCAAGATCCAGTTCAGAGGGTGTTGGAGTTTCTTGAACTTTGCTGTGGCCACCAAGACGAGACCGTTGGTGAAGACTGATAACACAACCACAACTAACATCCAGAGCGTTGAAAGATTGTAAATCCATCTTGGAGCAATGTGGTAATTGGGACCCTCAAAGGGATCTGAAAGGGGGAAAAAAAAGCAATCTGGTATTTAGTCTTACAGTTTTGAATCTCATGTAGTCCAATAAACGTTGTACTCTCAATCTATTGTCAATGTCAAATAAACATGAATACTAATAGTACATTGAGTTTAATGTCTGAAATGTTCAACTGTTTCATCGGTCAAACTGTCAATTTTGTTGGAACGCTACATTTTAAATGAGCAATTCAATTCAAATAAGTTCAACCAAGTTGCTTTAAAAATGACGGAAGTCAGAAAACCCTTCAAAAATCAACAAATCCTTACATATGATTTAGCTTCTTTTGGTAAACGATACAACACCATTGTATTGCTAAAAATAAGACAAAAAACTGTACCTTTGGTATGATTGCTGTTTGTGTAAACGAAGGCTGATCCTCTTGTCGAATCTTCTTGTCGCCTGGCTGAAAATACCTGTTTTCCCCACTCTTCTGCCATAGTGATCGTAGAGGGAGGACCTCAGCAGCTAAACTTTCACTTGCAACCTCGTTCAACGAATTGTGCAACACGTCTCACTTTAGCTTTTATACCTGTGCTTCATAGACCTCTGATAGGATTAGGTGGTTTGGTTAACTGTGCTACTTGGCAGTGAAACCAAAGCAGATAAGCAAACTTGTTTGAACTGTAATTAAAAGCATTAGTTTATTGCCTTAAGACACAAAATGCCAAAATAATCCTGGTTGAAAGCGGATATACGTCTACTCCGTTCAACTGAGGATTAGGTGATTTAGAGATAAGCGCAATTTTGAGCCATCATTTACTTTTATTGAGACCTGCCGGGAGCAATATTGTCTATTTCTATATTTCTATAGTATACAAAACAAGCAATAAAGCTACACAGAAAATGTGAATGAAATGACTTCATCTTCAAACCGCTTTATATTTTCTTATACCTTTTAATGCAGAGGTTTATTCCACATAGAAAAACTTTTACTCTCATTTCAAGTTGTTCCCTGAATATAAATACATTTGTAAAATCAAGACAAATGCAGCAGAAATGTGCATCAACTTCATTTTTCTTGTGAGTGTGTAATGTCTCCCTCTATACAAGGTGACACGTACTGTATATCTGCCATATGTTTATGTGAATGCTTGTGTTTTAAAAGCGTTTTAAGTCGCTCCAAAGAATAGAAATACATAAGCTAGATCAATTGGTCCATCTGCAATTGTTCTATATTGTAGTGATATAATAGGTTAGTCCACATTAGAGGACAGCCAAGTGTTAAAGCAGCTTTATTGGACAAGGAGTGATCCACAGAACTATAATAGCGACAGTCGCTGCCCTGAATGTCAGGCCCTTTAATCCCTCCGGATAGAGAGTTCACATCAGAACACAGGATTTTCAGACCCCGCTTTGATCCTGCTGAGCACGTCATGCTCCTCATGCCAAGGGCAAAGCTGGAGATGCTAACGTTTCCGGAAGGATGGCACAACCAAACAGCAGGAAAGGCCCGAAAAGCTTGTTCGTCCTGTGACATAAATAATTATCTGTGGCCTATATAGTCAGGATAAGTGGCCTAACTAACAGTTACAGTAAAATAAGAAGAAATCAAGGGAAATATAACACTTTCTATGATGCCCATGTTTTTAATTTAATTTCTGTTTTGACACACATTAAGTCATTTTGAAACGTTTTGTGTTGTTTTTGCATGAGTTTTATTATATATGTTCACTTAAATCAATAATAGG